CTAAAAAGTGTGTCGACAACAGGAAATGTTTGGAAAACTTTGGATGACATGTTCTCAATGAGGATTTGGAACACTCATCTATGTTGGTGACACACAGCACCAGATTTAGGACAAACGAAGCCCTGTGCTATTTAAGTCACAAAGCCCTTCCTTGGACCGTGAAGGAGGCAGGCCCGGTTGGCCCACACTGCCTGCTTTGTGACACACTCCCATGGACTAGCAACTCCATTTTTATTTATTTATTTATTTATTTATTTGATACACTTGTATACCGCTAATATCTCAGCCTAGAACGGCGACTCATTGCGGTTTACAGCAGTTAAAACAATCTACAATTTAAAAACATATACACATATAATAATAAATATTGGGCCACCAATAATAATCCCATTTATCTCGAGTTGAAATCACAGTCCAGAATTCGTTGTCCATATTTCCTGTCCGTAGTCACCAAGATTCGATTGCCACAGATTAGCCGAATGCTAGTTTGAACAGCCATGTTTTAAGTCTCTTCCTAAACACCATCAGCGAAGAGGCTGATCGTACCTCTATAGGGAGGGTGTTCCAAAGCCGGGGGGCCACCACAGAGAAGGCCCTATCTCTCGTTCCCGCCAGCCGCACTTCTGAAGCTGGAGGGATAGAGAGAAGGGACTCTCCGGAAGATCTTAGGGTCCTGGTGGGCTGATAGGCTGAGATACGTTCGGATAGATAACTTGGGCCAGAACCGTTTAGGGCTTTAAAGGGCAATGCCAGCACTTTGAATTGAGCCCGGTAGCAGATCGGCAGCCAGTGGAGCTGGTGCAGCAGAGGAGTTGTATGCTCCCTGCGCCGCGCTCCTGTTAGTATCATGGCTGCCGCCCGTTGGACTAACTGGAGCTTCCGGACTGTCTTCAAAGGCAACCCCACGTAGAGAGCGTTGCAGTAAGCAAGGCGGGATGTAACCAGAGCGTGGACTACCGTGGCCAAGTCAGACTTCCCAAGGTACGGTCGCAGTTGGCGCACAAGTTTTAACTGTGCGAATGCTCCCCTGGTCACCGCCGAAACCTGGGGTTCCAGGCTCAGCGATGAGTCCAGGATCACCCCCAAGCTGCGAACCTGTGTCTTCAGGGGGAGTGCGACCCCATCCAACACAGGCTGTAACCCTATACCCTGTTCGGCCTTGCGACTAACCAGGAGTACCTCTGTCTTGTCTGGATTCAATTTCAATTTGTTAGCCCTCATCCAGATCGTCACAGCAGCCAAACACCGGTTCAGGACCTGAACAGCCTCCTTAGTAGTAGATGGGAAGGAGTAACAGAGTTGGACGTCATCCGCGTACAGATGGCACCATCCCGAAACTCCGGATGATCTCCCCAGCGGCTTCATGTAGATGTTAAACAACATGGGAGACAGTATTGAACCCTGAGGAACCCCACAAGACAAAGGTTGTGGGGTTGAACAGGAGTCTCCCAATAACACCATCTGAGACCGACCCTCGAGGAATGAGCGGAGCCACTGCAAAACAGTACCTCCAAGTCCCATCCCCGCGAGGCGTCCCAGAAGGATATGTCTGGAATTGCTCCAAAACAGAATGCCTTCAAATTGAGAATTGCACCACATCAGCAAAATCCATCAAGAAAAAAAATGGCAGGGAGATGGGACCCTATATGTTTGTACACCTAAGCATAATGGTAAATCTGACACTTTTTTTGTCAGGGGTGACTTGAGAAACTGCAAGTCACTTCTGGTTTGAGAGAATTGGCCGTCTGCAAGGATGTTGCTCAGGGGACGCCAGGATGTTTTTGATGCTTTACCATCCTTGTGGGAGGCTTCTCTCATGTCCCCACATGGGGAGCTGGAGCTGACAGAGGGAGCTCATCCGCGCTCTCCCCGGGTTCGAACCTGCGACCTGTCGGTCTTCAGTCCTGCCGGCACAAGGGTGTAATCCATTGTGCCACCGGGGCTCCTGCTGATGTACCTTTTTGATACATGCATCATTTTGTGACACAGGAATGCGGTTTTGCTAGCAAACTGGAAATTAAACCATGACCTTATAAGAGATGCAACCGTGTGCATACATCATAATATATTATATTAATATATCTCATTAATATTTTTTACAATCCATGACTGATTGCTTATTTCGCATAGACTCAGCGGTTTCTAGTTACGTTTGTGCAGCACACCTCCGCGCTGCCTAATATGTGTCAGGACACACAGTTTGGAAGCCTGTGGTCTAGTCCTTCCATTGGCTCTGGATCAACTCTTCTCAGCAAACAATGGAACAGGGAGGTGGTGGGGTGGAGGGGGGAGACAAGAGTAAAGCAAAGCAGGGCTTGTCTCCCATGCCTTTGGGCTGAACAATCCAAGCGGCATTGAAGGGAGTTGCCTCTGCTCCCAGACAACGGGCCTGCAAAGCTGCTTTAAGTCCCAGAGCAGGCCAAAGGTCGCCTCCACAACCCGTTAGACCTGAAGGAAGATGCCTGGGAAACCCCTCCTGCTAAACCTACAAAAAACGGAGGGCGAGGCTGAGCCGCTAGCTTTCCTGAAGAAGGACTTGCGTGTATTTTTTGTTTCTGCTTCCAGAAAAGGAGTGGCTCAAGCACAAAAGACTCCCAGAGTTGGAAGAGAACCCCAAGGGCCATCTAGGCCCCTTCAACATAGAATCATAGAGTTGCATGAAACCTCGTGGGCCATCCAGTCCAACCCCCTGCCAAGAAGCAGGACAATCGCATTCAAAGCAACTCAACAGATGGCCATCCAAACAAAGCCTCCAAAGAAGGAGCCTCCACCACACTCCAGGACAGAGAGTTCCACTATTGAACAGCTCTCATAGTTAGGAAGTTGGCCATATAAAATCCAGATTCTCTAATCATTAGTATTATATAATCATTAGTGTTTCTCAAACTTTGCTCTTCCAGATATTTTGGGCTTCAGCTCCCACAATTCCTAACAGCTGGGATTTCAGGGAGTTGAAGTCCAAAACACCTGGAAGAGCATAGTTTGAGAAACCTTGGTCTACAAAGCCACACTGGAGGGACCCTTCTACACTGCCATATAATCCAGATTATCAAATCAGATAATCCTCTCTCTGCTTCCTGATTTTCTGGGCAAGTAAAGTCTGTCGACATCACTGCGTGGGTGTAATGAGTAGTGGATTGTCATCAGTTTTCTTGTTTTTCTGTCCAGATCTTCCAGCTGTGCTTGTGTCCACTTCACAATCCCAGCAGTGTATCTAATGACAGGGATGGCCCAGATGTTGAGAGCCTTGATCGTATTTCCGCCATTTAATTTGCTCTTCAAAACCTTTCTGACTCTTTGGATATATTCTTTGCTGACCACATTTTTTACATGCCCATGCTTGATATTGTCCAACTGTAGTACACCCAGATATTTATAGGCTTCAGGCTGATTGCATTTTATGGTTTACTAGCTATCCCCTGCCACGCGTTGCTGTGGCCCAGTTTGTGTATTTGTGTTTTGTGTGTGTATTTATGTGCTTATGTGTGTGTATATATTTGTGTATATGTGTGTTCTCATATATATGTGTGTATGTGTGTGTGTATATATATATGTTTATTCATGTGTTCATAGGTGTATATGCATATTGTGTATATGTGTGTGCTTGTCTATATGCATATTTGTGTGTATACATGTGTGGATATGTATATGTGTGTGCATGTGTGTATATATATGTGTGTATATATGTATATTTATGTATGTATGTGTATATGTATATATGTATATTTATGTGTGTGTACATGTGTATATTTGTATGTGCTTGTGCATATATATATATGTGACTGTGTATGAATGTGTGTATGTGTATATGTATATGCGTGTATGTATATATGGTGTATTCTTTGGGTCTTTTAGGTCTGTTCTGCTGGGGTTTTTAAGTCTGTTCCACCTGGAATATTGTGTCCAATTCTGGGCACCACAATTGAAGAGAGATATTGACAAGCTGGAATGTGTCCAGAGGTGGGCAACTAAAATGAGCAAGGGTCTGGAGAACAAGCCCTATGAGGAGTGGCTTAAAGAGCTGGGCATGTTTAGACTGAAGAAGAGAAGGCTGACAGGAGACATGATAGCCATGTATAAATATGTGAGAGGAAGTAATAGGGAGGAGGGAGCAAGCTTGTTTTCTACTGCCCTGGAGACTAGGACGCGGAACAATGGCTTCAAATTACAAGAAAGGGGATTCCATATGATCATGAGGAAGAACTTCCTGACTGTGAGAGCTGTTCAGCAGTGGAACTCTCTGCCCCGGAGTGTGGTGGAGGCTCCTTCTTCTTGGAAGCTTTTAAACAGAAGCTGGATGGCCATCTGTCAGGGGTGCTTTGAATGCAATATGTCCCATGAGATCTCTTCCAACTCTATGATTCTATGTGTGCACGCGCGTGTGTTTTTAGGGGTGATGGCTACTAGTTGGCCTGATGGGTGTATTGTGTCCAAATTTGGTGTCTGTGGTTTTTGAGTTCTGTTAATCCCACAAACTACCATTACACTTTTATTTATATAGAATATTTTATTTTAATAAATAATAGTAATAATAATAACTATTATTATTATTATTATTATTATTATTATTATTAATTATTTGAGTCCACACTACTATATAATCCAGTTCCATGTGGATTTTATCCAGCTGTGTGGAAGGGGCCCTAGTTGAGCCTCCTTTGGGCCAAATTCGCCCTGGAAGGGCTTCTGCGCTCAAGAGGCAAGGCTCTTTTGCTTAAAGAGCCGGGCCCCTATGCTTCCGGTGCCATTAAGGTGCGGCGCTTCTCCCAAAAGGAGTCTCATCAGGAGTGCCGACTTTTGCAAAGGAAGAACAACGGGGAAGGGGCTCTGGAGGCTCTGCAGCCCTACCTGCTCCAAGATCTCTTCCTCCAGGTTGCCTGTCTCCCGCGGGAGAGGCTCAACGGGCACTTTACCCCCCCCCCCCGCCTCCTTTGCCTGGGGACTTTGGACAGGGCATTCCTCAATTGAGAGGGGGGGGGGGGTGTTCAGGTGTGCGTTACCTGGCACATAGGTGTCGGCCCTCTCTTCGTCCGGCAGCGCGTCCCAACTGCGAGAGGCAGGCAGGGGGTTCCTCCTCTTGACCAGGAAGGCTCTGGGCATGCTGAGCAGCAGGAGGAGAGGGGCCTGATCCCTGCCTCTTCTATTCCCAGTCCAACCACTCCAACCAGTCCCTTGGAGGCCAGGAAACCCCCTCCCCGCAATTCCCGACGGCGTCTCCGGGCAAGGCACCTCCAGGAAACTTGGGAGGGAGCATGCGTGCTGCAAACATAACGGTGTCAACAAGCCTCCCTACCTGTCCGACCGGTTGGGGCAGCTCTGCTTTGTTCCAACCCATCCTTGAGATCCCAATGTTTGCCGAGTGGGGAGGGCTGGGAATGAGGAGGGGGCAGGAGCAGGGCTGGGAACTTCCCCCATTTAGCCAGAGCAGGGCTCCATACCCCCTCCCCACTCTATTTTCAGACCCAGAAGTTTGTACCTGACCCACCTAGGTAGATATACAGGGTTCCCTCACTTATCACAAGGTTTCCATTCCAGAACCACCCGCGATAAGTCAAAATCCGCAAAGTAGGGATGTCATATTAATTGTAATATTTATGTATTATCTATCTATATATATACTAGCTTTACCCACCACGCGTTGCTGAGGCCAACCTTCTCTCCCTCTTTCTCTCCTACTTTCACTCCTTCCTTCATTTCCTTTTCTTCTTTCCTTTCTTCCTTCTCTACCTGTTTACTTCCTTCCTTAGCTTTTTGCTCCCATCCTTCCTTCTCTTTCTTTCCTTCCCTCCCTCTTTCTCTCCTTCTTTCTCTTCTTCCTTTGCTCTGTCTTTCCTCCCTTCCCTTTTTTCTCTCCTTCTCTCCTCCTTCCTTCTCTTTCCTTCCTCCTCCCTTTTTCCCCCTTCCTCTTTCTCTCCTTTCTTCCCTCTCTATCTCTTTCCTTCCTTCCTTCACTCTTGACTTCCAGACTTCCTTTTCTTTCTTTCTTTTCTTCCCTCCCTTTCTCTTCTTCCTTCGCTTTTTTTCCTCTCTTCCCCTTCCCAAATTCCTTCCTTTCTTCCTTGCTTCCTTCCTTCCCCTTCTTTTTTCTATCTTTCTTTTCTTTCCTCCTTCCTTCCTTTCTCCCTTCTTTCCCATCCTCCTTCTCTCTTTATTCTTTCTTTCCTACCTTTCTTCTTTCATATACCTTCTCAACTTCTCCTTCCTTCCTTCATACACCTTCCCTCCCTCCCTCCCTTCCTTCCCCTTCCTCCCTCCCTCCCTTCCTTTCTTTCCTTCCTTCCTTTCTCCGTTCTTTCCCATCCTCCTTCTCTCCCTTTCTTCTTTCTTTCCTTCCTTTCTTCTTTCATATACCTTCTCAACTTCTCCTTCCTTACTTCTTCATACACCTTCCCTTCCCCCCTTTCTTCTTCCTTCCTTCCTTTCTCCCTTTCCCTTCTCTTCTTCCTTTTCTCTTTCTTTCCCTTCTTTCTTCTCTTCCTCCCTTTCCTCTTTTCTTCTTTTTTTCTTCTTCCTTCCTTCCTTCCTTCCTTCCTTCCTTCTTCCTTCCTTCCTTCCTTGCTATTTACACCTCTTCCCCTCATTTCCGTCCTTCCTTCCCTCTCCCACTTCCTTCCCCTTCCTCACTGATGGCGGAGCCAGACGGCGGTGTGCAGGGGCGGCCTGGGCCGGGCGTTGCAGTGGCCGATGGGCTGTCCTTGGCAGAGCCGGGCCGCGGCCTCTCCCGGCCGGGCCAGGAAGGCGCGCAGCGGGGGCCTTCCGGGCAGCCTCCGCTGGTCGCGCAGCATCCTGGCCCCCAGCGAGCACAGCTCCCAGGCCGGGGCTTCAGCGTCAGCGGGTAGGCCACGTTCTAGAACTACAGTTCCCAGAGTGCATTGCGTGTGTACTTCCTCCCCTGAGCACTCCGCATGCTCAGTTGGTTTTTGTAATTGTGAGTTTGTTGAAATGTTGTTTGGAATTTTGATGAGTGTTGTGTATACTTTGTGGGTTGAGGTATGTGCACGGCAAATTTGGTGAGTTTGGGGGGGGGGGTTCGCGTTTTGCTGTCCCGTTGAATGCCCTTTCCCTTTTTATATATATAGATAAATGCTCTGTGCATAATGAGTTCCTTAAAAACAAAAGAACCAATGAACGAAATCACACCAAATTTGGCAACAAAACGTCTCACAACACAAGGAGTGACCATCACTCGAAAAATTATGATTTTGTCATTTGGGAGTTGTAGTTGCTGGGATTTATAGTTCACCTACAATCAAAGAGCATTCTGAACTCCACCAATGATGGAATTGAACCAAACATGGCACACAGGACTCCCATGACCAACAGAAAACACTAGAAGGGTTTGGTGGGCATTGACCTTGAGTTTGGGAGTTGTAGTTCACCTACATCCAGAGAGCACTGTGGACTCAAACAATGATGGATCTGGACCAAACTTGGCACAAATATTCCATATGTCCAAATATGAACACAGATGGAGTTTGGGGGAAATAGACCTTGACATTTGGGAGTTGTATTATTATTATTATTATTATTATTATTATTATTATTATTATTACTTTATTTGTACCCCGCTAGCATCTCCCGAAGGACTTGATGCGGCTTACATAGGCCAAGGCCTCAAAACACGACACAACAATGCAACACCTAAAGCAAAATTAAAATTAAAATTAAAAACAGATTAAGCAATATAAACAACAACCAATAAACAATAACATCGAGACACTATAAAACTGGGCCGAGCCAGAGTAATGGGTACAAGATTAAAAGTGCTCATGTGGCAGGAGGTATATAGGATTATAAAGTAAGTGCAGTGTGCGGTGTGCAGCAGTCTTGGTTCTACTAAAGTGCTTCTGGGACTTGGTAATGGAGATTCCTAATCTGGGAAGGCACATCGGCACATCTTCAAGTTCTTTCTGAAGACTGCCAATGTGGGGGCCTGTCTTAGATCTTTTGGGAGGGTGTTCCAGAGCCACCACAGAAAAGGCCCTGTCTCGAGTCCCCACCAAGCACGCTTGCGACGCAGGTGGGATCACGAGCAGGGCCTCTCCAGATGACCGAAGTGAGTGCGTGGGTTCGTAAACGGAGATGCGGTCACGCAGGTAGGGTGGTCCCAAACCGTTCAGGGCTTTGTAGGTAAGCACCTGCACCTTAAATTGGGTTCGGAAGATAAACGGCAGCCAGTGAAGCTCCTTGAACAGGAGGGTTGACCTCTCTCTGTAAGGAGCCCCGGTTAACATCCTGGCCGCTGCCCGTTGGACCAGTTGGAATTTCTGAGCCGTTTTCAAGGGCAGCCCCATGTAGAGTGCATTGTAGTCACTGGGATTCACAGTTTGCCTACAATCAAAGAGCATTCTGGGCCCCACGAACGACAGAATCAGGGCAAACTTCCCACACAGAACCCCCATGACCATCAGAAAATACTTAAGGCCATCCAGTCCAACTCCCTTGTTTTTTCATTTTAATTTGCTGTATTGTTGTTGTTGTTTATTGTTGTAATTGGGCTCGGCCTGTTGTAAGCTACACCGAGTCCTTCGGGAGATGGCAGTGGGGTACAAATAAAGGTTTATTATTATTATTATTATTATTATTATTATTATTATTACTGTTGCCAATTTTCCCTGGATCCTGACATAGAACTAAGAGGACCCCATTTGTGGTCGGGGCCCACAGTAATCTAGAGCAGAGCTTCCTATTTTTTTTTCACTCAGGACCCCTTTCTGCCTGAGAAATGTTTATGTGACTATAGGTATAGAAAATACATATAAAAACCAAGCATTTACTGATAATAACTCAGCATTCGCAAGGCTTGCTAAACAGTGAAGTACAGCTGAAGCATTTTCTGCAGAGTCCATTCTAACCACTACGGGCCCTTCCACACATCCCTATATCCCAGAATATCAAGGCAGAAAATCCCACAGTATCTGCTTTGAACTGGGTTATCTAAGTCCGCACTCAGAAAATGTGGTATTTTCTATCTTGATATTCTAGGATACAGGGCTGTGTGGAAGGACCCTACACGTTGTTAGTAAATTTCTGTAAACGTCTTTGGCATTCAAAACCCTTTTAATGTTGACCACTTTTGAGCTAATATAATCTGTTTTATCCAGTCACTAGCTGAACCTGCCACACATTGTGGCCAACCTTCTCTCCCTCTTTCTCTCCTTCTTTTCCTCCTTCCTTCACTCCCTCTTTCCTTTCTTCCCTTTTCTTCTTTCCTTCTCTCCTTCCTTCCTTCCTTCTCTACCTCTTTCCTTCTCCCTTTTCCTTTTCCTTCCCTTTCTCTCCTTTCTTCCTTCTCTACCTCTTTCCTTCCTTTCCTTCTTTTCTTTCCTTCTCTCCTCCTTCCTTCACTTTTTGCTTCCATCCTTCCTTCTCTCTTTCCTTCTTTCCTTCCCTCCTTTCTCTCCTTCTTTCCTTCCTTCCTTCGCTCCCTCTTTCCTTCCTTTCCTTTTTTGTTTCCTTTTTTCTTTCCTTCTCTCCTTCCTTCTTTCTCTACATCTCTTTCCTTCCCTTCCTCTTTCACTCCTTTTTTTTCCTTCCCTAACTCTTTCCTTCCTTCCTTTGCTCTTTGCTTCCATGCTTCCTTCTCTCTCTCTCTCTCTCTCTCTCTCTCTCTCTCTCTTCCTTTCTCTCCTTCCTTCCCTCTCTCTCCCTTCCCTTTTTGCTGTATCATCATTTAGCTTTTGGGGTTTTTTAAATCCTTTCCACTGTTTTTGGGGGGCGGGGGGCGACAGAGGGTTATGATTGACGGTCACTCATTGGTCTGTTAGGGGTATCATGTCCAAATTTGGTGTCAATCCACCCAGTGGTTTTTGAGTTTTGTTAATCCCACAAACGAACGTTACATTTTTATTTATATAGATGGGAGTCATTCCATCAGGACCCATGCATGCTTTCCAGGTTAAAACTTTCTCAAGACGATGTGCATGGCTGTAGTAATAAAATCACTTGACCATATGATTATTAAAATGTATAAGCTGCTGGGGGAGGAACAAGTGAAATGCAGGAGGGATAAGTGAAAGATTGTACAGTCAAATGGATTCAAAACATCAGCACACAAATCCAGTTAGAACAAAAGGAGAAGGTGTGGACAGAGTTTGAAATTTACTTTGAGTAATGATTTAAAATAACAATGTTATCCTATTGCGAATAGTTGCTTAAGATATGGAGGCTGCCTGTAGGCCTACCTCCCAGAACTTGTGGGCCCTTCCCAGTTGAACCCAGTTCAAAGCAGATATTATGGAATTTTCTGCCTTGATATGCTGGGATCTAGGGCTGTGTGGAAGGGCCCCGTGAGAGCGCTGTGTTATTCTCCAGAACTGGTTATAGATCCTTGATAACATTCCAGTGGTGGCAGGCAACAACTAGTGTTCTTCTGTCATTTTGTGTTTTTGGTCTATCTTGCAGTAGGTGGTTCCTGAGTATTATTAGTATTGCCTTGTTTATTTATTTCCTCATTTAGAGGGAAATTGCAGTTTGAGAAATCTTTGTTTTCAGTCCAAGAGTTTTGACTATCTGTCTTGCGGTTCTGAGCAGATGCAATGTTCTCAGATGTCTGCAAAAAATTGAATTGATAGTATGTTCTGAAAGGTACTTAATCATAGAATCATAGAATCAAAGAGTTGGAAGAGACCTCATGGGCCATCCAGGCCAACCCCCTGCCAAGAAGCAGGAATATTGCATTGAAATCACTCCTGACAGATGGCCATCCAGCCTCTGTTTAAAAGCTTCCAAAGAAGGAGCCTCCACCACACACCAGGGCAGAGAGTTCCACTGCTGAACGGCTCTCACAGTCAGGAAGTTCTTCTTCATGTTCAGATGCAATCTCCTTTCTTGTAGTTTGAAGCCATTGTTTCGCGTCCTAGTCTCCAAGGAAGCAGAAAACAAGCTTGCTCCCTCCTCCCTGTGGCTTCCTCTCACATATTTATACATGGCTATCATATCTCCTCTCAGCCTTCTCTTCTTCAGGCTAAACATGCCCAGCTCCTTAAGCCACTCCTCATAGAGTTTGTTCTCCAAACCCTTGATCATTTTAGTCGCCCTTCTCTGGACACATTCCAGCTTGTCAATATCTGTCTTGAATTGTGGTGCCCAGAATTGGACACAATATTCCAGGTGTGGTCTAACCAAAGCAGAATAGAGGGGTAGCATTACTTCCCTAGATCTAGACACTATGCTCCTACTTAGAAATGAATTTAATTAATTCAGTAGAGCATGGTGTCAGCCAGTGAATTTGTTATGTGGATTGTTCCAGGCTCAGATTGATGTTAGGGTAGAAGTAACTGAAAATCTGATTATTACTTTCCATGTGGCCAAATTACAAAGATGTCAAGAAACTATAGGTAGAGATCATATTGTTGGGTGCATGTGCCTTAGGAAGAACTTCCTGGTCAATCATGAAGATGTTTTCATACTGTGTTGCTATGCAAGTGCCCATAGAAGTGTAACTAATTTGGAGGTACATAGGTAAAGGTAAAGGTTTTCTCCTGACATTGAGTCCAGTCGTGCCCGACTCTGGGGTGTGGTGCTCATCTCCATTTCTAAGCCGAAGAGCCAGCATTGTCCACACTCACCTCCAAGGTCATGTGGCCAGCATGACTGCATGGAGCATTGTTACCTTCCCGCCGAAGCGGTACCTATTGATCTACTCACATTTGCAGGAAGGCAACAGGTGTCCTTGCTTCACCATAAAGCTAAACAAGATAATTTTTCAAGCCAGCTCTATCAACTGGATACTCTAAGCACATATGACTACATGGAAGTAGACAAACAAATGAAGTAGGGGTCCTTCCACACAGCCCTATATCCCAGAATATCAAGGCAGAAAATCCCACATATCTGAGTGTGGACTCAGATAACCCAGCTCAAAGCAGATATTGTGGGATTTTCTGTCTTGATATTCTGGGATATAGGGCCATAGAACCCAGAATATCAAGGCAGATCATCCACAATATCTGCTTTGAACAGGGCTGTCTGTGGGTCCTTCCAGACAGGCCCTATATCCCTGGATCTGATCCCAGGTTTTCTGTTTATCCCAAATTATCTGGGACTCATATAATCCACTTTAATGCAGATCCTGGGATATAGGGCCTGCCTGGAGGGCCCTGAGTCCACAGTGCCATATAATCCAGTTCAATGTGGATTTTATACAGCTGTGTGGAAGGGGCCCTAGTGTAATCACAAAGACATCTGGTGCCTTTGCTTTGCCATAAAGGTAAAGAAGATCATTTTTCCAATCCAGCAACATTGACTAGGCATCCTAGTCACATATGAGAGTGCAGCAAGGAGCCAAACAAACAAACCAAGCTGGAATGTGTCCAGAGGAGGGCGACTAAAATGATCAAGGGTCTGGAGAACAAGCCCTATGAGGAGCGGCTTAAAGAACTGGGCATGTTTAACCTGAAGAAGAGATGGCTGAGAGGAGATATGATGGCCATGTATAAATATATGAAATGATGACATAAGAAAGGGGGAGCAGGCTTGTTTTCTGTTGCCCTGGAGACTAGGACGTGGAACAATGGCTTCAAACTACAAGAAAGGAGATTCCATGTGAACATTAGGAAGAACTTCCTGACTGTGAGAGCTGTTCAGCAGTGGAACTCTCTGCCCCAGAGTGTGGTGGAGGGTCCTTCTTTGGATGCTTTTAAACATAGGCTGGATGGCCATCTGTGTGTGTGTGTGTGTGCTTTGAATGCAATTTTCCTGCTTCTTGGCAGGGGGTTGGACTGGATGGCCCATGACGTCTCTTCCAATTCTATATTCTACTAGCCATCCCCTGCCATGCATTGCTGTGACCCACATGGGGGTTCTGGGTGGGAGGTTTGGCCCAAATCTATCATTGGTGGAGTTCATAATGTTTTTTGATTGTAGGTGAACTATAAATCCCAGCAACTAAAACTCCCAAAAGTCAAGGCTCTATTTTCCCCAAACTCCATCAGTGTTCACATTTGGACATATTGAGTATTTGTGTAGAGTTTGGTCCAGATCCATCATTGTTTGAGTCCACAGTGATCTTTGGATGTAGGTGAACTACAACTCCAAAACCAAAGGACACTGCCCACCAAACCCTTCCAGTATTGGTCATGGGAGAACTGTGTGCCAAGTTTGGTTCAATTCAATTGTTGGTGGAGTTCGGAATGCTCTTTGATTGTAGGTGAACTATAAATCCCAGCAACTACAATTCCCAAATGTCAAGGTCTATTTCCCCCCAAACTCCACCAGTGCTCATATTTGGGCATATTGAGTGTTTGTACCAAGTTTGGTCCAGATCCATCACTGAGTGCACAGTGCTCTCTGGATGTAGGTGAACTACAACTCCAAAACTCAAGGTCAATTCCCACCAAACCCTTCCAGTATTTTCTGTTGATCACGGGAGAACTGTTTGCCAAGTTTGGTTCAATTCCATCGTTGGTGGGGTTCAGAATGCTCTTTGATTGTAGGTGAACTATAAATCCCAGCAACTACAACTCCCAAATGACAAAATCAAGTTTTTTGAGTGAAGAACATACATTGAGTTGTTAGATGTCTTGTGTCCAAATTTGGTGTCAATTCGTCCAGTGGTTTTTGAGTTCTGTTAATCCCACAAACGAACAATACATTTTTATTTATATAGAGAAGAAGATAAGATGATCCTAAGTTTCTCTTCTCAGCACTTGTTTAAAAAAGAGCAGCGTAGAAGCCCCGCCCCTCAGAAACGGGGAGGGGAGCAAAGGGAGGGGGCAATCTTACTCGGCGCCCTGCGAGCATGCGCATTAGGGGGCGCGCGGAAGCACGCATGCGCAGATGAGCCGCCATGTCGACGGCCTCCAAGGTGGTGCTGGGGGCCTCGCTGCTGCTCTCCGGCGGGGTCGTGGCGGGCGTCCACCTCCAGCAGAGGCGCCTGCAAGAGGTAACGGCGCGCGACTTCCCCAGTGACGTCATCCCCAAAGGTGCTAGAAGCCTTTTTTCCGCCTCGCGCGCGGCGGAAGTGCTTGCTTCCCTGAGAAGAGACTTTGAGAGGCCTCTGTAGAGGGCCCAGCCTTGCCTCCCTTCCTTCGGCGCTGTATTGGCATGGCACCCTTTTCAAAACCATAGCTTCCACATGAAGTAACACCAGAATTAGAAGAATGCCAGAACTTCAATGTGTTTTGGAAGGGAGAGTAGATAGACTGAGCGTCTCTGAATTCCTCTCACTTCCACTAGATTATGAGGCAAGAATATAGCATTAAATAGAAGCAAACCACTAGAGGAGTGGTTCCCAACCTTTGGTCCTTCCAGTGTTTTGGACTTCAGCTCCCACAATTCCTAACAGGAGCAGTGGATTAAACCCCTGTGCTGGCAGGACTGAAGACCAACAGGTCGCAGGTTCAAATCCGGGGAGAGGAGGGTGAGCTCACTCTATCAGCTCCAGCTCCTCATGTGGGGACATGAGAGAAGCCTCCCACAAGGATGATAAAAACATCAAATCATCTGGGCGTCCCGTGGGCAACGTCCTTGCAGGCGGCCAATTCTCTCACACCAGAAGCGACTTGCAGTCTCTCAAGTCGCTCCTGACACGACAAAAAGAAAAATTCCTAACAGCTGCTAAAATGGCTGGGATTTCTAGGAGTTGAAGTCCATAACACCTGGAGGATTAAAGGTTGGGAACCACTTGCACTAGAGAGCTGCTTGGCATCATTTACTACCAAGTTGGAAATGACAAAGGCCCCTTCTAAAATGCTGATGGCGAGTTCGCCCTAGACCCCTGCTTTCCAGCTGATCTGACCATATCATCCAGTTCAAAGCTGATAATTTGGATTTTTTATCTCTCCAAATAATTTTTATTAAACACTAGCTGTACCCGCCACATTTTGCTTTGGCCAACCTTTCCTCCTTTCTCTCCTCCTTTCTTTCTCTTCCCCCTTCCTTTTTCCCTCCCTCCTTCCTTCCCTTTTTTTCTTTCATTCTCTCCTTCCATCTCTTCCCTTCCTCCCCCCTTTTCTTTCCCTTCCTCTTTCTCCCCTTTCTTCCTTCTCTACCTATTCCTGGACTATGACTCCCAGCAGTCCTCCTGTTCAATCTATCTACCTACCCATCTTATCTATCTCCATCTACTCAGTCTACCTTATCTATCTGGATTATTGCTGGGAGTTGCAGTCCAGGAATAGGAAATTGGAAATATGCAGGGATTGGGATGCTCTCAAAGAAATCCAAGGAGAAGAAAACTTGCAGCTTGGAAGCAGTGCATTTGGATCATCCTCCTCTCCTAAAGGGCCTGGTCTAGGGGATGCTGGGAGTTGTAGTCTGGAAGAGGGTGTGGATATGCTTTTATGTGTTTTGTTTTCCAGGGGGAATCGTTTTGCGCATGCACTGTAGTGTCTTTTTGCTTCTTTTGGCTTTAAAGTCCCTTCCGCTGTGTTTTTCAGTGTTTGCCTAATAGGTGTATTGTGTCCAAATTTTGTGTCAATTCGTTCAGTGGTTTTTGAGTTGTGTTAATTCCACAAACAAACTTTACATTTTTATTTATATAGATTTACTAGATTAGATTGTTTTTACAAATAATAATGATTCTTGGATAGTTCTCTCTGTTTAATTTGTAAATGGTTTATATACTTATTAATATAATATAAATTATTGTTTGGCTGCAGGGCAGTTAGCAGCACTTGAAAACCTATGTTAGTTGCTTGGAAAAAAATAGCTCAGTCTAATTTTTGTTTTTCAAGACAACTTGAGAAGTTTCACTGTGGGGCGTTCTTTCCAACATCATGTAAAAATGTAAAAATGATCATGTCCTTCTTTCAGAGGCTACGTGAAGGAGTGTTGAGAGACTTTGAGAGACAGAATCATAAACGAGAATATATTAACCTTTCGGAGGAACGTTCTGCCTTGATCCAACAACGTGAAATGGAAAGCAAAATTCAAGTGCTCAAAAAATGCTAACAGTGACAGAGAAGAATTGAAATTGAAATTTCCTGGTCCTTTCAGTAATTGTATAGGTTTCTTGATGGTTGAGATAATCTTCATATGTCTAATGCTATTAGCAGAGGAAGCTTCTAGCATACCAAAAAAATCCTCTTTTAAGAAACAATGGATAATAGTATGTACATAAGTGAAATGATGAGTTGTCATGATGATGAAGCAACAAGGACGTCCCCTTCAGAAGGACTGGAAGAAGGGGAAGTGGAAGGGGAGACTCTTCTCATAGTGGAATCTGAAGATCAGGCATCAGTGGATTTGAGTCATGATCAGAGTGGAGATTCTGTGAATAGTGATGAAGGGGAAACATCCTGGTCAGAGGAGCTGTCCTATTATTGCGAAAGATGCCAGAAATGGATAGCTGCAAGTAAGAATCCCTTATATTTAATTTTTGTGGTTTTCTGAACTCCGGGTTTATTCCCTTTCTGTCTGTCTACCTGTCTTTCTCTCTGTGTATTTATGTGTATGAAAATGATGTATGTGTTTCTCAGTCATTTGAAATACTGTCCATCTAGAATATATGGTTTATGCTGAAACCTTCATTGTTTAGTCAGAGTAACAACTATGCAAATGGACTCGTAGAAATAAAATTAAAATGCTGAACAAATTACGTCTGCTGTGGATGGTTTTTTCCCTCTCCTCCAGGATATATTCTAAGCCGCTACAAGTTTTGTGCATCATTGCTATCTTGCTCTGTTTGCTGATAGGAGAAAACCGACTGCACAGTCTTTAACTGTTGAGCAGTTATGATGACAGTCTTTATGAAGTTAAATTCCTTGAAATCTAAGGTGGTTCTTTCTGCATGCAGAGAGTGGTCTGTTATTGCTCTCAGCTTTAGCATTTGCACTGTGTAGGATCTTATTCTAGAAATGTATCTGTGTCCCCATCTACACTGACAATACAGTTCAAAGCTAGCTAGACAACAAATGGCCATGAAAGCTAGAAAAAGAAATCCCTTAATGTATATCAGTGCTCTATGGTTTGTGTAATCACCATCTGAGCCAAAACTGATTCCAGGATTTTCTATGTAATCATCTACAGAGCAAAGCCACTTTTTTGATACCAGTTTGAAACTGCATTAAATGGCTTGTGTAGGTGGGGCCCTAGATTCATGGAGTGATGGTATCTGCTGTGTAAAGAGAAGCTAGAAAAACTCCAGCATGCACCATGATTTTTTGGACGTTGATTGCTGCTTCTAAATAAGCCTCATAATTGCTACAATATGAATAGTGACACAGTTAGTTTCAGTACCAGGCAAGAAATCCTGCAGATTTCTGTCTTTGAATGCCTTGCTTTCTGATGTGTTGCTCTTTAAAAGCTTGCAAAATTACACACAAGTTCCAGTAATTTGATGAGGGGTCCACTGTTCTATCACATCTTGTCTATGAGGTTAACTTGGGACTGCTTATATATATGTTACACTATACTGTACTGAGGAGCCCCTGGTGGCGCACTGGGTTAAAGTGCTGAGCTGCTGAGCTTGTTGACAAAGGTCGCAGGTTCGATTCCGGGGAGCGGCGTGAGCTTCCGCTTTCAGCTCCAGCTTCTGCCAACCTAGCGGTTCGAAAACATGCAAATGTGAGATCAATAGGTACCACTCTGGCGAGAAGGTTATGGCGCTCCATGCAGTCATGGTAGCCACATGACCTAGGAGGTGTCTACGGACAACACTGGCTCTTTGGCTTAGAAATGGAGATGAACACCACACCCAAGAGTCGGACACAACTGGACTTAATGTCAGGGGAAAAAAAATACTGCAGTCAGAATGCACTTGTAAGCTACCCCCCCCCCCCCCCCCCCACTTCTCAACCAATTCCACTTTCTGACAGTGTTGTGGTCCCTGGACTATCAGATAAGTGAGAGCCTCCTGTACTAATTATCTGTTGATTCCCTGTCATGATCGGAATTACTGGTATATAGCTGAACAAATAATAAAAGTTGTGAAGCTTATGGGGTATGATCTGATTTTTCTAAAAATAACTAGCATTATGTTTTCAGGGTGTTAAAAAGGCAACCTGCTTAGAGTCAGTATTTCTGTTAATCTCCATTCTGATAGAATGCAATGTGCAATTTTACAGTGTTTGATTTTACAAAAAACCTGAAGCCTTTCCTTGCTTGTTTATAGGCCAGGTGAGAGAACAGATCACCCATCTCAAAGGTGATAACTTTTTCAAGTTTACTTGCTCTGATTGTGCTGAAGATGGGAAGGAGCAGTTTGAACGGCTAAAACTAACATGGCAGCAAGTAAGTAGCAAACAAGCAGTAATGGAGTAAGAACGTTTTGAATTTCTGTGTAATGATATACACTGGGGGTCTTTTGTTCGTTTAGTGAGATTCTAGTGATTTTGTTAAACCTATGCTAACTTTTTGATGCAAAGGCAAAAAGAAGTGATTTTTGAACTAGAGCAGTTCAAAACTCATTACAAATATAATCCTTTCTTAACATTAAAAGACACAGCTAAGAACATGGAAAGCGGCATTATACTTTGTAGCCCCATGTTCCTTCAAACACTTGTGCCTATATAATGAACCATGCTGGTTGTACACATTATATTAGTAAGCACTCGGTTTAATCCAGAATTGACTGCCTTCTTCATTTTTAATAATGATAACAAATAATAATAATAATAATAATAATAATAATAATGTTATAGACCGCCCTCTCTTCCCGAAGGGACTCAGCGCGGATCACAAGAAATAACAAAAGTGGCATTCAATGCTAGAAAACAAATAAACAACATTCAAGGCAAAACATACAAGAAAATAAACTCAGTGTAACTTATAAACAATCAAACCAAGGGTTAAATTACATAAACTTCATAAACACAAGAGGTCAACCAATTAAAACACAGTACATTAAAAGCATAGTATAGTGTAGCATATCGTTAGGCTGGTATAGGTGTCCTATGTGTGGACGAGATATACTAGTCCTCCTCTCCATAAACTAGATTACAGAGATGGGTCTTTAAAACCTTTTTAAAGGAGATGAGAGAGGGGGCCATTTTTAGTTATTTGGGGAGGGAGTTCCAGAGATGGGGAGTGGCGACGGAGAAGTTCCCTTCTCTCGTTCCCACCAACTGTGCTTGAGATGAAGGTGTGGGACCGAGAGCAGGGTCTCCTCCGCAGACTGCAGTGCTCATGTTGGTTTGTATGTGGAGGTGCGGTTTTTCAAATAGTCTGGGCCTGAACCATTTTGGGCTTTATCAGTAATAACCAGCACTATGTATTTAGTTCGAAACCAGATTGGCAGCCAGTGGAGCTGCTGCAACATGGGAATCATTCTCTCAAGATGTGGCACTCCAGTTAGTAACCTGATCACTGATCTCTGAACTAGTTGCAGCTTCCAAACTATCTTCAAAGGCAATCCCATGTACAGATTGTTGGAGTAGTCAAGACAGGAAGTAACCAAGGCTTGGACTACCATGGCCAAGTCTGGCATCTCAAGGTGCGGGTGCAGCTGGTGCACAAGTTTCAGGGTCTGCGATGAGTCCAGGTGCACCCCTAGACCACAAACCTGTACCTTCAGGGGGAGTGTGACTCCGTCCAACATAGGTTGTAATCCCATATCCTGGTCAGCCCTCTGTTTTGTCTGCATTTACCTTCAGCTTGTTGGCCCTCATCCAGTCCATCACTGATGACAGTTTAGGAGCAGGATGGCATCCTTGGCTTTCAGTGAAAAAATTCTCAATACCAATGCTGTGGTGAAGGAAGGACAGAGAGAATTGTCTAACACTTTAAATATACCAGTTAAATTTGTAGCTATGTAGTAGTTCACATATCTTAAAGCAACATGTAAAAGTAAATATAGAGAAGTAAATTGTTTACTCAGAAAATGATTAGGAAAAACAGAATCTATAAAAATGACAGTAGTTTAAAATCAATTCATTTCAAGTATTCCTGATATATTTATCAGATACTTTCATAAGAAGATTGCAAAAGCTTATTTGGGATTTAATCTGAAAGCAAAACATTCAAGTGACTTACAAACAACAACAACAATATTTATTTCCCAATACACATGAATAAGGTGGGGAACAACAACAGATTGAAATACAACACATAACTTCAGCAAAAACATATGGGTTAGAAATATATTTACCTAGTACAAGTGTATATTTGGACCAGAGAATTATCTATTTCAATTTGATAAGTTTGTTTATAGAAGGAGTAAATCAAAAGTGGAGGGAGTTTAATAATAATAATAATAATAATAATCATCATCATCATCATCTTTATTTATACCCTGCCGCCATTTCCCCAATGGAGACTCAAGGCGGCTTACATGAGGCCAAGCCCAAACAACAAAGTACAACAGACTAAAACCGAAAACACAAATCGAAAACGCAAACAATAAACAACATCATAATTACATAAAACATGTGAATATATTTTAACTATTTACTGACTTCAACAAGTATATACCTCATGTGCTAGTGGTAAACTGGTGGTAAACTGGCTGAGATTTCTGGGAGTTGTAGACCAAAAACATCTGGGGACCCCAGGTTGAGAACCACTGTGCTAGTGTAACATTGTCAGGCAAGAATGAGGATTCATAGCACTTGCAGTGCTTTCTGAATCATAATTTTCTTTCATTACCTTGTTGCCATATAATCTTGGATTTGCAATGGTAGTGTTACTCTGGCAGCACACTTACAGATGTTGGTATGGTGATCTCTCTTATGAATCCTCACAAGTTTTGAGATCTCTGACCCACTGCCCTCACAGGTACATCTGGTGGGAACACAGAAGAGGGCTTTCTCAGTGGCTGCTCCCAGGCTCTAGAACTCCCTTCCCAGGGAGGTTAGACTGGCACCCTCTCTACTCTCTTTCATAAACAGGTGAAAACTTTTCTGTTTCAACAGTCCTTTGAGGACAGATTGTTTCGGCACAGCTAGCTTTGTATAGTGTTAATTTTATCTGTTGTTTTGTTGGATTTAACAAGGTTTATGCTTTTAAACCAGTTTTAATTTGTTGACAATTTAATCATTTTAACTTCTGTATTTTGTGAATTTGTAAATATTTTTCTAATTTGTTGCAAGATGCTTTGAGTCTTGAAGCGAAAAAAGTAATAATATATTAAATTTCAAAGATAGTTAGTAGGAGAAAGGGATTTTTCTTTTTCCAATAAAGAACCTTTTAGACTACTAGTAAATGAAGCATTACTATTTGTATTTCAGGTTGTCATGCTGGCAATGTACAATTTATCTCTAGAAGGAACTGGCCGCCAAGGTTATTTCAGATGGAAGGAAGATATTTGTGCTTTCATTGAAAAACACTGGAGTTTTCTGTTAGGAAACAGGTAACGGCATTGAATAATCTTAAAAAAGGTCTTCCAAAATGCATCCAAAGATTTTTCTTCTTCTATCTGTTTCCATTTTAATGGCCAAACTTACACTTTTTTAACAAGTAGAGAAGGGTTTGCTGATGAGGCAGACTTCTCTGCTCTCATCTTTTCTCTCTGTTTTGCTCTTCACACATACTCTGTTAGGGATTCTGAAGGTAATTACTGTTTACCATCTCTGTTTTAGGTAGCTCTGGTACACATAAACACTGCAAAATCCTGCTCTTACGAAATTCAGAATTTAATGTATTGTTCACTGAAGAACTGCCATTGCAGCCCAGTACTAAACTGTGTTTATTATTATACCATTACAGATTTGTTACTAAGTTAATTTAATTAAGAGACTATGTTTCTAACTAGTGAAAGATGGACAGTGAAGTAAGCAGATAGGAAGAGAGTTCTGTAATTTGAAATGTGGTGCTGGATAGTAGTTCTGTGGATGTCATGGACTGCTAAAAAGACACATATTATTATTATTTATTTATTTACGATATTTCTATCCCACCTTTCTCAAGCCCAAAGGTGACTCAAGCCCAAAGGTGACTCAAGATTGTTATGGCAGCAATTTGATGCCATAACAATCTACAATATACAATTAAAACAGCATTATAAAATCAATATAAAATCAATACAATACAAAAACCATTGAAAACCTATAATAACCAATGTATAAATATATCCTAGATTAATTCAAGACAGAAAACTCAGTGAAAGCCAAGATAACTAAACTGAGATTGACTCACTAGAAAAGATAATAATGCTTTGTAATGTAGAAGGCAATAGGAAGAGTGAAAGACTGCATTACGTGTAGATAGATTCAATCAAGGAAGTCACAGCCCTGTGTTTGGAAGACCAGAGCAGGGCAGTTACTGACAGGATAACTTGGAGGTCAAAGTTGACTGCAGTTAAAAACAAATATGTTGACACTTTGTTTTAATCATTTTATGCAATATTCCAAAAAATTTTTTTCAATGTTTATTTTTTTCTAGGAGAAAATACCTTTGTGGAAATACTTCCTCCGCTCAATCCCTCGCCCCCTCACTTCTCTAAATAACAGGCTACTCCTCTTCTATGATTTGTGCCTTTTCAGTTCCTAACAGAAAGCTCTTTATACCTGTCTATAGCTGTGAATCTGCCATGATGTGTTACTGTGACTGAAAATTCCATCCAATTCTAACAAACAAATAAAACAGTAGAGACATTTGTTGGTTTCTAGTTATAGTAAGTGAGAGGCACAGACCTTTATAATGTTAGATTATTGTCAGCATTTAATTCCATACTGACATCATTCATTCATTTATTTATACTGTATTTATATACCACCCTTCTCAGCCCTCAGGCGATTCAGGGCGGTTTACAATGGCAACGATTTGATGCCCAAAAACACCATAAAACATTTAAAAACAATAACACATAATATAAAACCATAACAAGAATATTAAAACATAGATCATTTACTTTACTAGCTACAGCTACAATAGAAAGTTTCATGTTATGTGGGATGAAAATTTGGACGTTTTGAACTTGCTTGTCAAAACTTGGCCAAACCAGCAAAGATTTATTTCTAGGACGGATCTAAATGAAGCACAGCAATAGGTTTCAACAGAATTTGAAATAATAAATGGTAGGCTTTTCCAAAGACAGGAGAGGGAGGGTGTCTCAATTTTCAGTACCTTTTACCTTGTTGCATTTCTGGTTAATTTATAGATCTCATCAAATGAACCCTGGATTTTAGTTTCAAGCTCAGACATGTCATTTTTATAAGACATGGAGTTGTGATGCTTATAATGGCAGGACTCTTTTTTGCCTACCTTAACTAAACACTTGTTCTTTTAATATCTAAATAACATTTCTGCCTTGCTGTAGCTTGCTATGGCCTAATTTATTCTCTCTCTTAATACCAACAAGAAGAAAATGTTCAATTTTCTCTCAACACACTATTTATATAGTCTCAGTATAACAGTAACACAACTGCATGGATCATTGATAGACATTGTACATAATATAAATAAATGCTTCTTCCGGCTGAATCATACACCGATTTGCAATGTCAGGTGCCATGACTGACCTGTTACTAGTGGCTGCTTGGAAATAAAATTTGGATAGGATGACCTCACACTGTTCCATTTCCATCTTTCACTTCATAGTAAAGCTTACAATTGAATGAGAAGTATTTTTGCACAGTACAGTTCCTACTATAAGTGTATAACGAAGAATTATCCCTCCAAGCTTTAGGACAAATTAGTTAATATAGAGTATATCTTTATTATATGCACTTCTACCTCTGTTGATCTCATTTTCTCTCCAAGTTTGTAATCTGTCACAAGATTTGGAAGACCAAGGTTCAGCTGCTAGCTGGGTACTTCTGCCTTGGGCACCAGAATGTTTTAGGCAGACTCTGACTGCAGTGCCTGGTTTTTTCTTGCCCACGTTTCGCTTTCTGTTTCATTTTATTTTCCTTCATTTTATTTAGAAAGAAGACGTCTACTTGGTGGAGCACTGTTGCTGGTTGTCTTTCTGTGGGAAGTCCTATGTATTTTCGTTCAGGGGCCCAGGAATTTGGAGAACCAGGGTGGTGGAAGCTGGTTCATAATAGGCCTCCTACATTGAAGCCTGAAGGGGAGAAACTCTCTGCATCTGCCTTAAAAGCCAAAGGTAATGATTTGTACATTGTTTATAGGTTTTCACATTTAAATAAATAAATAAGCCTAGTCTTGAAAGATGCTCTGTGTGTGTGTGTGTGTGTGTGTTGTTGGGGGGGGGGGGGTCCTGAACTTTGATAATTTGATGGGAGTGAGACAGTGAGTTGCACTTGACTATACAATTGATCATCTGCCAATAGTTTACTTCAAATCTAGAAATGAATGTATAAAGTAGGCGACATTTCTGCACAGAGTGGGTGAGTGGTCAGTGGTATTATATGTGATAGGTTAGTATTGAATGGTAAAGGTGAATGCTAGCATTGTCCATTCCCTTTTTTCCCCTCCTGCCTGATATCTGCAATTTTCTTTTGGTCTTTTTTGGTAATTCTACATATATAATATGATTGGGAATGGCATTTCATTTTGTTTATGATGTATAATGAAAATGAAGTAATTCTATTCTATTATTTTCATCCCTACTCATTTTCAGTTTCATTTAATTATCTTAGCACCAGCCATTTACATTTTTCTCTCTCTCTCTTCTTTCTTGACTTTCCTTTCTCTGATATGTGAGTTTAAAACTTCAGTGTCTACGACAGAGAATCTGTTCCCACACTGCATGAAGCATACTGTGGATTTAATTACATTAGCCTATATTTGCCTATACATTTATTACTTTTTGAATTGAATTGAACTACTTGTTTGTCTTATTTTTTTAAAAATCTAGGTTTGTTCTGTATTCATTATTCCGAAGTAGGTTTTATCCTTACCATACAGCTGAATTCTAAAGTCAATATTCTCAGTGCTTATTAGAAAAATGCTCTGTTTGTTCTCCAGCAGGTTCAAAACCATCTTTGGATCCAATAATTACAGTGGAGGGACTTAGAAAACGAGTGAGTCGCAATCCAGTAGAATCTGCCATGGAACTCAAAGAGAAGAGGTCTCGAACTCAGGAAGCCAAAGACATCAGGAGAGCCCAGAAGGAGGCGGCAGGCTTTCTGGACAGGAGTACCTCTTCCACACCTGTCAAATTCATCAGCCGAAACCGGCGTCCTGACATTATGCTTGAGAAAGGAGAGGTGGTTGATTTTTCATCCCTGAGCTCCTCGGATCGAACTCCTATGACCAGCCCTTCTCCATCTCCTTCTCCGGATTTCTCTGCCCCTGGAACGCCAGCTTCACACTCAGCTACACCTAGCCTCCTCTCAGAAGCAGATCTGATTCCAGATATAATGCCACCCCAGGCCCTGTTCCACGGTAAAGGCTTTTTAAAAGTTTCATTGTCTGTCAATCTACATATATTAGATCTCCTTTACAAAACAGTTTCTTGACCATTGTTTTAAGGGGACTAATTGACATCTATGAAAAATACATATATGACTAAGGAACTACCTCTGGATTGCTTTCTGCTTACTTTCCTTCCACCTGATTGCAGACTGGGAGTTGGGATTGCTGTTAGGTTCCTGTGTGTTAAGTTTCATGTGAGAGTTTGTGAATGAAACAGTTTTAAGAAAGATAAGTGCTTTCTCATACTGAAGAAAATGTAGTATATTGAGGATGAAATGAGGATGGATGATAGATTAGAAACATAATAATGATTCCAGCCTATATTAATACCTGTCCCTTTCTGTCTGTTGGCTGTGCCTTCTAGTAGAAGAATGCTTAATGTTTTACTGCCTGTCAACGAATAGTTATATGTACCAGTTGCTACATCTGTCAGTACATGTGCAGTTGGAAGACCTGCCAGTTTTTAATAGTCCATTTTCCTTCCTTCTACGAATAGAATAGAATACTATCTTGTTTGTAGTGGAGTTGGATTTACTTTTCTTTTATAAACACTTTTTAATAAATCAGCTTTGTTTTAGATTAGTGGTTCCCGACCTTTTTTTGACCAGGGACCACTTGACCAGGGATCACTCTCCAACATCAGTACCAAAAGGGTTACGAATCAGTTTTTAGTCAACTTTAGGTTTGGTTTGGTTTTCTGGGGTGCTGATTCAGAAAATTGCATTGGATAGACCACATCAGCTCTAGTTTCTGGTACAGAACATATGCCATCCAGTAGTTGCTATCAGACCTCACAACCTCTGAGGATGCTTGCTATAGATGCAGGCGAAACGTCAGGAGAGAATGCCTCTAGAACATGGCCATATAGCCTGAAAAACCTACAACAATACAGTTGCTATCTGCTCACCCACAGAAAACCATATTTAATAAGCCACTATAAGAGGGTTTCACGAGACCAGTCGCTCTCGTTGCAATGGTGTAGTAATGGTGAGGCTGCGGACCATATTTTATTTCTTGTGGGCCACAGGTTGGGAACTATAAAGACATTAAAAGAATATCGAGGCAGGGGGGGACAAAGAATCCCACCGCTGCCACCAATTATAAAGACATTGCTATATTGATCAATCCCGCATCGCTGCCACCAATTATAAAGGCTTGCTTTATGATATATGGCACCAACAATACTGGACAGGGGGCAAACAGATCCCACCAAATGTCCCTCCAATATAAATAATTTACTCCACTTTATAAAGACTTCACTGGCACCTATATAACATTTGAGGAGATGACTATTTAACTTTCGCTGCCACCATAAACAATTATTCAGGAACACTCTAGCTGGTTTTGTAAATATTAAAATTACTTCTAGGACCACCAAGCACTGTGTCTTCTTATTTTCTTATTTAAAGGAAACAGGTGAGGTTGAATGAAAAGAACTATAGCCACAAAGGCACACTGGACTCAGGCTTTTAAGTTTCAAAAAAAACAAGGAAAGTTTATTTAATATAGTACAGAAGAAAGTGTAAATGCTGTTTAATAGGCTTGGCTGTTACAGATAAAATGTTCTGGTACTTGAAAGCGTAACGGTTGCATGAGAATGGTTCTTTCTTTGTTACAAATATAAAACCCAGCTATTTTTCCCTAAATAGCTGTACCCAGTTTGCCACAGCTTACTTCGCTGGCAAACTTCAGGCAAACTGCCTATTCCTAACACGAACTCCTAAAACTTCTGTAATCCTGCTCTAACTCTAACATCAACAGACTGACTGGCTGAACAAGCTTCTTTCTTTCCCTCCAAACAGTCTAACTCCGCCCCCCTTTAATAAACCAATCCTGGCTGCTCTAAGGCTGGCTCAGGCCTAGGCCACTCCCCCTCTCTGAAATGGAGCTTTCCCTAAACTAAAATGGCTCCTGCTGCCCTCTGCCAGGCCTTCTAAGCTGTAACTAACTGGCCTGCCTCTCCTAGGCCCTGCCACCCAGGCTGGTAAGGGATCTTCACAGGAACCACTGTTTTAGAGTGTCAAAGGAGAAGAGGAAATGGATAGTTATCAGTTCACTTCATCAGTACTATCAAACTTGAATATTATAGAGCAATTACAATTTGTTTTTCATATTCGTGCTGTAGTTTATTAATTGGTGTATAGACATTTCACTTTTAAACCACAGTATTCCAAGAACATCTGATATTATTGCTTGTTCTGTCACAGTATTTCTGTCATAACAAATATTTTGAAATAAAATATTTTGTTGTGTTTATAGATGATGAAGAGATGGAAGGTGATGGTGTTATAGATCCAGGAATAGAGTACATCCCACCATCCAGTGCATCAGTGGGAATGATCCGAAAGAAGGTGAAGATACCGGAACAGATTAAGCAGGAGCTGGAGAGTGAGGAAGAAAAAATAGAGAAACTGGAAGGTGATGCTGAAAACCCTGATAATACTCACACAGGCTTTCAGGACCAGCATAAGGACAAAAGGAAGACACAACTGGACCATAAGGATGTTCGGTCTGGTATTCCTAAATATGGACCTGTTAGTATCTATGAAGAAAAGCTTCTTTTGAGAAACTTGGAAGCCTATCCAAATGCTGTTGCCATGACCCCTGAAGCTCGGAGGCTGAGGCGCAAGTTGATAGTCCGGCAAGCTAAACGAGAGAGAGGCCTGCCTCTCTTTGATTTGGATAACATTGTGAATGCGACTGTTCTCCTGATTGATCGGATTTATGGAGCTAAGGAAGGAGAGGGCGCGCCCTGTGTGCCAGCAGGTTATGCCACATACAGAACTACCAGCCAGGACTTCAGAATTTTGGATCGATATCAGGTTAATGCTTCCAATGCAATCATTTTTCAAATAGCTCCTTTGCTATGGGGGTTGTTCAGCAAAGGGAGAAGACGTCTTCTTGACCATGTAGTGCACATTTAAATGGTATTTGCTGTTTCTGTCCAAACCAGCGGTCAAAGGAGCATTAATTGCAAAATTATTAATATGTCGGATAAACACTACTACTTTATGCAGAACTTACTGATGGTAAGAGCTGTTTGGCAGTGTGCTATGCTGTCTCAAAGGCTGGTGCAGTTTCCTTCTCTGGAGGTTTTCAAGCATAGGCTGGATAGCCATCTGTCAGAAGTGTTTTGATTGTGTGTTTCTGCATAGCAGGGGTTTGGACTGGATGACTCTTGGGATTTCTTCCAATTCTATGAGAAATACGTGTCTATTCAAAACTCCAATTTCTTTCCTTTTCTCTTCAGTTGCTTTCCTCGGTTCACCCACTTTCTGGAAGCCCAATGCTTACTGTAGTTCTAAGTCACTCTCTAAGCATGTCCACCTTTCTTTTAAGAAGAAAAGGGGAAGCTGGGCGGGCAAAAATGACTACATAGAAATAGTGTCTTTGTTAACTGAGAAATGCCTGCAGTCAGTTTACAACCTGTTCTGTTCATCATACAGCATTACTTGGACTTTATTATCCCCCCCCCCCCCCCAAAAAAAAAAAAAATACCAGTAGCATGCTGAAATCTAACTTGCTTTTCCAAATTCTGATTATGGAAATTCTAGCAGAGATAAGAATTATTTGAAATTTAAAGTTGTAAACTTTTTAAAATAATACTAAAGTGGTTGACTTACACTGGAATTAAAGTATGCCAGGGATGTGTGTACCTGTGACAAGAAACATAATTTAAAGCATGGAAGATAAGTTGAGAACATTTGAGTAATTTTCTCCTTCTAGCATAAATACAATTGAATTATTGTAATTTTTTTTGCTATTAAATGCATTCATCTTTTTATGCTAACTTATTTGTCTATGAGCTCTAGGCCTTAATCTTCCAACTGTAGCCATGAGAAACCTTTAAATTGCAAGCTTCCCTAATCCTGCACATGAGGCTGTTCCACTTGGAAATGTCAGTTTTTGCATAAACTCCATCTCTTGAAGATGATTAACAATAACAATAAATCCAGTATTACTTTTTATGACCTCAAAAGCAAATGTTTGGTAAATTCTTGAGATGGCTTGGCATTGTTTGGACTCTATTGTTTCTATACTTATTAAAAGCTATGATATTTACTTTTCTTAAAATTGGGCATAAAACTAATAATTGCTATCTGGTTCTTAGTGTAGATTGTAATGTATCAAACGAAACAAAATGCCTCTTGCATGTAACCTATTGATAGACATGTGTTTTATATTTTCTTGTCAAATGCCAAAAGACTTTTTGTGCATATTAGTTAGGTCATTTATTCTTGATATTTTGATACTAAAGTATCTGGCCACCATTGCCTTTAATTGTTAACTACTGTATATACTCGAGTATAAGCTGAGGCACCTAGTTCTACCACAAAAAAAAAACAAAAACAAAAAAACTGGGAAAACGCATTGACTCAAGTATAAACCAAAGGTGGGAAATGCAGCGGGTACTGGTAAATTTCAAAATAAAAATGATACCAATAAAATTACATTGATTGAGGTATCAGTAGGGTAAATATTTTTTAATATTTACATAAAACTGTAATTCTAACTTTGATTAAATGATTATTCTAACTTTCAGTGTAAATGTGCTTACATATCCTTCTAATAATCACCATAGTTTATTTTAACTATACATTTTGGGAAAAAAATGCTGTGTGTATATGAATAAGGAAAAGTAAGAAACACTGGCACCGAGAGGAGAGGAAGAAGAGCTGGGTTGCTGTGCGGAGAGGTGAGGGTCCTGGTAGGAAGGCGTGGGGCTGAAAGAAGCCCTTCTTTCAGTCCCATGCCTTCCCACCAGGACCCTTACCTGCGTATAAGCCGAGGGGAGCTTTTTCAGCCTAAAAAATGGGCTGAAAAACTATTATTTATTTATCATTAACTTTATTTGTACCCCGCTAGCATCTCCCGAAGGACTCGATGCGGCTTACACGGGCCGAAGCCTCAAACACAATACAATAGAAAAACATAACACAACAATAAACAAAGCAAATCAAAACAATTAAGCAAAATAACAACAATGAACAATACATCAATACATCAAGACACTATTAAAACTGGTTCGGCCGGTGCAATGGGGTACAGGGGTTAAAAGTGCTGAGATGGCAGGAGGAACGTAGGATTAAAAGTGCGGTGTGCAGCAACATTGGTTGTGCTAAAGTGCTTCTAGGACTTGGGATGGGGGATTCCTAATCTGCGAAGGCACATCGGAACAGCCAAGTTTTTAGGTTCCTTCTGAAAACTGCTAGAGTAGGGGCCTGATGGAGCTCTTTTGGAAGGGCATTCCAAAGTCTGGGGCTGCCACAGAGAAAGCCCTGTCCCGTGTCCCCACCAAGCGCGCTTGCGACGTAGGTGGGATCACGAGCAGGGCCTCCCCAGATGACCGGAGCGAGCGTGTGGGTTCGTAGATGGAGATGCGGTCACGCAGGTAGGGTGGTCCCAAACCGTTCAGGGCTTTGTAGGTAAGCACCTGCACCTTGAATTGGGCTCGGAAAATAAATGGCAGCCAGTGGAACTCCTTAAACAGAGGGGTAGACCTCTCTTGATAATGAGCTCCAGTTAGCATCCTAGCTGCTGCCCGCTGGACCAATTGAAATTTCCGAGCCGTCTTCAAGGGCAGCCCCACGTAGCGCGCATTGCAGTAATCCATTCTAGAGGTGACCAAGGCGTGGACCACTAGGCTTATACTCGGGTATGTACAGTGCTTTCTTAATCTGTAATTTTTCTTGTTTTACAGACAAAATTGTCTAATGTGAAGGAAATTCGACAAATGGAAACAAAATTTCTATGCAGACTTGTAGGTTCAGAAGATGCCCTGACTGACCATAGCATCATCAGTCCCTACACGTCCCGTGTCTTAAAACCTTATATCAGGTAAGGATCACTACGCTATTGCTGTTTGGGAACATGCTACTCCTTCTTACTTTCAGATTTATTATGTACTGTGACAGATAAACATAGTACAGGTATGCCTCAGTTAACAAAGCCTCAGTAAAACAGCATTTGTTTAAGGTCTTCATACTACTAGCCTCCTGTTTACTACTAATCTTTTCTTTTGCTGTAATTTTGTAAACATCAGTTTTGAGGGAGCCCCCGGTGACACAGCGGGTTAAACCACTGAGCTGCTGCACTTGTTCACTGAAAGGTTGGCCGTTCAAATCCAGGGAACATGGTGAGCTCTCACTGTTAGCCCCAGCTTCTGCCCACCTAACAGTTCGAAAACATGCAAATGTGAGTAGATCAGTAGGTACTGCTTCGGTGGGAAGGTAATGGTGCTCCATGCAGTCATGCCAGCCACATGACCTTGGAGGCGTCTACGGACAACGCTAGCTCTTCAACTTAGAAATGGAGATGACACCCCCCCCCCCCCCCCCCCCAGAGTCAGACATGACTAGACTTAATGTGTAAATCATAAGAAAAATGGACGCTGTTTAAGAGAGAAATATTTTATTTCTGGATGCATAGAAGAAACTTTTAAGTGTTTTCTAGAAGGTTTGGAAATAAATTGTTCACTTGTGCAAGGCTTATCTAACCTTCTTGTTTCATTGTACTAGTGCATGGAAATGAGGTACAGGAAAAGCAATGCTAGCAGTTGTGGCACTCCTCTTCCTTTCTCCCTTCCCCTCATACATGCCACTTTTCTTTTCCAATAACATAACATAGGGCTACAAAGTGGTAGAAACAGACAAACATTGCATATACACTTAGACTTTTTTATATAGAGATTTAAACATCAGAGGGGTAACCCTACAGTAGAGCCCAAAGTAGGAAAACATTATACTATAATTTTTCTAAATTTTAATTGAATTATGAACACTATGGCATCTCAGCTAGGATAGTCCTGTAGAATCAGGAGAAATTACACAGATCTTGGTTTACTTGTTTTTTTCATTGATGCTTTCGGTCTACCCTGGTTGGGACTCGGCCCAAGTCCACATGCTCTTGCAGTCTAATATTATTTTTGTTACCTCTAGACGTGATTATGAGACCAAACCTCCCAAACTTCAGCTGCTGAGTGAGATTCGTGCCCATTCACACAAGAACGATCCCAACTGGACTGCAGAACCAGAAGCACCCATTGATTATTGTTATGTTCGGCCTAATCACATCCCCACTATTAACGCACTGTGCCACGAGTTCTTCTGGCCAGGTAGGATTTACGAGAAGATCTAGATCAGGAGTTTTAAGGGGTCCCAATGTGTGCTGCCGCTTTAATTGCTCTAGGGGGGAATTGAATTCCTGGAAGAAATGGGAGCCACCTTCCTGTGATCTTTTAGCCCAGACTGTCCTGTTGTGCCCACTTTAATCACTTGAATTTTACTGTCTTGCTCTTACTGTAGGTTGCTTAACTATGTGTTGAAGAAATCTCACAGATTACCAGTATTTTTACTTTCACAAGGGGTTGTAATATAAAATTGAGTCTGTCCTTTGTTCTGGTTACAACTATCAGAAGTTTAGCAACTCATTCTGGACCTTAGGTGGAAAGTGTACAAGCTTACCCTTTCTTGCATTATATTTTGAATCCTTTCAACAAAACAGACAGAAAGATAACTTGCAGTAGCATATATGGGGGAGCACAACACTGTCAACGACAAAGGTCATCTGTATCCATTGCTGGAGTGCACTATCTACGCACATCAGTAATACTGTACATTGTATTGTCGAAGGCTTTCATGGCCAGAATCACTGGGTTGTTGTAGGTTTTTTGGGGTATATGGCCATGTTCTAGAGGCATTGTCTCCTGACATTTCGCCTGCATCTATGGCAAACATCCTCAGAGGTTGTGACCTCAGAGGATGCTTGCCATAGATGCAGGCGAAACGTCAGGAGAGAATGCCTCTAGAACATGGCTATATACCCTGAAAAAACGTACAACCCAATACTATACATTGCAACAAAGAGTACTTATTCACAGTGAGCAAGAAATATGTGTACATTACACTGTTCATTCAAGTGATGCATTTCTCCTCTGATCTGTTGTCTATTGGCCATGCTTAGATATTGTTTGGATCTCATGTGGTAGATGGATCTCATGTGGCATAATACCACTTCTAGATGGTTTTTCATGCTTTCCGGTACCTCCTCAAAGTCAAAGAAAATGTGCCTTTTTCAGTCTGCCCAAAGTTGATATCTTTCTGTTTTGGAAACTGATACAAAACATGGTGGTGCAGTGTTTTTAATTTCTGCTTCTGCACAGTCTCAATCTCCTCAATCTAAGACTCTTATAGATGGTTGGGTAGATACACTTCCAGGCATTACTTATTATTTACTTCAGCCATACATACCTCTGCAAGCAGTATTTTGTACTGTTGTGCTGTTTTCCAATGAGTAGGACTACCGTCTATTAAAACCTTATATACTATAGACAGAGGACAGCCTCTAATGAGTCTTGCATCTTCACCCTCCAGAGAATTGTGGTACCAAATTATAACATGCTGTGTCACATATTTTGCCAACATGGCACAGACAGTCTCAGAGTTGCAAACTTCCAACTTACATAAGACTTCTAGTTACAAAGGGGATGGTGTGTGTTTGTGTGACAACAGGAAGTGAGAAGAAATCTACCTCAAGAAAGGGAAATTCATTCCTGTAAGAGTTATCAAGGGAGAAAAGGATCTCCTGAAGCCTTATGAAAAGCCTCACTTTCCTAGTTTCCAACAGACCTCTCAACCCCTAAGAATGCCGCCTACCATAGATTTGGGCGAAACGTCAGGAGAGAATGCTTCTGGAACATGGCTATACAGCCCAGGAAAGTCACATCAACCCTTTTCATATCGGTTCTTGTAATCCTTGTTTCCGTGTCAAGCCAAAACATTCAAAGTTCAATTGTCACGGGAGTAGAAAATAATGTGAAATCTTCTGAACAGGGCCACAGACAGCCAAACAAACACCACAGAGATGTTCAAATCCAAAGACTGGTTGATTGATTTTTGACTAGAGTTACAACTAAAAATGTGCGTGCTCCAACTTGCATACAAATGCAAAGCCACAGGACCTATCTTGTTCATAACTTGGCTGTCTGCATATGTTTTTGATCCCTTCAAAAACAAACCTGTTTTCATCTGAACCAGGTCAAAGGCCTCACAGCACCCTCAGTGAAGATGTTTCTCTATACCTCCCTATGCCTGCCCAGATTCCTAGTCTTTTGCAAGTCAGATATCTTTCCACTGATTCGACACTGGCCAATTCATCAGTTTTAAAAATTCAAATCCTCCCATTGCTAAAATTGACCCTACTTGGACCTCTTTCTGCAAGGCTCTTTTCTTCCCTCTACAGTACTTGATAATCTGTTGTTAAGTACTGTATTAAGTCATCTCCTAGGATGTACCAACACACCTACATTCACTTTATCATGCGATGCCAGGACTACCATGTCAGACCGCACAGAGAAGCCATTGAAATCTACAAGCATGTGGACAATTTCAACAGAAATAGGAAACTATGAAAATTAACAACATCTGGCTACCAGTATTAAAAAAAACTCTAAAATCAGGACAGTAAATAAAGAGCAACACTAAAAAAGCGGAATTCCAGACAAGAAATCAGTCAGGGCCAGCTAAGATCTCCCAACAAAGGATACCCCCAGGCAGCCACCAGTCAGACTTTGAAGCTCCAAGGCCATTAAATGCTAATTGAGGTGGTCAATTGCAAAATTCACATTTGCCTCAAGCAGGCAAGAGTTCTTTCTCCCACCCTGGATATTCCACAGATATATAAATCTCACTTTCCTAGTTTCCAACAGACCTCTCAACCCCTAAGAATGCCGCCTACCATAGATTTGGGTGAAACGTCAGGAGAGAATGCTTTTGGAACATGGCTATACAACCCAGGAAAGTCACATCAACCCTTTTCACATCGGTTCTTGTTATTAAGTCTGCTTTTGTAGTGGCCATTAACTTGGCCTGCAAAATGTCAGAATTGACATCATTATATTTCTGTTAAACCAGCCTCTTGCCTTTTCCATAACCCTACGGTATTTCTTCATTTCAATCACTCACTAATTCAGCAGGACTGTAAACCAGTTAGGCTTAAAACTACACTTTAAATTACTACAGTGTTATTCTCATAGTGCATTCTTGTTCTGTGAAAATCTAATTAAAACTTCCATTTGGTTCTTAGAGGATTATTTCCATTATCCCTTTAGATATTATGAATTGGTCCTCCTCATACACTGTTATAATTGCAGAACATTGTTTAATGTTTTCCCAGAATGCTTTCTGAGCAGTGCTTTTCTACTAAATCTCAAGCGATTTGAATGCATTTCTGTATGACAATGGTTTCATCACCAGTGTGTAATAGTTCGTGACTGCTTTTCTCATTCCACAGGGATTGACCTCTCAGAATGCCTCCAGTATCCAGATTTCAGTGTTGTTGTCCTTTACAAAAAAGTCATAATTGCGTTTGGTTTCATGGTGCCAGACGTTAAATACAATGAAGCATACATCTCTTTTCTGTTTGTTCATCCTGAGTGGAGACGGTCAGGGATTGCAACTTTTATGATTTATCATCTTATCCAGGTAGATTGAAAAGTACTTTTGTTTTTTTTCTGATTTATATGAGATTGTCCTTTTATTTTAAGAACAAACGCAAATCGAACAGGTTTATCCAAGTGCTTGTGTGGCTTGTGTTTGGAATTTAGCTGTTGCTTCCTAGTCATTACAAGAGCAGTATGACTCTGAATCCCTAAAGACACTTAATAGCTGGCATCAGTTAAGCTGATCAAACTGCATCAGAAATCGAGGCATCAGATTTTGAAGTATTTTGTGAGACCTAGGGCCAAATTCCACATGCAAATAAATTCCAAGACAGCTTGTACAGACAAGACTGTAACATGCTAGATATTTATTTTCTCCATGCCTTTGTTGATCTCAAAAAAAAGGAAAAGAAATACTGCTTTCATAATGGTGCCTGTTAATTTTTTTTTTAATGGCTCTATTCAAGAGGGTTATTGTATTCATATACACATTCATGCATATTTAACATGTTGATTAAAAATACAGTGAGTATACCAAGGCTTTAATTTCCTTGCTTTGTAGTTCCTTCAGCAGTAACAAGCAGGTCAATGGGTTTCTTAAAAAGAAGATTGAATAGGCATCAAATCCGTGTTAGCATTAGAATGAGAAAGCAGTTAGAAAAAAATCTAGATACTACTAGAAAAAGCAATGAAATTGAGAAGTGATTTATTTTTATTCAGACTTTTCTCAAATATAGAGCATATTTGCTGTTTGAGCTTTTGGGGCCTAAAGCTGAAAGGATAGCCAAATAACTCTACATGAAGCTGCTGGGAAAGATGATCTGAAGTTTTGGAGTTTGGTGTCATCTGTATGCAGATGACATTCAACTCTATCACTCCTTTCCACCTGTTGCTATTCTTGAATAGAAGGCTATTCAAGTCCCGAATCAGTGCTTGGCAGCTGTGGTGAACTGGATGAGGACGAACAAATTGAAACTGAATCCAGACCAGATAAGAGGTACTTCTGGTCAGTTGTAAGCCCAAAGAGGGTATAAGGTTACAACCTGTGCTGGTTGGGGTTACACTCCCCCTGAAGACACAGGTTTGAAGCTTGGGAGTTCTCCCGGATTCATCACGGAGCCTGGAACTCCGGGTTAAGATGGTGGCCAGGGGAGCATTCGCACATTTTAAACTTGTGTGCCAGTTGTGCCCGTACCTTGGAAACTCCGACCTGGCCACAGTGGTCCATGCTCTTGTTATATCCCAAATAGACTACTGCAATGTGCTCTATGTGGGATTGCCTTTGAAAACTGTTTGGAAGCTTCAAGTAGACCAACGGGTGGCAACCAGGTTCCTTACTGGAGCGGCAAACAAGACCCCTATTGCATCAGCTCCACTGGCTGCCAGTCTGCTACCGAGCACAATTCAAAGTGCTGGCTTTAGCCTATACATCCCTAAACAGTTCCGGTCCAGCTTACCTGAATGCATCTCCCTTTATGAGCCAGTTAGAGCACTAGATCGCTTGGGGGGGTCCTGCTCTTGCCTCCGCTACCATCACAGGTGCGATTGGTGGGGACAAGAGACAGGTCCTTCTCAGTCGTGGACCCTCGGCTGTGGAACTCCTTCCCCAGCAAGATTAGATTACCCCCCTCCCTCCTGGTGTTTAGAAAACAATTTAAAACTTGATTATGTAAACAATCAATTGGTGTGATAATAACATTGAAGCAGATAGATGACAACCTTGGGATTGGTGCAATGTCTAAATATCTAATACATTTTAGATCTGTGTTTGATGTTTTATAGTTTTATTGGCTTACTTTTTAGTTATATGTCATTGTTTTAAACTTGTGATGTACTATTTTAATTATATGTGAGGCATTGAATTTTTGCCATTTGATGTGCACTGCTTTGAGTCCCCCTAGAAGTGAGAAAAGCGGTATAAAGTGCAATAAATAAACAAACTCACAGAGCGATGTGGCCACCCCTTCATTTCCCAAAGTTCCTCTTGGACTAGAAAGGACTCCAAGAAATTAATTTTGCAGTTGAACACTCATGGCTTCTGAATCCCAGGAACTTTGCCATGCAGTGCATCACCTGCTCCTGTTGAAGCCTGAAATGTTGTGTTTTTCAAATTGACAAGAAAAATGAAAAGCAACTAACTACAATCAGAGAATGAGTTGAAGTGAGGAAATAAGACAACAAATGTAGTCTCACTATTCCTCATTCCATTCACGTGTGATCTCTGAATCGAATGCCTCAAGTTATAGTAAATACATCTTCCTCTCTTTGTAATGTATGAGCTGGTTTGTACATTGTTATACTTGGTTCTTTATGTCCTCATTTTACTCATAATGTATAATACAAGCCTTGTTTCCTTTTGACAGACTTGCATGGGCAAAGATGCCACCCTTCACGTCTCTGCAAGCAATTCAGCAATGCTATTATATCAAAAGTTTGGATTTAAAACTGAGGAGTACATCTTAGATTTCTATGATAAATATTATCCTTTGGACAGCAAGGAGTGCAAGCATGCATTCTTTCTCAGATTGCGACGATGACATAAGAATCTATTGGGAGAGTCACAAAGAAAAGTAGTCACTAGAAAATAAATAACTCCAATGTTTTGTTGTAGAGATTTATAAAGTTCTGTTGCCTTTAATGCTAATAAATTCAGTCTCTGACTTTTTTTGAGAATTAAGGTCTCCTAAAATATGCCTATCCAATCACCAAGTAAGAGTCCATCTCCTTGAGGCAATGTATTTTACTGTCAGATAGTTCTGACAATACATTTTAGATAGATTTTCCCAAGATAGAAATTGAAGCACTTGTTTATTGTAAGATAAAGTGGATTCCTATTGAAAAGAACAGTACAATTAGTACATTTGGCCAGTACGATTATTGCAGTTCCCTTCTTTTCTTTGTTCCACTTTGAAAAATTCTTGTATCAATCACTATACGTGCTTCAAGTTTTATTACATAGAAGCATATTGAGTTGCTGTGAGTTTTCCAGGCTGTACAACCATGTTCCAGAAGCATTCTCTCCTGACTTTTCACCCACATCTATGGCAGGCATCCTCAGAGATTGTGTGGTATATGCTGGAAAATAAACAAGGTTTATATATATCTGTGGAAGGTCCAGGGTGGGAGAAAGAACTCTTGTCTGTTGGAAGCAAGTGTGAATTTTGCAGTTAATCACCTTGATTAGCATTGCAAAGCCCTGCAGGTTCAAGGCCTCTCTGGCTTAGTTTCCAGTAGACCTCACAACCTCTGAGAATGCCTGCCATAGACGTGGGTGAAACGTCAGGAGATAATGCTTCTGGAACATGGCCATACAGCTCAGAAAAATCACAGCATCCCAGTGATTCTGGCCATGAAAGCCTTCAACAACACATATAAGCATATTACTTATACCTCAAAATTCAATTGTTTTATTTTATTTATTTTTTTAAAAAAACTTTACATAGTAGAGATGTGTAAATTCATAGCAAATGAGAAGAGTACCATGACATTTGTATAGTCTCTAAGGTACTAATTTTAAAGGCTTTCTATAGTCAGTTGTACTTGAAAATCTAGTGAAATTTTATCTGTTTAAAGATTGTGCCCCTCAGAATTTTAGATAATACTGATATGCTATCTTCGGTTTTGTAGCAGAGTATCACATTTTTCTCTTCATTAATAGAGGTGAGGTAGATAACGGTTTTCGCCTGACATTAATTCCAGTCATGTCCGACTCTGGGGGTTGGTGCTCATCTCCATTTCTAAGCCGAAGAGCCAGTGTTGTCCATAGACACCTCCATGACTGCAAGGAGCACCGTTACCGCTGGAGCTGTACCTATTGATCTACTCACATTTGCATGTTTTAAAACTGCTAGGTTGGCAGAATCTGGGGCTAACAGTGGGAGCTCACACCGCTCCCTGGATTCGAACCAGTGACCTTTCAATCTGCAAGTTCCATTGCGCCACGGGAGGCAAAGGTGATGAAGTCTGGAGTTTTTTTATTGTTAAAGAGAAATAAGGGAACCTGATTGAGCCCCAGGAAGTCTATGGGCTCTCACTTTCTTCATAGGCAGCAGGCAGATCCCATTAAGTTGATGGGCACTTGCTTTTATCCTGCATGCAACGGAAAATAGAGTGTCACCCCTTACTCTCCTTTATTTGGAAATCCACTGTTTCTTATATCAATTACCAATCCATCTTTGCAAGTTGCTGGGCCTTTACAGTGTTCTCATGGTGTTATTCCCCACTGTGTCATCAGTACCACATCTGTATCAATACCATGCCCACAAGGCAATACCATCCTCAACACCTCATAATACTGGTCCAGGAGACTGCATTCCTATACCAGACAATGAAGATTTGGAGAGAAAGAAGCCTCACAACAATGAGTCTGAACCAAACAAACAAAGAAGGAATGATTGTTCGTACAGGTGGCAGTAGCTCCAGTCCCGTTGTTTCATTGTTACTTTCCTCTAAACTTTACACTCAGATCTCCCCAAGAATTCAGGAAAGGTTGTACAATGCCCAAGTCATTGGTTCTGTTTTGGAGGGCGTGGTTCAGGAAAAGTTGCTTCATGGAGAATCCTAACAGTAGCTATCACATGAGGTCCACCTTGTGCCCTCTCAAAGTTTGTGAGGCAGTCATATCTTCCAGCACCACTGGACACTGTGGCTATGAACTTCCTTCACATCACTAGACAAAGTTAGACTCATACCAAAATGGTCAAGTGTGTTATACATTTTCACAAGAGGAATTTCATTAGATATTGTCTTAATTTTAGTGTTATTGGCTGCTTTTGTTCTCTTTTTAGAATAAAAAAGGTGGGAAATAAATAAATGAAAAATTCCCATCATTCACCATGGTTCGGAGACAACAGATTCCTCTCTGAGATCTTGAGTTCCTTCATACCTATTACTTTATCTACCTTCTGGAAGAAAACGGTGTTATAACTCCAGTCTGTCAAGTTTGTCACAAGTGCTGATACCATTCACAATTTCCAGGATTGAGTGAATGTTCTTACTCAAAAGCCCATTGAACCATTTTCAAGCGCCAGCAAGAATTCCGCAAAAAATCACTGTTCTGTGAGTGTTGTCAGCTTTTTCAGCACCCATGTTGAACTGGCCCTGGTTGTACTGCCATTGGGTATCTTGTTGCTTCCTCCTGGCTACCGTGTCAATCCCATCGCAGTTGGTACCAACCCCCACTGCTGCTCCCAATACCTCTTGTTGATCTGTTGTGGAAAGCAACCACCCCCTTCATATTGTTATTAAAAGAAAATGGTTAAAGCCCCTATAGAGCATTTGTGGCTCTCTCTCTATAGATCTATCTATCTATCTATTGGCAGAAGGGGAGTAGAGCTCTTCATGATCTTGTGGTGTGGAGCCGGGTGCTAATGTAGCTCTTAGCCTTCCAGTTAGGCAGCCTTGTTCTAACCAAATGTACCAATTTTGTGTTTGCTGCCAAAATTAGGTGCTGGAAAGGAGTACTGAGGTTAATTATGTTGTAGACAGGCAGCTACAATTTCTTCCCACTCTGGAATTTGTTCTTTTGCTGGAATTCATAGTGAATGACCTTGGGCAGAGTCCGCCTCTTGTCTCACACAATGTAATTATTTTGATTTGGCAGGGACACATTCAATTAATCCCTGTCACTCTACTATTCAAATGGCTTTTAAAATAGCCACGTTTTTCTCTCTCATTTGCCCTCCCTATCCTCAACTTCAGTTGCTGCACACTGAAATTAAAGTGCAAAATATTTGTTGCTCAGTCAGCAGGAGGGAGAGGAGGAGGGGGTGACATCTTGCCCTTCTCAGTATAGTTAGCCACAAGCAAACCGCTGCAGGCATTCCTAGCTTCTGTACTTTTCCTCATTAATAACTTTTGCCATGTTGGCTACACTCTAATGTTGTTTGGCTACATGTGTTTTCATCTGTGACTCTGCCTCAACCTCAAAGGAAATCCAAATTTAATAATCACAACAACAAAAAAGTGAAACAATGCACATTTCCTCAATTTGTACAATTTATTTACATCAGTCATAAATAAGGATAATGGGAGCTATCTTCCATCACATCTGGCGGATACTAGCTTGGGCAGAGGAGCAATCCAAAAAGCTATGGATTTTCTTGACATTAACATTCCTAGGCCAATGTTCCTTTTCAGTTAAACCAAACTCTCCTGCCTCCCTTCAGTTTTAAAATTCTTGACTTGACAAGATTTTAGTTTCTTCATGTCTACATTTTATCTAGTCAAACTTTCCAATCTATTGTTATTTATTTATTTTGTCTTAATTTCATTACTTCACTTTGTTAAAATAGGTGAGATTGTCATCAAGGCTACAGAGATGACAAACATAAGAGAAAAGAAAAAAAGGTTGAATGAGATCAGAGATATGAAGGGAAATTATTTTTCAATAAAGGATTGTTGTTTAACAAGCTGGTGTGGGGCCAATGAATACACCAATAATTTTTTCCATTAATAAAGCTCCCTAGACCCTGTGCTACCAGTCATCTATTGAAGGGGCTCCTGTTTTCCAATTTCTTGCCATTTCTATCCTGGTGGCTCTGATTAGAAAACATATCAATGATTTATGTTACAGTTTCTTATTCTCATCAGAAATATTAACAATAGAACATAGCAAAGTACAATTGCTCATTTAATAATGTCTGTGATAACAGAAATTGCTTTCACCCAGAATGTGTTTCTCTTCATGCAGGAAAACCATGAAAAGGGGAAGTGAAACATGAAATAAAGCAGGAAATAAATATATTAAAGATTTCTCTTGGCCTGGCTGTTACTTTAATTTTGGAAGCTCTAGTTCTCCAGAAAGGGGACACTGCTTTTAAAAAGGTGGTCAAAAGAATGGCTGATGTGCGTTTTTAAAAAGGCACATGAATCTGCAGCTCCAGTACTGAAAGTAATAATAATAATAATAATAAAGCTTCTATGTCATCTTCAGTGTTTGCTCACATTGCAGTTTTATGTGTAAAATATATGATGAAAGATACAGAATTAGAAGAGCAAGCATTGTCTTAAAGAATAAAAAGAGTCTTAGAATTTGTGGCTGATGAGGGTTACAATGCAGTGCTTAACAGCATGATGCAGCATACATGCAAACAATTGGAAGGTTCTCTTTGGGTGAAACATTGGAAATCTGATCATATACTACAAAATAACTGCATTTGCCCCATTTAGGACAAATAACTGGAAAAGAGATGAGTAGAGGGGAGAGAAAAGAAATGTGTTACATTCAGATAAAGAAGTTTGAGAGAAAAACATTTCAAAGAAATTACAATTCATATTCTTTTGTGGAGGAAGAAGTGGCAGCGGACAAGCAGAATATATATATATATTAAAATCATGGTTTAAAATGAGAAATTAATTTAGAAGACAGGGAAAACATTCCAGATCTCTAAAAAGCAGAGGAGAAAATGTTGGTGCAAAAAGAGAGAAACTAGGAAAATTGGGTTTATATATCTGCGGAAAGTCCAAGGTGGGAGAAAGAACTCTTGTCTGTTGGAGCTAAATGTGAATGTTTCAATTGGCCACCTTGATTAGCATTTGATGGCCTGACAGTTTTTAGGTGTGGCTTGTTACTGCGTGGGGGAATCCTTTGTTGAGAGGTCATTAGCTGTCCCTGATTGTTTCTTGTCTGGAGTTCCCCCGTGTTTGAGTGTTGTATTTACTGTTATAATTTTAGAGTTTTTTTTAATACTGGTAGCCAGTATTAAATGAGTCAGACATTTCAAGGCTAGCAAAAATACAGTCTGCATACTTAATTATATTGTCCAGAGTAAAGGGCTTACTGGGGATGTTTTCAGGAGAGCTTTGTGTGTTCCTGAATGACAGAATTGGGCTGGACTGGATGGCCCTTGTGGACTCTTCCACCTATGATTCTATTAAACTTACAATATCTGAGGGAGTGGGTACTTAACATTTGAGGCTTTATAACTTTATAAAAACTAAATTGAGAGAGGGGTCTTCAATTTAATTGAAAGGGAGTGACTGGGGAAAGAGAAGCTCGTACTTGGGGATGGATTGTTCTTAATCACCCGTAAGAATGAGTCTATGTGGTTAGTACCAGCTTCTCATTTTCTAATAAAAAAAATCTTCCTACACTACCTGTTGCTTAAAACAGATTTTATTTCCATTTGGTTTGGAGACAAATGTACATTTACATTTGCTAGTAGATTCCAATGGTAGGATACATAGAAATTTAATCTTGTAAGATAAAAGCAGGGAAATACAAAAAAAACTTAAATGATGCTATGAGAGCTAGCATGGTGTAGTGATTTGAATGTTGGGCTACGACTGAATAAAATAAAATGTTGGACCAAGACTGAATAAAATTCCACATTTTCTGCTTTGAACTGTAATATATGGCAGTGTGGACTCAGATAACCCAACTCAAAGCAGATATTGTGGGATTTTCCTGCCTTGATACTCTGGGTTATATGGCTATGTGGAAGGATTCTAGGACTGTCAAGAGACTAGGTTTCAAATCTTCACTCAGCCATAGAAACCCACTGAGTGAAATTGGGTTAGTCACACTTTCTCAACCTTAATGGCAGGCCATGGCAAACCTCCTCTGAATAAATCTTGCCAAGAAAATCCAAATTACAAAAAATAATAGTAGTAGTGCTATGGAGCAATGTTAACATAAATGACTAAACTATAGTAAGAAACTCTGAGTCATGTTAAGTTTGTATATAAGGAATGGAAAATGATTATGCATTGTAGCAGATGCTGTAAATTGCACACAGCACCACCATCTTGAGCTTGAATCAGTTGTGAATTCAGAGTCAGCTTTCAGAGCACAATACACAAAGATATCTAGCGGACTACACTCCAAACATCAGCAAGAGAAGGAATTACAATCAAAATATCATCTGTAAAGTTAAATGATATTGGGTTGTTGTAGGTTTTTTCGGGCTATATGGCCATGGTCTAGAGGCATACTCTCCTGACATTTCACCTGCATCTATGGCAAGCATCCTCAGAGGTAGTGAGGTCTGTTGGAACTAGGAAAAAGGGTTTATATATCTGTGGAATGACCAGGGTGAGACAAAGGACTCTTGTCTGCTGGAGCTAGGTGTGAATGTTTCAATTGATCACCTTGATTAGGATTTGATTGCCTGGCAGTGCCTAGAGCAAACTTTTGTTGAGAGGTGATTAGATGTCCTTGTTTGTTTCCTCTCTGTTTTTGTGCTGTTGTAATTTTAGAGTTTTTTAATACTGGTAGCCAGATTTTGTTCATTTTCATGGTTTCCTAGAATGCCTCTAGACCATGGCCATATAGCCCGAAAAAACCTACAACAACCAAGTGATTCCGGCCATGAAAGCCTTCGACAATACATTAAATGATATTGCATGAACCTTGCCATGAGCAAAGTCGTATGCATAATTAATGTTAGAAGCCATATAAATCAAAAAGAAAACTATAAATTTGGTCTTCCAAAATAAAATAGATGCTGGAACTATTAATTAGCAGTTACTTTTGGATGGGTAGGTTTGTTCAGCCTCCTCTACTTTAGCTTACTAGCAAATAAGGAAATTATTTTGTCACTTCCACTCTTCAGTGCCAAATCATAGGCTGACAACCCGCTGGCATTCTTCTTTGTAACATCTGCATTGCATCTGTGGAAAAAACATCTGTTTAAGGAAAAATTCTGGCTGATAGATCTATGGGAAAGATGGGTATCTAAGGCCAGAATGCCTAATTTGAATGTGTGAACGTTACACTTGATGTTTGATCTTAATGCCCCACCCAAATCAAGGACCTTTCCACAGATCTATTCCAACTTACCCTAGCAAAGCTTCAGTGCATTTCCACCCTTTGCTTCCAAGCAAGACTGCTTCATGAAGAGCGGTGTTGTTATGTCTGTGTGAAGTAAAAGGGAAGAAAGAAAGCAATACATTATAAACAGAAGCCATTTGTTGTAATTCAAGAGTAAAGAGAAAAGTCTACTTATAGGGAATAACAATTATTTCACTAAAGGACCAAATATGAACCTTTTCCAGATCTGATAACCATCTTTCTTGCAATAAATAAAATGAGCCAGCTTTTAGTTTCTCTTCCTGTTTCTCTTCCACTTTGTTTAACTTTTTTGATCCTGAACTGAATGCCGATGTTGTGTAAGGGACAAAAATGTCCATTGGTGAACATGCACATTTGTAAGACAAAAAACGATTCCAGCCAATGTGTGCCATGACAAGAATATAAGAAAGAGCTGCACATTAGCATGGGGTACTATTGAAGCAACTTGTTCAGATAGCAGTATAAGCCAGGCCTGTAGCCAGGATTTTGTTTCGGGGGAGGGGGGGGTGAGTTTGGTTCGGGGGGGGGGGGGCTGAGTCTGAGTGAAAGAGGGTCTACCCTAGCAAACCTTTTGTATCGTTACCCTAATACCCCCATGCATATGGGATATATTGAGTATAGTGATCAGATAATTATATGAATAAACATAGCCGTTTAAATAATGCACCAGTAAGGCCTTCTCGTGGACCACCATCAGAATTTCAGGGGGGGGGGGGCTGAAGGCCCAAGCCCCCCCCCCCCCCCCCCCCCCCCCCCCCCCCGGCTACATGCCTGAGCCTCATAGTACATGCACATGTTCAGTTTGTGAAGGAACCATGTAGATCTTTTCATACAGTATTTGTATCTCATATTTTATGCTTCCATCTGTAAATACGGATTAAGGATTATACCAGCATTAAATAGTTCAGCATACGTACAGTCCTGATTGATGGTCGATGTCTGCACCTTTTGCTATAAGAACAGGAATAATCTCATGGTAATTGTTCAGGACAGCTACTGTTAAAGCCGGTTGGTCATCACTATTGGTGCAGTTGGGGTCAGCTCCCTGTGTTTAGCAGAAAATGAGACATACACTGTTTGTTTATGGGGTTTATACCTTCCTCCCAATATGGGATCAAATATGAGACTGAATGTGTAACACAATAGCCTGAATGTGAATTAAGTGGTTTATAACTATAGAATGAGAAGAACTGGCCAGGACCCAGAACCATTATACCTCCTCTTCCCCCCAAGTATCAGGTACAACAGGTATCAGCATTTGCAAGTTTATTTACTTATATCTCGCTCTTCTCACCCTGAAGAGGACTCAGGGCGGCTTGCAGATTATGGCAAAATTCAATGCCTCATTATACATACAAATAATAAACATAACATTTCAAATTAGGGGCCAAGATTTTTTTTAAAAAAAAACATCAATTTAGTATTAAATTTAAAAATTACTCCTATTTATGCCATACGTTTTGCAACTTAAAGCAAAGAGAATTTGGTAAAAGGAGAAATGGCTATATGAATAGGACCTCACTAGAAGTGGTGGCGGCGGCTTGGTATGGAGCTTATGCGAAGTTTAACACCGTTTCTCCACTGACTGACTGCTTTTTAATTTTAAGAGGTTTAAAAAAAACTTCAATATCTCTTTGAAATGTTTCTATCAGTTTTAAATTTACATTTTCAGTGAGAGGAATGAAAAGAGCAGGAGACTTTTCTCTGAGAAGCATCTTATTATGTATTCCACTTAGAAAAAAGTGTGCAAAAGGTCAGAACTGCTTGATGTTCTCACAAATATCTTAAAGATAGGGGAAAGGTGTGTTAAGGTATACAGAAAACAGTCAATTTTTGCAAGGATCAACACCAAGGTTAAGGTAGATGAGTGTGTAAAGAAAGAAAGGGTCCACATGCAGGTGTGTTGCTTTGGTTAATAGATGCAACTCACTTCTCTTGCTGCAATCAACAGGGTATAGCTACAGAGGTTTGAGTATACCATTTGGAGCTCTTTACAAACTGCTGTTGAGGGAGTTGAGCTCTGTTATTTTTCTCCTGCAGATTGTTGATACAATGCTCTTTGGAAAAGACAATTTGTTTCGTAAGTAAGTTGCTGAGCTAAGCTATATTTTATTTTGAATGCTGAAGGACTATATTTTCTGTTGCATCTGGATAAAGAAGATTTTCTTCTCTGCTGAAACAGCTGTAAAGAGTAAAGGAATTTTCCTTTTGCAAAAACCTACTGCTACCCTGGTGTCATTATACCTTCAAGGGTACTGCAGTTGGATTTTAAGGTTGGTGATCTAGTTTGACAGATTGTTTTCTGGCACTAAATGGAACAAGTTGGGGGGATTTTCTTTCAGAGAATCCTATTAAATATATTGGCAAATAACCACAGAGAGTTACAAGATGATTATTCTGCCACATTGAACACTTATATCAACTAGCGCTTTTCCTTAAAACAAATAAAACAACAAAACTAAAAGAAACAACCTGTGAAACATTTGAATTAGGAGTCTCCCATGAAAGAATTTTCACAGCTCCTTGTCTGAGAGCCTAAACACATCAGACTTTGTGATTGATGTGTTTAGCAAACAAATTAATCAGTACTCTTGTCTGATATGCTTGCTAAATAGAAACCTTTCTACTTTCTATATTCTATCTTATCAGAGGCCTCTTGTTTGAAAGATAAATAATGCATCATCAAATATGGCACACCCACTTGTTTTTGAGTAGAGGTAGGAAAAATAGTTCCAAATGACATGGGTAAAGTGGGGTACATCTTGCAACTTTTAGTCCTCCTGGGGCATTTTAAATCAAGGAGATGCATTTTTTTGAAGAGGTTACCAGAAAGTCAGCTACTGGTTCTCTGGAACATAAAATCGCCCAAAGATGGGGAAAGTGGTTTAATAACCCCAATGCCCACTAGGGCTTTGGCAGAAGGTAAAGATCTCCAATGTGGGCTCCCAATCTCTGCTGCTTCCAATGCTGTTTTATTTTGTTGCTGAGGTCAAAATATACATTTTACTTGAAACTGGTTTAACTTATAGTTCCATTTCTACTTGATTTTCATTTGTTTGAATGGTTACTATTTTCTTTTTCCCCTAAGAATATTTAGGAGTGGTAGTTTTGTCTTTAAACAGACCATATTCCTCCTCAAAACACTGAAATCCAATATATACATATATAAACTGGAAGCAAACCTCCAGTATTTTTTTGTTTTTTTATTTTTAAAATGTATTTTAAAAGTTTTATTTGGGTGGAATTGACTCTAGATACCCTGGATTTGCTCAGCCTTTATCAGCAGAATGGAACCTTAACATTTTTGTGAAAACTCTGGAAGAAAAAGAGAGCCAAATGGAAAGGATAAAAAATTAATCTGTTGCTTCCTCGGTTAAAATGGTACCATATTTTGAAGAACATGCTTTCTTCTACCTTACTGAGCTTTTATGAAAAAAAGTAATATAGATTACTAGGATGTTATTAAAACTTTACCTCATCAATTAGCTGTTCTATTAAAAAGAGTTCTCCATGTCCTTCTGGTCCTACTTCCTTCAATAACTGCCTCGACTCAGACTAAAAAAAAGAGAAACCAAACAGTTAATAGGGACTTTCCTGTTAATATATAGTACAGGCCAAATGTTTTCTTTTCAACCACAAAAACAAAGCTATATTTTATGTGCATATTCGTTTCTGTCAATAATGTAATTTCAAGAAATAAAAACAAAACAACCCAACTAACATTTCAGAAACACTGTGCGAACACCAAGCACAAAGTAGCAGCACACAATAACATCTTGTGGAAACTTACTAATAGCGCATGGGGTGCAGATCCAAAATTAATAAGAACATCAGCCCTGGCCTTGTCATACTCAGCTGCTGAGTATACCTGCTCTGTCTGGCATAAATCTGCCCACATGAAGCAGGTGAATATAGCACTAAATGAGACATGTAGAATAATCACAGGATGTCTCAAACCTCCATCTGTTGATAGACTCTATAAGCTAGCTGGCTTTGCCTCCCCCCCCCCCCCAACCTGATATGCGATGGGAAGTTGCTGTCAATTGCGAAAGACGGTTGGCTATCAGCCTCCTCCCAGTAGGCTTAAATCAAGGAAAAGTTGCATGAGAACTACCACTCCTTTAAATGTTTCCTCCAGAAACAGTAAGAATATCCCTGTGGGCAGCAAAATCAGACAAATCCAACTGGATACACCCCCCAACCCCAATCAGGGTCCTTCTCCAGGGGCAAAACAAGAATGGGCAACTTGGAACAGACTCAGAAGTGGAATGGGCAGATCAAAAGACAACATGGTTAAATGGCGCTACCTAGAAGAGTCCTCCACCTGTGTGACTATGGAGCAGAACAAACATCTCAGTATCTGTATGCTTGCCTACACTGCCCTGCCTCACACACAGAGGAAGAACTGTTTAAAGCTATGGACAATGCAGTCACTGTTGCCCATTGTCTAAAATTATTTAACTGCTTGTGATCCTATTATTTTATCCATTTTAAACGTATTTATTTATGCAATGCTTCTGACACTAAATAAATAAATCTACAACCCACTGAGGCATAGCAATTTTCCCCAATGGATCTTATATTTCAGTATCTATTTGAGTATGACTCTTCTATGTATGCAAATCAAAGAGTTTTCTTTTTCCCGGAATGGAATTATGAACCAGCTATATGATGATAAATATTCCAACTTGTTGCTAATTAGCTGGTAGCATGACCTTCCTAAACATGAATTATTTTGTTTCCTCCTGGTCAGAAAGTTGGTGCAATCCTCAGTGTCAATTTCTAGTTGGAAATGTGAATATTTGGCAACATTTTGTACAAAATGTAGCCCGCCATTCCAGGTCTTCCTTTATATTTCCTTAAGCTATTATAAAATCGCTCTTTCAAGAAGTTCGTATAGACTTTCTCCAAGAGAAGACTGTATGTAAACGGTTCTCCCAAGACACTTTGATTCATGATTCAGAAAAAGTACACTTATTCCAGATAAAGTTCCAGATTAGATGAGGTGCTTCCAGGCAGAAGGCACCTACAGCTCTCAGTTAAATGGCTCTGTGCATTCTTTCAGACTTAGATGGTGTCTTCTGGTTTAAAAAGAGAAAAGGAAATGCAGAAGAAACAGTGATAAAACTGAATTTGGCTACAGTTTCAAGATCACAAAATTGTCTACAAATGAGGCAGTAGAATGACCACAAAACAAAAAAACAAAAAAAAAAACAAAAAACAAAACCCCAAAACAGAACAAAACAAAATAAAAACAAAAAAACAAACAAACAAAACAAAACCAATAAAACAAATAAAACAAAATACAAAGTCCTCCTCTAGAGGCATTTTAGCTGCTAGTCCCTACTTGATGATACCTTGAATTTCTTCAACAGCTGTTGACGTAGCCCTCCTCTCCTGCCTTCTCTGAGTCAATGGTACCATCTGAGTATAATATATTAGCTGGGACATAACTGTGTTCAATAACTGTGATCCATCCTGACAAAAGTACATTGGGGAGGCAAGGACTAATGTAGGAGGACACTGAGAATATTGCCAAATCTTCCACAACAACACTCAGATAATCAACATCTCGTCCAAAAAATGCAGTTAAAGCCTCACCATCAGGAAGTTTTTTTCCTAATGTTATAGACAATAGAATTTTGAGAAGACAAAAATGATAAACTCAATGAGATCAATATGCCAGGGTGCTTAGCATTTTTTCCTTAAGCACTGACTGGCCAGCTAGGTAGCTGTCTCCTGAAAATGACATTAAGAAAAAATCCATCCAATTTAGCCTAATTCTGAGCATATCACAATCCAAGTTCTGTGAACACTGACATTTTTATTATCATGCCTACAGCCAAACAATAAATCTGTCCCTTTAAGTAAGTAAACATCATTTCCAAAAGCAATAAATGTAAATTAAAGTCGGTGGAAGACATTGTAGAGCAAAAAGAACAAAAAGAAGAAATAAGGGGAAAATGTTAAATTAGCTCAGGGATTTAAAGTAAGACAGCCACTTGTAACATATCCCAATAATCAAGTATTGATGGTAAAAGAAATATTACATCAACTGAAAGAAGAAAAAAAGGACACTTGGGATTTTTTAGAAGTCCAAAGTGATAAAGTATAGTTGTAACAAAAGTAGAAGAACCACCACTTTGAGTCCCACCCATTGGAGAAAAGCAGGATAAAAAGAAATAAATAATAACTTGGATCCATATTTGGTTGAAAAATGGTACCCAGTGTGCTATCATTAACGTGTCAAACTTAATCTAGTCTTGAGTGGAGTGTCATGATACTTGTCCCTCATCACCTGCTGCTCAATACATGTTTAATAAGTGACTTGGATGGGGGCATAGAAGGGATGTTGATTATGTTTTCAGATGACACAAAATCGACAAATTGCAAACTACATGCATGTCATGGGACACACAAACAGTTACAGGACAAGCCTCAAGTGATATCCCAGCACAGAAATCTGCCACAGAGGTGCTCTCTAGAGTTGAACATCCAAGCTCTCTTTAAAAATTTCCAATGAAAGAGGGTATATCACCTTACAAAGGAATCCGTTCGAGTATTGAATGGCTCTTATAAATAAATTCTAATATTTAGGCAGAATTTCTTTTCTTGTCATTTAAACCCATTGATTTAGCTCCTACACACTAGAAGAGATTAAGCTTCAAATGTTTTCACCTACATCCAATTGATTATTGATAGCAGTAATGAAATGTTTCAGTAATGAAATCGTTGGGTTTTTTTGGGGGTGGGGGAGATAGAAAGGAGAAAGAGAGTTGAGCATCATCAGCATATTGATAATATTAAATCCCAAATGCCACATAGCATCTCAGAGCAATTTCATACAGATGTTAATCAGAATAGAGAAAGAGAGAAAGAAGCTAGTGTTGAGGTCGATAACAAACAGTAAACAGGAGTCTTCTAGCACCATATTTTGGGTCTGCCCCTCCAAAAAAAAATCTGAAGCCCCACAAAACAGTGCATCCAAGACTCTTGCAGGGATAAGTCCCACAAGGTCAATGATATCCAAAACTACTGGGAAGTCTAGAAGAGCAGGGATACACTTCTATCCAGTTCCTAGTGTTGGTCGTGTACTAAAGTGACCTAAGCTGTCTTTACAGTGAGACCTGAAGCCAGATTCAAATGGATCAAAATAATCTGTTTCACCAAAGAATTGGGAGCCACCTCTAGTACAGTGGTTCTCAACCTGTGGGTCCCCAGGTGTTTTGGCCTACAAATCCCAGCCAGTTTAGCAGCTGTTAGGATTTCTGGGAGTTGGAGGCCAAAACATTTGGGGACCCACAGGTCGAGAACCACTGTTCTAGAACATTATTAAATAAAGGCACATTGAAGTCATATTTATACCATTCTAGTATTTTGGGGTTCAGGGAGGGCTTTTTTTCAGTAGGTACTTCAACCACAGTTTCCTTTAAAGAGGATGCACAGCTGCTTTGCCTTTACTTGCTTGGTTAGATTCCAAAACAAATGTGGTTGGTTCTCACTTCTAAGGATTCTGTCTACATCTTCATTCTGCTTAAACTAGAACATATTCAATAACACAGAAGCCAAAGTTTCATCCACTGGACCTGTATCAACTATAGAGTACAAATCAGAGCTTCAACAAACGGGGTGTAGCAACTACAGATCTATCTACATTGCTTCAAAACAAGTAATACAAGATGTTTTGATCGAAGACCCCCCTGGAGATAGGCTGTCTCAGCAATGTATTCCTGTTCAACTGGAGAAGTTCTGTAGTACAGATATTCTCTTCATTCCCACTCATCACCAGGTAATGAATATTAGACAAGGCCAGGCACATGTTCATGCCCCATAGTGCAAAGACAGCCATGATTTATTCCTCTCCTGGATCTTTCCAGAGGTTAGTATCAGAAGTTTTGTTGCATCCAGACTGCTAATTCTCCATGATGGCTGAGTGAGGCATTCACAACTTGAAACAAGCTAGAACTGATTACATCCTCAATTATCAATTTTTTTTATTATCTAAGGCTACTTGTGTGAAAGATAGCGAAGGTGCCTGTGAAAGGTGCCTTTAAATCTCCCCTTGCTTCTGCCTCACCCTTAGAATGCTATATATATATATCTATATATATCTATATATATAGATATATATCTATATATATATATGCTATATATATATATCTTGTCCCTACTTCGTGGATTTTCACATTTCAAGGGTGGTCCTGGAAGGTAACACCCACGATAAATGAGGGAACACTGTATTGCAGCACATCTCCATAGGAGTAACCTTCAAATTAAAACCATATACATACATTAAGCGTATCTTCTTTTTCTAGAGATGTTCTTGTTTCTGTTATCTTTTTGCTGTTTTTGTTGAGGCTTGATATTCTCTGACTCACTTCACTTGCTAAAACAGAGAACACAGTGTTGAAATGCGATATCAATAGCACAGCATGGCAGCATAGGAGTGATGCATGATATACTGACATCCTTGATTAAGAAAAAATTATTAAAACAAATAATTTTATATTATCTAGGTTTTCCTAGATTCAGAACAAATCCCACATGCTGTCACCCAGAAAACATTCTATTTGTTGCACCTTAGCACTGGAATACCCTTTCACCCAGCACCACACCAGAGTCCAGTGATCCAATATAAGAACGTTTATTAAAGAAAAGGGACAAATCCATCAAAGTCAGTACAGATATAAAATGCAATTCTCAAAAGAAGCTAGCATTCAGTAGCAGTAATCCAAAAAGGCCAGGATAGAACACAAAGCCAAGGAATCTCAAAAATATAGAATTATTCCAAAGGTTTATCCATGAACATGAAAACAGGAACTTCTCCAAGGTAAATTCTCCAAAGAAACATAGGCATAAAACAGGAAAATGAAACAGAAATCTTGACAATACAGTAACCATGAATTTGGAATCAATAACAGGAGACTGATCTCCTATAGCAACATTGTCTCCTCTAAAGGCCTGAACCCAAACCACTTAATTTAAGCCCTCTAACATACCCATGACACCATCTGGACTTTAAGAACTTATCTTGGATTCTCTCAGAATATTTAGTTTGCTGGCTTTTTATGCCCTGCGTTCTCAGGTCTAATCTATTCTTCATGGAAAACTCCCCATCTTCTGAAGGCCTGTTCTCAAGGGAACTGGAACTGTCACTTTCCCTCACTGCCTGAGAACCCAAAACATCAGCCTCAACTGCCTGCAATTCTCTCTGATCACTCACAGACTCCTCACTTTGAAACCCATCATCCCCTACATCCTCTGAACATTCAGAAATATCCTCTGATGCTTGCCAGATGACAACACTATTTATATTTTAGGTTGAACTGCAGGATTTGCTTTTTTTAAAGAAAGAAAAATGAATAGGTGATGGATGAGTGACTTTCTGAATCCTTGTGCTTTCTGACTTGTTGTTGACCTAATCGTTGTATTTTTGTGTTCAAGAATAACTTTTGAGATCCTGCATCAGAGGCTATGACTTTACAAAGATGCATCTAGATCCCTGACATGATATGCAAACCCTCTAGTAAATTGTAACAATGTATAATGGGACATCCTGTATAGCCTTCTATGGCACTATTGTGTAAACGGCACATTGCTGGTTCAACATGAATAATGGTTTTAAAGAATACCAACATGGTGCATTGTTGCAATTTACCTTTACATATTTGTCAGTCAATTTGCAATGACATACATATCTAATGAGGCACCAGCCAATATTTTGAAAATAATGTGGTATTTTCTTTCATTGAAACCCCTTTATGGCGATCTTCAAATCTACTTTTGTCTTCTTTTCGAGATATCCAATTGCCAACCTCCATTTTATAACAAATTCTTCATTATTTCCTCCTCTGCTGCTATTTGTCAGTTTGGCCATTTGGATATAATCTACTAATTTATCTCTCCAATCTTTTATAGTTAACTCTTTTCCCCCCTTCCATGTTTTAGCTATTGTTAATCTTGCAGTGACAAAAAAATACTGACAAATTTCTTCATCTCCTGCTCTAATATGACTTCTAAATATTCCTAATAAGCACATTTCTGGGGTTTTCTTGATTTTTTGCTAATCATTTTGTTTGTTTCTTTCACCACTTTTTTCCAGAATTCTTTAATTATGTTGCAGGTCCACCATACATGGAAAAAAGATCCCTTCACCTTCCTGCATGTGGGTAGTTGTGGGTTAGTTATGTGATCCACACGGAGTGTGTGTTGGAGGTCATGGGGGTTGGGTTCACGGGTGTGGGGTTAAAGAGACAATAAATGTTAATGTATTATAACTGTACAGTCAAAGTTGATTTTTCATATGTTTAACGAGCACTGACTGTATACTATTCTGTAAGCTTGCATACTCTTTTGTATATCCTTTTTTTCTTTTCTGTTTTTTTTGTTTGTTTTCTATTTATTTCTGTTTTCCTCTGGTGTCGGTTTTCTGTATGCACCATAAACCAATAAAAATTTTTTTTAAAAGAAAACAAAAGAAAATAATGTGGTATTGAAACAGTATTCCCAAAAGCAGCTATTATTTCCTCCTTTCTTCTTGCCAAGTATTCTATTCAATGCCTGCTTTACCATTAGACAACTTTTCCAGGAGTATTTTACTGTCAGAATTAGCAACTTGAACTCTATATGAGCCAACGTCCCCTCTCATCAAATCACCAGAACACAGGAGCATTCATCTGAACTGGCTTGATTTTCATTTAATTCCTTCTACCTGCTTTGATGGTGCTCAGATCATACTCATCAAATGGCATGGGTTTGATAGTCAAAATATCCTGGAGAATGAAAAACAAAGGATTATTTATTATATGACAGCTTAAGTTGATATAAAAACATCATTGTAAAAACTAGTTTCAAAATTCTATTATAGGGAGCCATGTGACTTATCAATTCTTTTCAATTTGATGATTAGTACAGGCAGACAAGTATTCCTAAAATAAAAATTTCACATTATCCATTTTTCTTAGGGCAATTTGTATGTACTTCATGTGTCATCTCCCTTTTTCTAGATCAGCATTTCTCAACGTGTGGGTCTGGACCCCCGGGGAGGTCACGAGGGGGTGTCAGAGGGGTCGCTAAAAACAATAAGAAAACACAGTATTTTCTGTTGGTCATTGGGATTCTGTGTGGGAAGTCTGGCCCAATTCTATCGTTGGGGATCAGAATGCTCTTTGATTGGAGGTAAACTCTAAATCCCAGAAACTACAATCCCCAAATTTTATTTTCCCCAAACTCCACCAGTGTCCATATTTGGGCATACTGAGTATTCGTGCCAAGTTTGATCCAGATCCAGCCTAGCTTGAGTCTGGATGTAGGTGAACTCAAGGTCAATGCCCACCAAACCCTTTCAGTATTTTCTGTTGGTCATGAGAGTTCTGTGTGCCAAGATTTGTTCAATTCCATCATTGGTGGAGTACAGAATGTTCTTTGGTTGTAGGTGAACTATACATCCCAACAACTACAACTCCCAAATTACAAAAACAGCCCCCCAACCCCACCAGTATTCAAATTTAGGCATATCGGGTAATTGTGCCAAATTTGGTCCATTGAATGAAAATACATCCTGCATATCAGATATTTACATGACGATTCATAACAGTAGCAAACTTACAGTTCTGAAGTAGCAACGAAAATAATGTTATGGTGGGGGGGGGGTCAACACAACATATGGGGAACTGTATTAGGGGTCGCGGCACCAGGAAGGTTGAGAAACACTGTCCTAGATGATCTGCTTCCCCCTGCTGCTCAGCACTGGGAATAGCTAAGGAACATGCAGATTTTCAGCACAAATCAGCTCCTGGGAGGAAGGGGTTGAAAATGGGATCTCAATGAGGGGTGTGTTTTTGTGTGTATGTGTATTTTCTCCTTTATTTTTAGAATAGAGATGCGTGTGGGTAGAGGTAATTGGTTCCAGCCACATTAACTCCTCACGGACCACACTAAATTAGGAAATGTTTTACTCTTTTTATTACATTGCTACTTCCCTCATGCCCTAGAATTATGCAAAACATGAATTAAATCTTTTACTTCTATTTTCCATGCAATACATCAATTTTTTTGGTAGTGCGAGTCAAAATATTTGGATTTTAAATTGATTTCTTGTCAGTCTCCTAGCCATATGAACCAAGGAGTGCTATATCTTACTTCCAACCATATTTATGGGGGTAAGAGACTGGTACTTCCTTAACATAGTCACTTTCTCTCTTAGCTCTTTAGGTCCTTCATGTTTTTCTTCACACCAAGTACTCTATTTGCAGAACTTGGGTTTGCCTCTGACAGGAGATGGAAAACATCAAATCTGGTAGCCAGTTAAGTCATTACGGCATTATTTTGTGCCCAATTCACTTTATAAAGAAAGCATAAGTGACTGAATTCATATTGTAAGTCTGAAAAAGGAGGAGATTTTGCTAAGTTGTCTATTTTAGGGGCCTTCCAGACCGGATCTATATCTGATCCCAGGTTGTCTGCTTTAAACTGGATTATACGAGTCTGCGCTGCCAGATTATCTGGGATAAACAGAAAATCTGGGATCAGATCCTGGGATATAGGGCCTGTCTGGAAGGGTCCTTAGATAGTAGTTTAGCCCCACCTCTCCCATTTCAAAAATAATTAAAATAGTTGTTAACCCTTAAGCCTGATTAGCCTGCCATTAACTAATTTGAACTATTGAGATCTCATCACAAACCTACAGCTTTATCATGTTTTTTAGTGCAGATTTACAAACTGACCTTATTTCCAGCAAGTGCATAATTTATCTGGAGACTAACTTGATAATCATCCTTGTGAACTGTAGCAGAAATAAGCTGTAGAAGAAGGAAAAAACAAACAACAACAGTTAGCTTTCAATTTCTTTTTATTCAAAAATAAAATGAAATAATAATAATAATAATAATAATAATAATAATAATAATAATAATTTATTTCTAGACTGCCCTCTCTCCCCGAAGGGACTCAGGGCAGTTTACACATAAAAAAGGCAAGCATTCAATGCTTCAGGTGAATACAAACATATCAAAATAATATACAATAAAGCAACAGTGATAACAGTGAGCTTATGACAAAGAAGTAAGCATTTTGATGAAAAACAAAGCAATCCAATACATAATTAAAACATAAGTAAACATTACAACAAATACCCTAAAAGCAATTTAAAATAGTTATATTAAAAATGGCTGGCATCAGTGTTCATTTGAAATGTAACATGGCAGCCATATAGTACAAGTTGAATTGTCAATCTTTTTTATGTGAAGACTATAATATCTCTTTTCAGTTCTATCCAAACCAACTAATAGTATCATCTCTAATCAGCCAGTCAAGAGTCGTGCCATTTTTCACCTTAAATATTAATCCCATATCTATTTTTATCCCAGATCAGTATCATAAAAGTCAAGCTAGATTCCTGCTTGAGAACTCACCTTCCCCATTTGAGGCTCTCCAACTGATGTCCTGAACTCCAGGTTATTCTGTGCATAGCTTCTGAGGTGTGCACAGACATGATCGAGTTGCTTCCTCCAATAACCTGTGAAAAAGAAATCAAAATGAGAAGAAATATAATTTCACAGACTAGTTTAATAGAATGGTGCAAAACAATTCTGTTATAGGGTTGCTGTGAGTTTTTCGGGCAGTCTGGCCATGTTCCAGAAGCATTTTCTCCTGACGTTTCACCCACATCTATGGCAGGCATCCTCAGAGGTTGTGAGGTCTGTTGGAAACTAGGCAAGTGGGGTTTATATATCTGTGGAATGTCCAGGGCAGAAGAAATAACTTTTGTCTGCTTGAGGCAAGTATGAATGTTGCAATTGGCCACCTTGATAAAAATTTGATGGCCTTGTAGCTTCAAAGCCTGGCTGATTGCTGACTGGGGGATCTTTTGTCAGGAGGTGATAGCTGGCCCTGACTGATACTTGGTTTTTTTAATGTTGCTCTTTATTTACTGATTTTAGAGGTTTTTAAAATACTGCTAGACAGATTTTGTTCATTTTTATAGTTTCCTCTTTTTTGTTGAAATTCTCCACATGCTTGTGGATTTCCTTTCTGTTGAAATTCTCCACATGCTTGTGGATTTCAGTGGCTTCTCTGTGTAGTCTGACATGGTGGTTGTTAGAGTGGTCCAGCATTTCTGTGTTCTCAATATGCTGTGTCCGGGTTGGTTCATCGGGTGCTCTGCTATGGCTTATGTTTCTGATTGAGTTAGTCTGCAGTGCCTTTCATGCTCCTTGATTTGTGTTTGGGTGCTGCTATAAATGGCTACAAATCCTGCTATAAACTGAGAAACACTGCATATTGATTCAGCTCAACTATGAACTCTCAATGGAAAGTTTTTAAGAAGCCACTATAATTATATGAAACCACAGTGGACAAATTGGTTTGAAGAACAAATCCTTCCCACTAAGCATAATAGATTATTAGTATATAGTAAGATATGCCTAGCCAATGAAAATTGAAAATAGTTGACTCCAGTTTCTTTAAACAGAAATCTAATTTTGTTCAAAACAAATAAAATCTTGTTTGTTCTACTTGTATTTATTTATTATACCAGAATATCATGGGATGACAAAGTTAGATTTCTCCCCTTACGTGGTCAGAAGCCATATTTCCTTCCTATGCTACCATACTTAAATGCAAATTTATCAGACTTCCCCTTGGAGAAAGTGAATATATTATGGTGGAATGAGAAGGGAGGTTCATAGGAAGGCAAAGGATAAAAAGAATTGCAATTATAAATGCCAGTAAAGGACAACAACTCTTGGGGTGGTGGGGCAGCTGAAAATGACCTTGAATGGAAATTCATAAAGAAAGTACAATGGCTTAGTACACTGATTTACAGACATTCAAAAGTTCTACAACAAGGATGACAAAACTGACAAATTAAATAAATTAAAACCCCATCGTTAGTTTTTGGATGATATATTTCTAAATAAAGAAAAGATCAAACTTTTGTTTACCTCTTCCAGGACTGATAGCTGTGAGCAGAGGGTTGTGATCATGTATCTTACTATGCTTCTCCTTTTGAGAAATCAGATCAGATTCTTTCTTCTCTAGATGTTTGCTGGATGGATAGAACAAGCCAGTGGTCTGTGTTCCTTGTTCTTTTTTTCCTAATAAATCTGATCTCGATGTTGGCAATGAAACAAGTGATTGCTCCCAGGCCTGCAAGTTATCATTCTGTTAAAAGAGTTCAAATGATAAAACATATACTGTATTCTCAAAATACACTAAAATTAGCTTCCTGTTTTTCTATATCAAATGGATATACTGTATTTTCTGAGAACAGCCAGTGTTTGCTGATACTTTACAACCTAAAGCAGCATCCATTGACATCCTTGTGAGGGTTCAGAATGCATTATACAGAACATTGCCACAATAATTAAAATATCCATCTAAAGTTGATCAGTCCTCTTTCTGCCAGCAGGCAAATATTATGTTATTTACCTGGCCCTTTGACTAATAATTAGCTATTGGAAAATGGTATTTTAATGGGATTGCTGTATCAATATTTCCCTTATATGTTTTTAATGATTTTGAATTTGTAAAAATATATTTTAGCTATATTTGTTTCCATCTGTAATATAAGCTACTCAGTCAGGTTCAGCGCGCACACACACACACATATCAGTTTGTAGCTGACAAACTGAGACTAACACTGGGTTACTGTGAGTTTTCTGGGCTATATGGCCATGTTCCAGAAGCATTCCCTCCTGATCTTTTGCCCATATCTATGGCAGGCATCCTCAGAGGTTGTGAGGTTCTCACAACCTCTGAGGGTGCCTGCCATAGATGGGGGCGAAATATTAGTAGAGAATGCTTCTTGAACATGGCCACACAGCCCGGAAAACTCACAGTAACCATGAAAATCTGGATTATATGGCAGTGTAGAAGGGGCTGCTACAGTGCATCACTGAAAAAATTACCAGAACTTATTCTGCTTATTCAAAAAACAAAGCGGTGATTTACAAGATTTACATTTTTTTTTACAATGTACAATTATGTGAGAAAATGGGAGACTAGATCAGGGTCCTGAATCTTGGATTGGTCAGACATCTGAATAGGAACCGAAAAGGGAATTTTCTCCCATTGATTGGCAAAGTTACCCAGATCCTTGTTTCTGAGCTTTGTGGGACCTTCTTTTCCACCACACTCATAGACATACAGTATCTGGTGGTAAGAAAAGAGAGAGCCTTCATTCACTGTAGTTGTTCCAAATATCTGTAACTCTTTTTCTAGAGAAAGGAGAGAGGAACTCTCTGGAGCAGCAGTTCACAAAACTTTTCAATAATGGAAACCTCCATAAGACTCCCCCCCCCCCCCCCCCCCCAACCAGATCCCTAACTCTGTCCCTAAACATTGTGAACCCCCTTTCATCTAGTGTTTTGTATAATGTAGTAAGATTGGAAATAAAGAGAAAACATTTTAAATATAACCACAAATGTTTTTTTTGGTACGAGAAAGTATTTGATATAACTACAAACATTTTTGGTATAGAATAATATTGGATTCATGCCTAAAATGATGAATGAAATTGTTCCATGCTTGTACTGAAAATAAGTTTTGAAAATGACAGCTGAATATGTAAATTAGGGATGGCATTCAACTAAATTATTTTTGGTATAAGCATAAGCTAAAAAGTCTGATTCCCATCGATGCACAGATACAAAGGGGAGCATTGCTTGGATAGCCTGTCTGCCTACTGACAGCTATATGTCTATCAATCTTATCTAAAATTCATTCAGTGGCAAAGATTCAAAATTCATATTTATAGCAGAGGTACATTAAATTTCAATAAGACCTGGCACAGACTTTCTAAAAAAGTTATAAAAGATTTTTCACTGAACCCTTATGATGCTTTTGGGGAACCCTAGGGCTCCATGGAACAGTCTGGGAACTGCTGCTCTAGGGTAACTTTCCAGAAGCAGGGAAAGACTTGTTTCAAAAGATCTTTGGGAACTGACAGTTTATTCATAATTTTGTCTTGTGGCTGGGGAAAAAAAGCAGAATACTAAAACTAAAACTAATAGTAAAATTGCCCACATAGTTGTTCTTTTTTTTTTCTTTTTGTAGCCATATCGGTTTGCTCTTATGACACAGATTTAATGTTAGCCACTACATATTGTGATATATACATATGACTGCCATTTGTATGGAAGAGTATACCTTGGAAATCCCTCTGTATTCTACAGCAGTCAACTGTTGCATATCCTCAGAGCCCAGCCTGGATGAATGTTCAGCTTTGCAAATGCTGCAGGATCTACCATATGGATATTTGCTTGTGCCACACTTGAAACAAGTAAATTTACATTGATGTTGCCCAGTCTGAAAAGAGACAAAAAAAAATCAAAATTGATTGTAGACTGAGCAATTATTCATAAATGTACACTGAGTCTGGGATCTGAAAAGGTTTACAAAAACTGCTTTGGAAATTAACTGTAGCCAACAAAGCAAGGAGACTTCATTATGCGAAACACCAAATATCGGACTGTCATGGGATGCCTGCACCTCAACTCAGCAAACAGTATGGCAAAGAATACTGCCTTTGAGTGCTTAATCATGAATACCAGCGACTAATAGGACATTTCCTGTATTAATCTGTATAATCCAATTTTGGGGATATCTAGACTAGCAAACTGGAACAATAAAAGATTCTGAACAATTATCTACAGATAGGAATGGGAAAGCCTGGAAAAAAAAACCCAGAAAAATGGGGGGAGGGGTTTATTTCCCCCCAATTTTTCTGTTTTTTCCTCCAGGACTTCCCATCTCTAGGAATGGATGACTTAACAAAACCATCAAACAGTAGAGTCATAACATGTGAAGTGCAAAAGGAAAACAAGCTACAGGTTGAATGAACATCACTTATCTGGAAATCTAAAATTCCAAAAACCTCCAAAACTCATTTTTTTGCCCCCCCCCCCCCCCCCCCCCCCCCCACTTTTGCTTTCCAGGTGAAGACAGCAATGCTTCTGGTCATTTATCACTCAGATTCTTAACCTCTTTTAGCTGGCAGCTGTCTTCTGATTACTGAATGTATAGCAGAAAGTGCCTCATACAGAAGCAGCATTGTGGGGAGAGAAGTGGTTGGCAGAGAAGGGTGGTGGTTGAACAGAGAAGGGAGAGGGAGGGGAGCTGCTAAGCCTGAGGGAGGTTGCCCAGCTACTGAGGGAGGTTGCCCAGCTACTACCCATGTTCCCCCAAGCCAAGGTACTTTTCTGGAAGTACAATGGCACTGGGTGAAGGTGGCAAGGTGTGCTAATTGTGTGTAAGAGGCTTAAGAATGGGTACCATTAATAGCTTCCTAGGGTGACATGTTCAGTGTGGAGTACATCGCACCACGTTAAAACAATGGCTATGACTCTTAATGAGACATGCCACTTTATCACAGGATGTCTAAGCCCCACACCACTGCAGAAATTATACTGTTTAGCTGACATTGCACCAGCTGACATCCATAGGGAAGTAGCAGCCAATAATGAAAGGACCAAGACAGTGACATCTCTGGATCATCCTCTGTTCGGATATCAGGCAGAGAGCCAACACCTCAAATCAAGAATCAGCTTCCTAAGATCAGGAGAGATACTCGCAGGAACACCTCAACAAGAGAGAGTCCAAAAGAGGCAGGTTAAAACTCAGCACCTTAACCAATAGCTGAGAGTGAATGAGAAACTTCCTCCTGGGCACACAGAAGATTGGGCGACTTGGAAGGCGCTGAACAGGTTGCGCTCCGGCAACATGAGATGCAGAGCTAACCTTAAGAAATGAGGCTACAAAGTGGAGTCCACGGCATGTGGGAGCAAACCACAGACCACCTACTACAATGCAACCTGAGCCTTGCCACATGCACAATGGAGGACCTTCTCACAGAAACACCAGAGGTACTCCAAGTGGCCAGCTTCTGGTAAAAGGACATTTAGCATAATACCAAGTTTTTAAACACTGATTGTTTTTTTTAAGTATATGTTAAGTGTACCCTCAACTCGCCTCTGACATGATAAATAAATGGCTTCCTAACCATCCAACCATTTCAATTTCCACAGTAAAGTTCTAAGTGTATTTTGTCCAGGTCTTTTTATCTGACCATGCTCAATACAAACATTGTTATCAACTGGCATTCAAGTTTTAAACAGAAACGTAATTTTTAAAGACTGCTTATGTTTATTTTGTGAAAAAATCTTCATACCCTTTGCTCTTCATGTAGATGGCTGTCACAGATGACACACTGTTTAATGTGAACTGGATTTTCTGCTCCACAGACACAGCACAGTACTTTGCCCTTTTCAAATACAAAACAAGCACGTTTCACTTAAACTTTAAAAATACGAATGCCAGCAATAGATGCAAGATGAACCAGCCATTATTGTACTTTTTACTACAGCAAAACATCATCCTTCTACTACTCGTTCAAGAACTGCTTTTGTATTATTCTTTCTTTTAGTACTGAAGCTCATTATCAAACACAGATTCCAGGATCTTTATTGAATTCAGCTGTGGCAGGATCCAACTGTGTACATCTGCTGATGGGTGAAAGCATACTATAAAGTCATTCCCATCTGCACATGGTTCTTGCACATTCAGTATCTACTCTGGAGGCCCAGAAATCCTCTATCATGGTAGTTTTTTAGCTAACACAGAGAGTTGAGAAAAAATAGTGGGTATGTTGGAACTGCATGGGGAATAATTCACCTCTGTCTGATGATTTTATTTCTCCATTCACACAGCCTGTCACTCCTTCCCTGTCACTAACCATGCCATATGTTCTGTATCAAAACCTAGAGCTGGTGTGGTCTATCCAATGCAATTTTCTGAATCAGCACCCCAAACCAAATGTAAAGTAGACCAAAAACTGATTCATAACTCTTTTGGTAGTCTCTGATCAAAGTGGTCCCTGGTGAAGTGGTCCCTGGTAAAAAATAAAAAAATAAAAATAAATAAATAAATAAATAAATAAATAAATAAATAAATAAATAAAAAAGGTTGGGAACCATTGGTTTAAAGCCTTCAGGGATCTATAAGAATCCTGTAAGTAAAATATGATAGATCTGCCACCAAATCTGTGATATAGCCCTTTTGGGAAGGGATTTATCTAACATTTTCAATTTAACATTCTTCTTGGAAAGTGTAATATACTGATACTGACTACATTTTTAAACAGAGGACTTCCATGTTATAGTTTCTATTACTGACCTTAGCATCTGCAGGAGGTAGAGTGCTGCATTTAGGCACTGATGGAATCAAAAAGCCACATCCTTGGCAGAAATAAGAATTCAGATCAGATGACTGAGCAGTTAAGCAGTGTACATGCCTAGGAAAAACAAAAAATCAGATTGATTTGGTGGAATCCTTTATGTTATTACTCAACTAAGAATAACATAAAGGATTCCACCATGAAAAATCTAACATTACTACATGTTTTAGTTACTAGTTACGTACCCCAGGATGAAGTGAGCTAGCTTTATTAGTGTAGCCAGGGCCGGCCCTAGGTAATTTTCAATGGTAAGCAAACATTATTTTGGCGCCCCCTCCCCCCAACCAATCACTGAAAAATAAAACGTAGAAGGTAGAGGTGAATAAAAGAGTTACCTTACAAACCAGAAATTTACTTACAACATTATGTTTATATAGTTACATTACACAAATTAACTTTTTTAAGAATGCAAATATTTTACTAAACTTAGCAACAATTTTAAGTTTTTGTTGTTATTTTTGGTCTACAAGTACTACACAAAGGTTTCCTGGTCATGCTGTCTCTTCAGAGAAGATTTTTCAGACTAGGGGTTTGCTAATAACAGAGAACTCAATCCCATGCTTGTTGGGTCTGTCAATCAGATTTGTTTTGGAGAACGCAGCCCCAGGAGAATAGACACCTCCTTTTTAAGAAAGTGAACTCTTGTCCTTCAAAAGTGCCATGCCAGCCTGGACCATTACAATGGGTGTGGCAACATAGCCAGCCTCTGGCCCCTTCACTTTAGTGGATACTTTAACATCCAGTTTTCCTTAACACAAATAAACTTGAACACTTTTAAAATTAAAAAGAGATTTTTCTGGCTTTCAATTTTGAAAACTCGTGTACTATTATATCTGTTTCCATTTCATCCAACAAGCCATTTTCAATGGCCAAGGTTGCTAGTCCACTCAAGCGCTCTTGACTCAAAGTTGATCTTAAATACGTTTTTATAAGTTTTCTAAGATCTACAGAGACACTCGCTGGAACACCTCAGCAAGCGAGAGTCCAAAAGTGGCAGGCTCAAACCCAGCACCTCAGCCCATGGCTGATACCAGATGAGAGACTCCCCCCTGGGCACACAGAGGACTGGGCGACTTGGAAATGGAAAGGAATCACACAGGATCATATTTTTGCAGTCCATTAAGTGTGTTGATGACAAATCAGATAAAGGAATACTGGGGAAATTAATATAAAGCAGTGTGTATAAAGGGACATTACATTTGGTAATCTAATGCAGGCTTTAAAAGGTTTTAAAGATCAAGTCAGGGTCTGCTGCAGTTTTTAGTTTTGGATATGTTTTTTATGGATTTTAACTGAATTTTTAAAATACCAATGATATTTAATTCCATTTTAATGTTTGCATATTTGTGGATTTTAGACTGTACTGAAATGTTTTTAATCTAAGCCAACTTGAGTCTTCTTGGGGAGAGAAAAAGCAGGGTATAAATAAACATACTAATGTGTTGTGGAAGGCTTTCATGGCCAGAATCACTGAGTTGCTGTGAGTTTTCTGGGCTGTATGGCCATGTTCCAGAAGCATTCTCTCCTGACATTTTCCCCACATCTATGGCAGGCAACCTCAGAGGAACAAAATCTGGCTACCAGTACCCTCTAAAATAACCCTCTAAAATCAGAACAATAAATAAAGAGCAACACTAAAAAAGGGGGGAATTCCTGACATGAAGCAATCAGGGCCAGTTAACCGCTCCCAACAAAGGATTCCTGGGCAGCAACTAGCTCAGCTTCGAAGCTGCAAGGCCATTAAATACTCATCAAGATGACCAATTGCAACATTCACACTTACCTCAAGCAGACATGAGTTCTTTTTCCCACCCTGGACATTCCACAGATATACAAACCCCACTTGCCTAGTTACAAACAGACCTCACAGCCTCTTGAGGATGCCTGCCATAGATGTGGGAGAAACATCAGGTGAGAATGCTTCACCAAGCACCAAAGAGCATTCTGAACTCCACCAATAATAGAACTGAACCAAACTTGGCATACAGGACTTCCATGACTAAAAGAAAATACTGGAGAGGGGGTTGGGAAAAATAGACCCTGACATTTGGGAATTGCAGTTTACCAAGCACCAAAGGACATTCTGAGCTCCACCAACAATAGAATTGAACCAAACTTGGCATACAGGACTTCCATGACTAACAGAAAATACTGGAGAGGGGGTTGGGAAAAATAGACCCTGACATTTGGGAATTGCAGTTTACCAAGCACCAAAGGACATTCTGAGCTCCACCAACAATAGAATTGAACCAAACTTGGCATACAGGACTTCCATGACTAACAGAAAATACTGGAGAGGGGGTTGGGAAAAATAGACCCTGACATTTGGGAATTGCAGTTTACCAAGCACCAAAGGACATTCTGAGCTCCACCAACAATAGAATTGAACCAAACTTGGCATACAGGACTTCCATGACTAACAGAAAATACTGGAGAGGGGGTTGGGAAAATAGACCCTGACATTTGGGAATTGCAGTTTACCAAGCACCAAAGAACATTCTGAGCTCCACCAACAATAGAATTGAACCAAACTTGGCATACAGGACTTCCATGACTAACAGAAAATACTAGAGAGGGGGTTGGGAAAAATAGACCCTGACATTTGGGAATTGCAGTTTACCAAGCACCAAAGAACATTCTGAGCTCCACCAACAATAGAATTGAACCAAACTTGGCATACAGGACTTCCATGACTAACAGAAAATACTGGAGAGGGGGTTGGGAAAAATAGAGCCTGACATTTGGGAATTGCAGTTTACCAAGCACCAAAGACATTCTGAGCTCCACCAACAATAGAATTGAACCAAACTTGGCATACAGGACTTCCATGACTAACAGAAAATACTGGAGAGGGGGTTGGGAAAAATAGACCCTGACATTTGGGAATTGCAGTTTACCAAGCACCAAAGGACATTCTGAGCTCCACCAACAATAGAACTGAACCAAACTTGGCATACAGGACTTCCATGACTAACAGAAAATACTGGAGAGGGGGTTGGGAAAAATAGACCCTGACATTTGGGAATTGCAGTTTACCAAGCACCAAAGGACATTCTGAGCTCCACCAACAATAGAATTGAACCAAACTTGGCATACAGGACTTCCATGACTAACAGAAAATACTGGAGAGGGGGTTGGGAAAAATAGCCCCTGACATTTGGGAATTGCAGTTTACCAAGCACCAAAGAACATTCTGAGCTCCACCAACAATAGAATTGAACCAAACTTGGCATACAGGACTTCCATGACTAACAGAAAATACTGGAGAGGGGGTTGGGAAAAATAGACCCTGACATTTGGGAATTGCAGTTTACCAAGCACCAAAGGACATTCTGAGCTCCACCAACAATAGAACTGAACCAAACTTGGCATACAGGACTTCCATGACTAACAGAAAATACTGGAGAGGGGGTTGGGAAAAATAGACCCTGACATTTGGGAATTGCAGTTTACCAAGCACCAAAGGACATTCTGAGCTCCACCAACAATAGAATTGAACCAAACTTGGCATACAGGACTTCCATGACTAACAGAAAATACTGGAGAGGGGGTTGGGAAAAATAGACCCTGACATTTGGGAATTGCAGTTTACCAAGCACCAAAGGACATTCTGAGCTCCACCAACAATAGAATTGAACCAAACTTGGCATACAGGACTTCCATGACTAACAGAAAATACTGGAGAGGGGGTTGGGAAAAATAGACCCTGACATTTGGGAATTGCAGTTTACCAAGCACCAGGACATTCTGAGCTCCACCAACAATAGAATTGAACCAAACTTGGCATACAGGACTTCCATGACTAACAGAAAATACTGGAGAGGGGGTTGGGAAAAATAGACCCTGACATTTGGGAATTGCAGTTTACCAAGCACCAAAGGCCATTCTGAGCTCCACCAACAATAGAACTGAACCAAACTTGGCATACAGGACTTCCATGACTAACAGAAAATACTGGAGAGGGGGTTGGGAAAAATAGACCCTGACATTTGGGAATTGCAGTTTACCAAGCACCAAAGAACATTCTGAGCTCCACCAACAATAGAATTGAACCAAACTTGGCATATAGGACTTCCATTACCAAATACTAGAGAGGTTTGGGGGAGGCATGTACAAAAGATGACATTTGCAGTACCTTTTGACGAGGCCTCCTTGCTGCCCTGAGAGGGGTCCAGGCTCAGCTGCAGGGAAGGGAAAGCGAAAGCGAAAGAGCCTGGCTGGCTGCCTCCCTCCTGGCAGCACGTGGAGGGAGGACTTCCCTCTCGCCTAGTGGGCGGGGCCTGCGCGTCTCCATTAGAAGGCTGTTGAGGGCGCATGGGGCCTCCAGGAGGAGGCGTGGCCTAAGGACAAAACAGCGCCCCCTGGCAAAAAAAGTATTCCGCCACCGCTTACTTCGAGTAATGGACGGGCCGGCCCTGAGTGTAGCACCCTGAGAACAGGAAAGGAAGCCAGCCAAAAGATGTGAGACTATTTATTTTTTAGACTTAGGATACTAGAATAGCTGTGTTGGACTAGGCATTAAGAGAAAAATACAATGGCTTAAAACTACAGTCAAGTATACTTTGGGTCCATGCTATGGTGATAGATCTAAATTGTTGGGCTGAGAACCTAGTTTTCTGCAGATGAAGAATTAAAGGATCTGGGGGCAGAAGACAGAAACACACATGATTATAGGATCAGACGTACATAAACTGAAGCCCTCACGCAAGTAGGTATGTTGAGGTTTATGGCACAAAGCGGCTAGACTATTAATATACCAAAAGCAGAAGAAACTGGGACATACAAATTGGAGGTCAGTGAGGCAAGAAAGTCTCCAATACTGTTTGGTGCAGTTAGTTGATCAGTATGAGGGAATTACTTGGAAAAGGAGGTTTTATAAGGTCTCTACCCATTTATAGGGGCAGTCACTCCTATTCAGGCTATGGAATCTGTTGGCAGTATTTAGCTAGAGGGACCCTTGACATTTACAGCCTAGTCTTACTGACTGGTTTGAGAACTGGATTTTTAGTAAATATGAAAGAAATTGTGAAAAGCTGATTGATGTAAGCCAAGATTCAAGACCACTTTCAGCATCTTACAAGACAGTATGCTATGACTCCACATGTTTAAAAATACACAAATCACATACTTGGCAAAATCTGTTTCTCTCTGCATTCTCAGTCCCTGAGCACTTGTAGGTTTTCTACTACTGCCCACAGAATACTAAAAAAGCAACAACAAAAAACAGGGTAAAATATCAATGTCTCTATAAAAACAAGCACCGTAAGTGGTAAAATGCATTATTCAATCATTTCAGACAAATAGTATTAATTGTGTACATCAAGGATAATCTCCAGCTTGGATGCCAATTTAGTACTTTGTTAAATGGGCCAATTCAAATTAGATGTATTCAGATTTGACTTCAGTTCTGAACCCAAGATTTTGGAATTCAAATCTTTTAACTGAATATCATCGAATTCTGTTTGTCAAAACTGCATAGAATACTCTGTTTTGTCTAATTCATTTCAGTCAACAAGTCTTTAAAAAGGAAAACTCTCTGGGTTGCTGTGAGTTTTCTGGGCTGTATAGTCATGTTCCAGAAACATTCTCTCCTGACGTTTCGTCCAAATCTATGGTAGGCATACTCAGAGGTTGTGAGGTCTGTTGGAAACTAGGCAAGTGAGGTTTATATATCTGTGGAAATGTCCAGAGTGGGAGAAATAACTTTTGTCTCCTTGAGGCATGTGTGAATGTTGCAGTTGACCACCTTGATTAGCATTTAATGGCCTTGCAGCTTCAAAGCCTGGCTGCTACCTGCCTGGGGGAATCCTTTGTTGAGAGGTGTTAGCTGGCCCTGATTGTTTCATGTTAAGAATTCTCCTTATTTTAAGTATTGCTTGTAATTTACTGCCCTGATTTAGAATTTTCAATACTGGTAGGCTGATTTTGGTCATGTTCATGGTTTCCTCCTTTCTTTTGACATTTTCCACATGCTTGTGGATTTTAATGGCTGTGTAGTCTGACATGGTGGTTGTGAGAGTGGTCCAGCATTTCTGTGTTCTCAAATAATATGCTGTGTCCAGGTTGGTTCATCAGGTGCTCTGCTATGGGTGACTTCTCTGATTGAATTAGTCTGCAGTGCCTTTCATGTTCCTTGATTTGTGTTTGGGCAATGCTGTGTTTGGTCTACTGTATACCATGCAGCTGTCGACAAGTCTACGCAGTGGCTTATGTGGAGTGTCATATTTTTCCAGTGGTATATCCAGGTGGTTTCAATACTGAGAAGGTAAGCTGTTTAATTGAGCTGGTAGGTCAACCAATGGTTGGATCCAGATCCATGCTGGAACCAAGCTCCGTTAAGTGGAGGTTGCTTACCTGTAAACATGTTTTCCCGAGTGACCACCTGTGGATTTGCACCTATGGTAATTCCTGCGCACGCGCAGGCAGCATCGGACATTCTCGAGACTCTCATAACCGTTAGCTAAGCCACGCCCACCTCCAAGTACATAAATAGCCCCTCATGGAGCTAACGGTCAGTTCTTCCGCCGCATTAAGCAGACAGAAGTTCCGAGGCATGACGCAGCGGGGAGGTCGGGCGGGCTGTGCAAATCCACAGGTGGTCACTCGGGAAAACATGTTTACAGGTAAGCAACCTCCACTTTCCCCTCGTGACCACCTGTGATTTGCACCTATGGTAATAGACTAGCGAGCTGCTAACCTTGGATGGTGGGCGTCATGCCACCGCTGAAAACAGAACTGCTCTTCCGAAGGCAGCATCCTTCTTAGATAGTATATCAAGCTTGTAGTGCTTCACGAACGTCAGAGGCGTGGACCAAGTCGCTGCTCTACACACTGCGTCGATCGGAACACCTCTCATGAAGGCTGTTGTCGTAGCAACCGCTCTAGTTGAATGCGCCTTAACCTGTAATGGTAAAGCTTTTCCAGAAATACGGTAAGCCATACGAATAGCCAACACAACCCATTTCGAAAGCCTCTGCGATGATACTGGTAAACCTACTGTATCTTTCCGGTAAGTAACAAACAATCTTGGTGACTTCCGTGATTTAGCTGTTCTATCTACATAGTAAGCTACTGCCCTACGAACATCCAATAAATGCAACGCCCTTTCTAAGGGCGTCGTAGGGTTTTGGAAAAAAGCTGGCAAAACGATCTCTTGAGATATATGAAAGGTACTAGCTACCTTTGGCAAAAAAGCAACATCAGTTCTAAGGACTACTCTATCTTTATGCATCCGCATATAAGGGTCATCGCACCGTAGTGCACATAGTTCACCCACTCTCCTAGCAGATGTTATTGCTACCAAAAAGGCCGTTTTCCACGACACAAAGGAGATATCCGTTGTTGACAACGGTTCAAACGGATGCTTTGTTAGAGCCGTGAGCACTAACTCTAAGCTCCACGGCGGGGCTACTGGAGTAACTGCAGGCCTTATATTTCTTGCTCCTTTCATAAACCAAGATATTAAAGGGTCTTTGAAACAAGATACTAAACCAGCCTTCCTTCTATACCAGGACAGAGCTGCAAGGTAACATTTTAATGATGATATTGAAAGGCCTGAGTCCATTAAGGACATCAAAAAATCCAAAATTAACGACGTGGGTGCTTTAATTGGTTCTATACCCCTGTCTTGGACAAATTTGGTAAACCGTGTCCATTTATAAGTGTACGATCTCTTTGTAGACCGCCTATGAGCAGCGTCTAAAACTGCCTGCACAGGTTGAGATAGAGTAATATTAACAGTCATTGACTCGGAAATATTCTCCAAGCCGTCAGTTTCAGGGTCTGAACATCTGGGTAAAGGACCAAATTGTTCTGCGTTGCTAGAAGATCTGTCCTGTCTGGAAGACGCATGAACACCCTTCGTGACATTTGCAGTAGCAGGGAAAACCAAGGCTGACGCGGCCACCATGGGGCCACTAATATTCCCTGAGCTTTGTCTTGGAACATCTTCGACACCACACGTAACAACAGGGGTATTGGGGGAAAAGCGTAAACTGTTGTGCTCCCCCAGTCCTGCAGGAACGCATCTCCCAGACAATTGAACAGTGCAGTCCGGCTCAGTCGTGCACAAAACATCTCGCATTGTGTGTTCTCTGGAGATGCAAACAGGTCTAATTTCGGCCAGCCCCACGCTCGGAACAGAAACGAAGTCACTTCTCTGTTCAGCATCCACTCGTGGTGCTGTAAAGGTGACCTGCTTAGGTCGTCTGCTAGTACATTTTGTACCCCCGGCAGATGAATGGCCATTAAGTGTATGCCCTTGTCTATGCACCAATGCCAAATCTTCATTGTTAACATTAGCAATGTTTTGGAATGAGTCCCTCCCTGCTTGTTTATATAAAACATTACCGTCGTATTGTCCGTAACAAGTTGGACATTTTGATTCTCTAGAAGCAACTGGAATGCTTTTAATGCCTTCTCCACTGCAAGTAGCTCTAACAGGTTTATGTGTGACTTTGACTCTTGCTCCGTCCACCTGCCCTGGGCGGTAAGACCCTCCACATGGGCACCCCAACCTTTGAGGGAGGAATCTGTTGTCAAAACTGCCGTCGGTTCTGGTTGTCGGAAAGATAGGCCAGCACAAACATTGTGGTGATCTGCCCACCATAGTAGGGAACGGCGAATACCCCCAGGTAGGGAAACATGGGTATTGGGATTGTGATGCAAAGGCTTGAAGACCGACAGGAACCATGACTGCAGAGGCCTGATGTGCAACCTCGCATGCGGTGTTACTCCTGTGGTCGAGGCCATATGACCTAATATTTTTTGAATGTGTTTTACTTTTACTCTGTCTTTCTTTACTGTTTGTAGAATTAGAGTTTGCAGGTTCTTGAACCGGTCTTCGGGAAGAAACGCCTTCTGCTCTTCCGAATCCAGCATGGCTCCAATGAATTGTATCCTCCTCACCGGGTCGAGGTGGGATTTTTCCCAATTCARTATTAGACCTAGGGACTGGAGAAAATACAATGTTTTTCTTATATCGTTTTCCAATCTATACCTAGACTTAGCCACCAATAACCAATCATCAATATACGGGTATATCGTGATTCCAGCTGTGCGGAGATARGCCGCTATCACAGCCATACATTTTGTGAAGACCCGTGGAGCTGTTGCCAGTCCGAAGGGAAGCACTTTAAATTGGTATGCCTGGTTGTCTACCAGAAAAGTCAGATATCTATGGTAGTCTTTATTAATTGAAATATGGAAATAAGCGTCTTTCAAATCTATTGTCGCAAACCAAACATTTTTATTCAATAAAGGTAAGAGTACTTTCAATGAAACCATTCTGAACTTCTTTGGAATAATGAACTTATTAACATTACGTAAATCGAGAATGGGGCGTTGACCACCACCTTTCTTAGACACTAAAAAATACCTTGAAAAGAAGCATCTATTATATTCAGATGGTTGTACATAGGAAATCGCCCCTTTCTCCAACAACTTACTAATTTCTTCTAACAATGGGCCGGAGGACGAAGTCGACCTCACATGGCCTACAGGAGGCAAGTTTTCAAATTCAATACTGTAACCGTTTCTAACTATATCTAAAACCCAGGCATCTGATGTAATATTAGCCCAAACATCATAAAAAGGGGTCAAACGTGACCCAAAACATGGACTATCTGGTTGGCCTCGACTATAGGTCTGTCTAGGAGAACATGTAACATTTGACAATACACCAAATGGTGGACAAACATTAACCAAGGGTATGTATCCCTTTGTCAAAACGGATTCTGAGATATCATGTGAGCGAATGTCAAAAACGCTGTTTGTTGCCCCCTGCACGGTTAGGTTTGCTCTGGTATGGTTGGAAGCGATTCTTCGTTCCAAAGACTTGTCTTCCCTGCGTAAAGGGTTTATTATTTTGGAAGTGTCGTTGACGTTGTTGCCCAGTATAGTAGTTACCAGGGGATCTCCTGTAATAAGGTTGTTGCCATCTTGGTTTTTGTTGGTAACTTGATTGACGTGGAAAACCATAGATTTGCATGGTTTTTTTCATTTCCTGAGTATGTTTAAGTCTCTCATCCGTCAAAGGATTAAACAGACCACTCTCATTCATTGGGAGATCCTCAGCAAGAGAGCGGCCATCCTCCGACAAGGATGATGCTCGTAACCAGGCATGGCGTCTAATTGCTGTTGCGGTTGCAAATATCTTCCCTGATGTGTCTGCTAAATGTTTAGCGAAGTCTTTTTGAAACTTCGCCAACAACAATGCCTCCGTTTGATAGGCTTTCGGCAGGCGTCGCTCATCTTGAGGTAGCAAGTCTATATAAGGACACATTTTGTTCCATAAAAACGTTTGATAAGCAGACATATAAGTGGCATAATGTGCCATCCTTGTAATCAGTCCTGCGGCTATATGAGCTTTCTTCCCTAATGTATCTATCTTCCTTCCCTCTTTATCAGAAGGCGCAGTTTTCTTAGATTTCTTTCCTTGGCCAACTTCTGCCACAACGGTGTTTGGAATGAACGGTTTATAAACCCAATCAGCAGTAGAAAGATCCAATCTGTAAAGACTATCCACTCTCCTAGGTATTGCAGGTGCTGATACTGGAGATCCTTCTGGGACCTTTGTAAGTTTTAGGAGATATGGCAACACAGGTAGTGTGGTAGTATTCGTTGCCTCTTGCTGATCAGCCGGGAACATGGGATCTTCTACTGGTTCTGGCGGTTTTGGGTTAGGAAGATCTAGCGCTTTAATCAGTCTAGCTAGCATTGCTGTAAATTTAACAACGTCATCATTTACATTGGGCGCATTAACAGGACCTCTCCGTCTCGTGTCACCATGTGTTGGTAACTCATCATCATGTGAAGTATCTGTCATGTCCATCTGCTCTGATAAGGGAGCTTCAATGAGATCATCTTGTTCTGACAATGGTTCATCTAGCAATGCCACATCACCTGATGGTGAAGGTAAATGTCTATGAGCCCTTGTGGCTCTGGATTCATGAGGCCTCATATTGAAACAATTTTGAGTATTTGCATTTTGCCATTGGTAAGGAGGTGGGAAACCTCCATAAAAAATAGGACCTTGTGGCGTCATCTGCCAAAAACCCCCTTGAGGGAGTCCCTCTCCCATCATTTCTTTATTAGACTGCATCCTCTTTTGCCTACTCCTTCCCCTTTTGCACCTCTTCTTTGCTCTGGGAGGGGAAGAGCCAGAGGAGGAGGAGGCCGATGAGGGACTGGATGAGTTCCCTGACGCCGAGCGTTCCCGGCGCCGGTGTCCCTTTAATTTACCCGCCTCGGCGTCAGCTGTGCGGCGCAAAGGGGCTTTAGCCCGACGCCGCACGATACGGTCATCCTCCCGAGCCGAGGAGGGGCCGGGTGCATGGGAGGAGTCAGTGAAAGGAGCTTGACTTGGTTCCTCCCCCGTAGCCACTACGTAAGCCATGGGAGGAGCCGGCGCCGATAGCGTCGGCATCGGGGGAGTGGTTTGATTCTCCCTCGCCTCTTGCGCATGCGCCGGGCGTGTATTAGCCGATCCCGGCTCCGCTTCTCTCAAGGATGCATGCGAAGGAACGGGTTCGTCCCCCAAAGACGTCTTTTTAACGCTTGCTGGCTGTTTTGGCTCAGCATGAGCGAGTGCCTTTTTGGCCGAGCTAAGCAACAGGCTTGGAGCCCCTTCTTTGAGTTTTTTAGACTTCTTCGGCCGCGCCTTCGTCACAGTGGACGACGATTCAGGTAAGTTTTTCTCGCTTACTGTGCCTTCATCGCCATTTTGCCGCCTTGTAGGCAGCGGCGGAAGAAGCGCTTGCTCATAGAGAGCCGCTTTTAGCCGAATCTCTCTCTTCTTCCTCGTTTGAGGAGTGAAGAGCTGGCAAATATGGCACTGTTGATGCAAGTGCTCTTCACCAAGACAAACAATGCAAAGAGAGTGCGCGTCATTGTCTGGAAAATTAGATTGACACGCAGTACAGCGTTTAAATCCTGTCGTAAGAGACATCTTGAAATCTAATTGAATTAAAAATAGGAGTCTCAATTTATCCGACTGCCTGAATGCGGCGGTTAAAGAGAACTGACCGTTAGCTCCATGAGGGGCTATTTATGTACTTGGAGGTGGGCGTGGCTTAGCTAACGGTTATGAGAGTCTCGAGAATGTCCGATGCTGCCTGCGCGTGCGCAGGAATTACCATAGGTGCAAATCACAGGTGGTCACGAGGGGAAACTCTAAGAAAGACAATTCTGGCCAGTTTTATACAAACCAAAGTTTGAATCGCTACTGCTAAGAAGAGCTCCAATTGCCATTTACTTCACATTTTAAAAACTGCATTACTTTAATTGATTTATCTGGGTAACATAAATGTTCATTCTTTTTCTCTAATACTGGAACCAACAAATTGCTGTTTTACCTGTGACTGAGGCCTAAACATAGTGGAGTCAGACTCTTCTCTGTTACTTGTGGCACTCAAGTAATTTTTCATCAAATCTGGCCCACTGAGATGCAAGGGCATGACTCCTTTTCCTTCTGACAAACCTAGAATTTCATACACATTTCAGTGTAAAACATGGTATTCCTCTGGCCAGCCTGTTCTAGGAATTTATGATAGACATTTCATCACTGAACAGATTTATTTATACTAATATTAATGGAAAGTATAAATGAAAGAACCTGCATTTCAATGATTATGTATGACTCTCTTCAATGTTTATTAAATGGTTTAAGAAGAGTACTAAAATACAATGTAATCCAGTGTTGTCATTCACATATTCATTCAATGGACGTTGTCAAGACCTGCTGATGTCACACAGAAATGATCTCAAAAGGGAAACAGAGACAAAATGAGTCTTGAGATGGCAACTCAAGTGAGCAGCTCCCTCACCTCCATTATGTGCACAAACATGTAGCAGAATGTCATATGGAAATATGACAAAAATATTCATAGATGCAGCAGCTATACTTTTCCCAATAATAACAATAACAATAATAATATACATCACATAGTCCTCAACACTTGGGAAACCAGCATAGTGATCCTGTTTGCTGTGTACTAACATTGCTGAGTATCTAATAAATATAATAATAATAATAATAATAATAATAATAATAATAATAATAATAATAATACTTTTTTGTCCATCTCTCCTTGGGGCTTGAGGTGGGGCGCAACATTGTTAAAACAACAAAATACACGATATGCAAAGTCAAAATGCAGATTAAAATTCACTGAAAAAAACAGATTAAAATTCACAATATTCCAGAAATGCACACTGTTCAATTTTGATTACAATCATTACTATTTTGAGAATGAGTTTCTATGCAATAATGAAGCTTTGTAAATAAAATGAACATTTGAAACCACAAGGTTTTAGGAACACTATGATTTTCACTAAGACTGCCATACTCTTTTAAAAATTCTCTTAACTTACAAAGGGTGTCTATTTTAACATCTGAATGCATGAGAAAGGCATGGAAAGAAATCTGGAAAGATATACGTAAAAGGAGACTGACCTAGCATAGTTTGCTATCTGAAGTACAGCACTACTTTTCATCCCTGTATTTATGTCTCGCCAAGCAGAATGGTAATGCTGAAGAGCCAGTATAGTTATAGGGCATGTAAAAAGGTCAGTGCAACTGGTGCCAAACTTAAGTCTAAATGCTTAAACCCAGATTCAAGTAATACTATTCTAGTTTCATGTATATGACTTTTTTTTCATGTCAGGAGCAACTTGAGAAACTGTAAGTCACTTCTGGTGTGAGAGAATTGGCTGTCTGCAAGGACGTTGCCAGATGTGTTACCATCCTGTGGGGGGCTTCTCTCAATTCCCCACATGGGAAGCTGGAGGTGACAGATGAGAGCTCACCCCGCTCCACTGACATTTCAGTCAGCAGGCCTGCTGGCACAAGAGTTAAACCCATTACACCACCTGGGGCTCCTTATGTATATGACTGTTGATATGGAGGCCCTTTTTACGCTGCTATATAAAATCTAGATTATCTGCTTTGAACTGGATTATATGGCAGTGCAGACTCATATAATCCAATTCAAAGCAGATAATATGGATTATCTGCTTTGAGAATCTGGATTATATGGCAGTGTTGAAGGGATCTGAGGGCATGTCTACACCTCACTCTTGCCTGACTCTTTCTCATCTTATAGAGTCCAATTTACTAATTACCATGGTAGTACTAATGTAAATTAAAATGATAATATCTAAGTTTAATAACATAAAAACACATGGGGACACAGAAGGGAACGTGTTCAGAAAGTTATAATAAAGCTCCTAAAGCAAAACATTTGAAGTCTAAATCCAGTGAGGAAGTCACAGTGAACAACTGCCCTTCTGAGATTTTTGTGGTATTTCACTTTAATTAAAATTATTTTATCACATTAATTAACAATGATTTAAGAGTTGCATTTAATTTAAAATATTCTAGTAGTTACCTTGCAGTTCCTCTGCTCCAGTACTGCAATGAAGTTTGCTTTTCATGTTCACTTTGTTCTTTCTTAGACTTAAATCAGAGAATCCATTTTCCACTACCTAAAAATTAAAAATCTATTACGCACACACGGATGTTCACAGAATACTGATTTCACACTCTTGTACATACTAACTATTCTAAGAAATTCTCTAACCAGTATGTTTTAACAGCAACTCTGATGGATTCTGAGAATAATTGTATAAGTTGGACAGAAGCAAGGTACAAGAAACAGTCAGCTTGGATTTTGATAAATGGTGAATTAACTAATGTATGTAAAATTCAAATATTAAAGAAAGTGAAATAGGTATAATTACAGCTGATAAAAATTCAACTTACTTTCAATACAATTACTTTAAGACATAAAATATAATTAAGATCTGCAGAGATGAGATAAACAAGGTGTCCTTGCTTGGAAGAATCTCAGCGATCAAAATGAACATTTTGCTTTGAAAGTTGCTACTTTTTCAGACAGTACTGATTTTGTCAAACGATATATCATTTAAAAATTGGTAAAAGGGAAACTAAAAGATTTGCCAAGATTTATATGGCAAGGAAAAAAAGCCAAGAGTAAGATTTAAAGTTGTTGAGGGTGAGAAACAAAGAGAAGTTCCTGATTTACCAGACTTGAAAACATATTTTATTGTTTACTGTTTAGCTAAACTTGCTGACCGAAAGGTCGCAGGTTCGAATCTGGGGAACAGCGTAAGTTTCTGCTGTCAGCCCCAGCTTCTGCCAAGCTAGCAGTTTGAAAACATGCAAATGTGAGTAGATCAATAGGTATCGCTCCAGCGGGAAGGTAACGACACTCCATGCAGTCATGCTGGCCACATGACCTTGGAGGTGTCTATGGACAACGCTGGCTCTTCGGCTTAGAAATGGCGATGAGCACCACACCCCAGAGTCGGACATGACTGGACTTAATGTCAGGGGAAAACCTTTACCTTTACCTTTAGTTCAGCTTAGAGGGTAAATAATGCTAGACACTTTCGTTAAATTTGGAAAAATATGAACTGAGGTGTGGATGGTATGGCTTTTTGCGGCACAATAAGTTAAAAACAAACATTGATTTAAGTAATCACTATGTGAGATAAACATTATGAGATTTCAGAATAGAAACAAACACAGGCAATGCACAAAGATTCCATATAAGCTTTTAATCGAATAGATAAGAAGGCAAGTTAGATTTGTGGAACTTACAAAAATGGTTAATACTAGAAAATTATCAACATACATTTACGATGCAAGGGGAGGTAAAAGGTGTGGGGATATGAGTTGCAATGGTGAAAAGATTTTTTTAAAAGTTTTGGTTCTGAGGGAAAAAACTGAAAATGAGACTAAGCTTAGTTGTGATGATGACCATTTAGTTTCTAAAATGTACAAAATGTTGCAAATAAAGTTGAAGGAAGAACAAGTTAAAGAATGTATGACAAAATGGATCAAAATGGTATCCGATCCTAGTATGATTATCTAGAGGTGCATCTACACTGTAAAATTAATGCACCACCTTAAGTATCATGGTTCATTGCTACAGAATCATGGTAGTTATAGTTTGGAGAGGCACCAGTACTCTATGATTTTCAGTGGATGCTTGCAAACTGTTCCTTTTGTGTAATCCCAGGTCAGAATGCAAATATGATACCTTAATCAATGAAAACTTGCTGTGCATGTTTGTGGATCCATGGTATGTGTAAAAGTTTGCAGTAGGAATATCTGACATACATTTTTGACAAGAGAATTATAATGACTTATTTGAATATCTGGGTTTCTAGTACTACCTGATATTTTTCTAAATTAACCTCACTGGATCTTCACAACAAAAATGAAGACATTTTAAAGACCTGGTATTATAAGATCTTTATATTTAAATGTGTTATATTTTTTTGCCATCCACTTTATCATTTTTATAACTCACCAGTCCAGAAATATCTTCTAAGGATTTCTCGTTGTCTCCATTAATTACATGGATGTTTGGAGCACAATATTTTACTAAAAATATTTTTGTAACAATGGCACTCTCTCTGTAGTCCCTGTAATTGAAGAATCAAGAAATCCTAGATGAGTCCTGTTGATTTAGTAACTCAACCTACCAACCATAACAAATATCCCACAAGTGCAGGGGTCCTCAAACTAAAGCCATTTACCTGGCCCTTGCTCAGGGTCAACCTAAGTCTGAAACTACTTGAAAGCACACAACAAGAATCCTTTCTCATCAGCCATACACAGGCCCACACTTCCCATTGAAATACCAATACGTTTATATTTGTTAAAATTGTTCTTCATTTTAATTATTGTATTATTTTTAAGCGATTTTTGCACTACAAATAAGATATGTGCAGTGTGCATAGCAATTCATTCGTGTTTTTTTTTTCCAAATTATAATCTGGCCCTCCAACAGTTCGAGGGACTGTGACCTGGTCCTCTGTTTTAAAAGTTTGTGAACCCCTGCACTAGGGGCTCAAAACACATTTTGTTCTATGTTGGGATTTACAGGGTATAAGTGTAAAATGGAAACAACACTTATGCTGTCTGAATCTGGCATGTTCACAAGTTGTGCCAATGTGCTATATATAAGGGTTTATGATATCAAGGTATTTATCATGATATTCCATAATATAATAACAATTGATTTATTTATTTATTACATATACTTGTATATTTCATATACTTGCTTGATCCTGTCTTTCATGTTTATTATGGTTAACAAGATTTTAAAAAAAACGCATCAAATTAAAGTCAATCAAGAAGTTTTTAAGAGCCGAAATCTGGAAGGTTATCTGTCCTATAATTAAGTGTTCTTTTACTCCACAACAGTACTGTTGACACAGAAATCTCATATAGCTAACAAAAAATACCATAAAGACTCAGACTCTCAAGCATTAGAAGGACATTAAATGAGTTCTTATATCTGATGTTGGTGGTGACAGCATCGGTTCAAGGGGGTGGTTTCTAGTAGTGGAATTATGCATATAAAGTTTAGCACAGCAACCATAGGGATCTCTTTAAAAAACCTTTAAAAATCTCTACACAGCGTCCCCAAGTGTGTGCAATGTATCATTTTGCAGTACTACATGACTGTCAGGCATGTAGCCAGGGGGGGAGCTTGGGGGGCTTCACCCCCCCCCCCAAAATTCTCATGGTGGTTCGTGAAAAGGCCTTACTGGTATATTATTTAAACTTATGTTATGTTTATTCATATCATGATCTGATCACCATGCTCAATATATCCCATATGCATGGGGGTATTGGGGTAACGATACAAAAGGTTTGCTAGGGTAGACCCTTTTTTACTCAGACTCAGCCCCCCCGCCCCGAATCAAACTCAGCTCCCCCCGAAACAAAATCCTGGCTACAGGCCTGATGCCTGTATAGTCATTTAGAAGCCAAAGAGAAGAACGGAACAATGGTCATATATGTGATGTGTTTGTTTTCAACACAAAACTAACAAATAGCACATAACTTGAGTTGCTTGTGTATAAAACATATCAAATGAAATATCTGTAAAAGTTAAATGCCTATGCTGATTTCCATCTTCCACTTTTCTGATAAGCTAGCTCAAGTTTTATACCAAGCAAAGACTATATTTTCCTTCATTTGAAAGATACATTAGATTGGGATGTTCCCTTACTTTGTGACTGCCAGAGCTTTCACTGTTATTTTTCCATCTGGTAATGTGATTGGTTCCTTATACATAAATGTATTGTCATCTCTGTAACCAAGTCTTCTAAAGATTTGTGGTTTACTTCCATCAATAGTATAATATATTGTAACATCAGGGGTATCTGGAAGACACAAAATTTAAAGATACCACGTTCTTTCATCTCCAAAAGGAATTACAATTCATAGAATAATAGAATCATAGAGTTGGAAGAGATCACATGGACCATTTAGTTCAACCCACTGCTATGCATGAATGGCACAATTGAAGCATTCCTGACAGATGGCCATTAAGCCTCTGTTTAAAAGTCTCCAAAGGAGCCTTTACTACACTCCGAAGCAAAGGGTTCCACTGCTGAACATTTTTAAAAGAAATGAATGCATGAAAAATTAATTCGAATTTAATTCTACCTTCTAAGAATACATTTAAGGGTATTTAGGGGGAAGATAGTAAGTTTGGGGGGGGGGTAGATTCTTGGTCTATTAGGAGATAATGACATCACTAATGATTTAGAAGTTTCAAGTATGTCATTATTTTGTTACAGATAAACTAAACTCTTAACTTCTACAAGATTTCTTGGAATTTATTGAAGGAATAGTAGCTACCATTAAGTTCCATTCCAGTCTGGAGAAAAGGGCCATCTTTCTTAGCTCAGAACAATTTATTTGAATGACCATGGTTTGTTTGTTTTTTGGTCTGATTGAATGACCCTTGGCTCCTCCTGCAATTTAGTCTGCTAATTAAATGGCAGACTAACTGATTGAAAAGCTATAAATGGAGAACAATGGGTAAGCCAGAGGTAAAGGGAAAGGCAAGCTATGAACGATAGAGGTTCCTTTTTAGTTTTTCTTTTACAGTGGAGGTACGTAAGCCTTATAGACTTTTTAGGAATGAAAACTCATGTCCATGTGAGTTTGGATAAGGAACAGTCTGGATAAGGGCAAACAAATTGAAATTGAATCCAGTCAGGATGGAGGTACTCCTAGTTAGTCGAAAGGCCGAACAGGGTATAGGGTTACAGCCTATGTTGGACGGGGTTACACTCCCCCTGAAGACAAAGGTTTACAGCTTGGGAGGCTCCTAGATTCATCACTGAGCCTGGAACCCCAGGTTTCAGCAGTGGCCAGGAGAACATTTGCACAATTAAAACTTGTGCGCCGGTTGCACCCATACCTTGAGAAGCCAGACTTGGCGACAGTGCTCTATGCTCTTGTTACATCTCGAGTAGACTACTGCAACACACTCTACATGGGGCTGCCTTTGGAGACTGTCCAGAAGCTCCAAGTAGTCCAATTAGCGGCATACTGGAGTGGTGTACAGGGAGCATATAACCCCCCTGTTATGTCAGCTCCACTGGCTGCCAGTTTGCTATTGGGCCCAATTCAAAGTATTGGCTTTGGCCTATAAAGCCCTAAACGGTTCTGGTCCAACTTACCTGTCTGAATGTATCTCCCTTTATGAGACAACTAGAGCTTTAAGATCTGCTGGAGAGCCCTTCTTTAGGTCCCACCCCCTTCGCAAGTGCAACTGGTGGAGATGAGAGACAGGATCTTCTCAGTGGTGGCTCTTCGGCTGTGGAGCTCCCTCCCCAATGACATTAGGCTGACCTCACCCCTCCTGTGCACAGGCATTCAGGAAGTAGGGTAACACGGAATCCGACCTCAACCTAACAGTCTGAACAATGTCTATGGGAAACCCAAGGAGTATGGAAATCATGACTTAGTACTTTGTATGCTTTTAATCTGTTTACTCTACCTATATGTTTTAATTGTTTTATAATATAATATGTTTATTGTAAGCCACTCTGAGACCCCTTCGGGGTGAGAAGGGCAGGGTATAAATATAGTAAATAAATAAATAAATGTGGACAGGATATAGTTGGCTAGTTTCTTCTTTCTATTTTGACTGTATGCTACACTAATCCATTCCCCGTTCTAAAAAAAAACCTATAGCTGAAGCTGCTGTCTATTGTTGACAGGCTACCATGGATGAAAGTCTAAATGATGTTCTGTCCCAGTATTATGTGATCTATGCTGCTTTCATAGACACTTGTTTTCCTCATCCAATATAGTGAGCACAGAACGCTGGTAGCATTAAAATTCATTAAAAAATCTTAGTGGATCAGGTCACATACACAAACAGTGATATAAACCAATTATTCACAGCAAACTGTGTGTCTCATCATAAAAGGCCAGTTAATCAAAAAACAAAAAAGTATATCACCTGTAATAGAACATAAGATGGAAGCATAAGCCAGCATCTGAATCATGCAATATTCCTGTGTCCAATTTTGTGTCTTGTAACTAAGTCATAATTTCAGGAGACCCATAGAGGTATCAGTTTGTTACAATCCACAGTTTGGGATGTGGTAGACATTGCAATTTTTACCTAAACACATTTATGTACAGTATAGGTTTATGTAGTTTAAACTGTTTTAATTGAACTTGTTTTAATCATTTCATTTATTTAATATGTCAATAATTTGTTGCATTTTTATCACAATTCTCTTATTTTCAGATTACATTGTAAACTGTTTTGCACTCCAAACCATGGAAAATTGTATGTTTTAGTTTTTACAAAAAATAAATTGATTACAAGTAACATGTTATTTGTAAATAAACTCCGGCAAGCTTCGAATATATATATATATATATATACACACACACACACACACACACACACACACACACACACAGAGAGAGAGAGAGAGAGAGAGAGAGAGAGAGAGAGAGCAGGAACCTATGGTTTTGTAGTAGCTTATGGATTGGATGATCCCTTGGAAAAATTAAAGAGATTTATGTTTTGTCACAATGGTGATAGTGGAAAGTTGTGATTTATGATTTTTTTTAAAAAAACAATGTAAATGAAATGTGATTTGATAGTAGTTTAGAAAGTTCCCATGCAATTTAAAGAACAACAACAACAGTTATCGAAGTGTATTCATTTTAATTATATTGGACCTCACAAGCGGAAAAGAAAAGAAGATTTATAGTAAAGGTAAAAATATACTAGAAGCTTTGGGTGAAAAGAAAAAAAAGCTATTGAACCCAGAGCCTAAATAGTAGAGAGAAATAAATTCCCTTGATACTGATGGAAAGATCTCTGAATGAGGAAGTTGGGTGTCATTGACAATCTCATGCAGCATTGTCATTTGCTCATGGATTCTTCACAGGACAGATTGAAGCTAAAAAAATAAGTATACTGTCTATAAGCCCATCACATAATTAAATGCAAGTGTAACGTATACAACAATGCTAAATCCTAATACATAAGAATGTACATGGCAGCAGAAAAAATTAAACAGAGAAAGAAAAACATAATTATAATCAATTGCAGAGATATGTAAAGGAAATGGAAGAAGACATATGAGAAAGCTGTTTTTTTTAACAAATTGTTTATTGCTTCCAATAATTTTCCTGTTAGGTTGAAAGATATTTTAAAGACAAAAATGACAAGCAAAATAAAAACAAGAATTAACAAAATGAATATTAAGTTGTATATTTATCAAATATGTGAAGAGATTTATAGCATGCATGTACCTGATTTAAACTCTACAAGTGTATTTGTATCTATTTCATGTTTGGCATTTCCTGATGTCGAGATACGAAGTGGAATAACTTGAGGCACTAGGATGGAGCCAGCAGTCATTTTTTCCTACAATTGTTTTGTAAAAACCAAAAGAAAAAAAACCCATAAATAAACATAGTACAGCAAGGAAAATTTAAGTCAATAAATCCAACTGAAGTAACAGGTTGAGACTGCAAACCTACATTACCTCTCTGGGAATAAGGGCCCTTCTATACTGACCATATAATGCAGTTCAAATTTGCCTCCTCAAATTGCAAATTCCAAGACCCCATACGATGTTCCCAGGGTAGTTAAAGTAGAATAATAACATAGTATAATGTCATTAGTTTTTCTACAAGCACACACTGTATATTACACACAGCTAGAATTTTGAACTGTTGGTTCTTTCTGGGCCCTTCCACACAGCCATATAACCTAGAATATCGAGGCAGAATAACCCACAATATCTGCTTTGAGCTGGAATATCTGAGTCCACACTGCCAGATACCCCAATTCAAAGCAGAAAATGTGGGATTTTATTCAGCTATGTGGAAGGGGCCTCACTCTGCTGCTATTTCTGAACCATGTTAGCCTGGAGAAACATTCTGGAAAACTTTGTATCCTTTGGGACTGACCTAATTAAATAAAAGTTTTCTGAAGGAGTTTAAGTTCCAAAAGGCTGTCTTAAAACCAGATTGAAAGGAATGTAGGGCCCCTTTCACACAGCTGAATAAAATCTCACATTTTCTGCTTTGAACTGGAATATATGGCAGTGTGGACTCAGATAACCCAGTTCAAAGCAGATATTGTGGGATTTTTCTGCCTTGATATTCTGGGTTATATGGCTGTGTGGAAGGGCCCCATATCATTACTATTCAGGAAAACCTAAAGTTGAACTCCTATATTTTCAAGTCACCTGCCCCTAAATTGTGGCCTAACCATTATACGGTTTTTATCCATGGGTTCTCCTCCACTTCTTCAAAGCTATTGGTGTCATACAGCTTCTTTGTACATTTTATTTTGGGAGCTATGGCATGACATGAGTTTTTTCAACTCCAAGGATCTTTGGGAAGCCAACCAAGCAGCCGAAACACCTTAAAGAAGAGCTTTCCAAAGATTTAATGCTGGTGACACACCTTTTTAGACAGGTATCATTTCACAACATAGTAATTCAGTTTTACTAGCAAACCAGAGGTTAAATCAACTCCTTGTAAGAGACGTAGAAACATACATGTCATAACAAAAATGGGCATTGTTCCATTATCAGGGCAGAGACCATTAGGGGCCACTAGAGAGAGAAGGATACTTGATTATATGGGGGGGGGGGTGGACAGTGGATTGAAGGAGTAAAGTCATCCCTCCCCTTTTCCTGTTATTCTACCCAACCCTCCTTTATGATATGGGAAGCGGAGAGGGGAAATAATCTCCAAAAACAGGGGAAATTATTTTCGTCCTTCAACTCCTTCCCATAAAATGAAGTATCCTTCTCTCTCTAGCAGCCTCTAATAGCTTCCACCTGGATAATTGAACAGTACCAAAAATGTATGGAAATACAACTAACCTCATGAAACTTGTAATTTATATATAAGAAATATATGATTTATTGCTAATTTTATATTGACCCAGAGGTTTTCTCTTCTGTTCACATGACAAACCTAAATTCTGAAGTTGATGCATGAATGTGTCCCAACACAGTTTGGAAACAGATATTGTGAGATGATCTGCCTTGATATTCTGGGTTATATGGCTGTGTGGAAGGGCCCTCAAATAACCCTGTTCAAAGCAGATATTGTGGGATGATCTGTCTTGATATTCTGGGTTATATGGCTGTGAGGAAGAGCTCTCTGTTCAAAGCAGATATTGTGGATGATCTGCTTTAATATTCTGGGTTATAAGTCTGTGTGAAACAGCCCACAGATAACCTAGTTCAAAGGAAATATAGTGGAATGATCTGCTGTGATATTCTGGGTTATATGACTGTGGGCCCTTCCACACAGCCCTCTATCCCAGAATAATAAAGCAGAAAATCCCACATTATCTGAGTGTGCTTAGATAACCCAGTCAAAGTAGATATTCTGGAATATAGGGCTGTGTGGAAGGGCCCTGGGTGAACAACTGTAGCGTAGACCTTAACTTTTGAGTTGTTCAGGCATTTTTGAGTCACACAGAATGCCAGTAGTTTGTTGCCTTGTTGTTTCCTTCTCTCAGCTGCTATTTCTGAGCCATGTTAGCCACACACAATATATATTATATGTATATGTATGTATCTATGTGTATGTGTGTGTGTGTGTGTGTATATATATATATATATATATATATATATATATATATATTTGGCTGGAGTTACACTTTAAAATGTACCTGTTCTGGCTTACACTGACATTCAGTTTAAGAACAAACCTACACAACCTATCTTGTTAATGCTTTTTACATGGTTTTTATTATGTGCGTTAAATGTTTTTAGTTGTGTTTTATGACCATTTTGGTATTGAATTGTGCCAATTGTAAGCTGCCTTGAGACGCCTCCCAGTTGAGAAAGGCGGCATAAAAATGCCGCAAATAAATAAATAAATAAATAAAAATTGTTCATAACTTAGGGTCCTTCCACACTGCCATATAACCCAGAATATCAAGGCAGATAATCCACAACATCTGCTTTGAACTGGGTTATCTCACACTGCCATATATTCCAATTCAAAGCAGATAATGTGGGATTTTCGAGTTGTGTGGAAGGGGCCTTAGAGACTGCCTGTATTACCACTGACGAGTTCTAACCCACTTTGACTCTGCCCCTGAGCAGCAGGCCTTGGTCTAACCTGCCTCAGATTGCTTTGCTGTGAAGACAACAAGGGCATCACCCCCTTCTTGGGATGAAGGCTCAGCACACAGTTCCATTAAGAAAAATCCTTTTATCCTGCAAAATCCACGCCCCTCCCTTTTCCCCTCCGCTTTCCACGTCAGTCTCTGGTTCTCAGAACTCACCGCCTGGCTGGGAGGCAAAGCAGAGTCTGCGACTGGCTTGGTCTCCGTGGCAACCGCAGCTTGCCCTGGGCGCAGCTTGTTGACGTCATCTGAGCGCGCCGCTTGCCTGACGCCGAATTGCCCACAGTCTGCATGGTCGGCAGAAGGAGAGCTTTGCGTGATGGCGGAGTTGAAAGCCCCGGAGCCCCTGGAAATCGAAAACAGGTGGGCAGGACAAAGTGTTGGGCCTTGTCAGTCTGAGGGCTGAACAAAATCCCACGTTATATGCTTTGAACTGGAATATACAGCAGTGTGGACTCAGATAACCCAGTTCAAAGCAGATATTGTGGGATTTCCTGCCTTGATATACTGGGTTATAGGGCTGAGTAGAAGGGCCTTGAATGGACTTTAGGTTTTTCTTTGGGGAAAAGTCGTAGTTTGTTTTGGCTCTTCAAACATTAGTTCCTATAATGCGACCCAAGGAGGTTATATAGCGACACGACTAAGGCACAGTGAGTTCATATATCTCCTTGTCAACGTCCTTTGCAGCTAGCTTTGCTCCGAGTTCTTCATCAATACCATTCACTGCAGTAATTGGTTTAATGTATTGTCGAAGGCTTTCATGGCTGGAATCACTGGATTGTTGTATGTTTTTTCGGGCTATATGGCTATGTTCTAGAGCAGTGGTTCTCAACCTGTGGGTCCCCAGGTGTTTTGGCCTACAACTCCCAACAATCCCAGCCAGTTTACTAGCTGTTAGGATTTCTTGGAGTTGAAGGCCAAAACATCTGGGGACCCACAGGTTGAGAACCACTGTTCTAGAGGCATTCAATGCCTCTAGAACATGGCCATATAGCCGAAAAAACCTACAACAATCCAGTAATTGGTTTGTCATCCATAGGTTTGCACACAAACTCCTGACATTTCATGATTCTCATGATCATCGTCATGTCAGAAATATTCAAAATTAACTGGGTATTTTTGAATACAAAAGTGTGAGTCAAGCACTGGAAGAGTTAGTAGGCTGTGTGCCTAAGATAATGTCATCCTGAGCAGAGTGAGTATGCCAAAGCCTGTTAAAGTTAATGGGCTAGTGTCATCCTGAGAAGTGTGAGATAAACCTCTGTGTGAGAGAATCCTTGTGTGAAAAAACTCCAGTGTGAAGGCTGCTGTGTGTAAAGCTACTGTATATTTGTTTATTTGTGTTATGGAAATATTGTTGTTATAAATAGTGCAACCATATTATTTTACTACAAAGAAAATCATCTTATGGAAGAGATAACGTTGTTCTCTGTGTTTTTGTTCTTTTATCACTTTGGGCAACTAGTGCTGGGTCATGCTGCTGCTGCTAAGTTACTCTGCTATACATTTATTAGGAGGTTCTTTTGTTAATAAGCCCAACAGTTTGCACACAAACTCCTGACATTTCTTGGTTCTCATGACCATCATCTTGGGTCCTTTCCACACAGCTGTATAAAATTCCCATTGAACTGTGTGGCAGTGTGGACTCAGATAATCCAGTTCAAAGCAGATATTGTGGGATTTCCTGCCTTGATATTCTGGGTTATAGGACTGTGGAAGGGCCCTGGAATAAAGGGAAACAAGGCTAAAGAATTGGAATGTAATGATGATAATAAGTGTATAGTGACTACTGTAAGAGTGTTTGTGTGGAAATGTTAAGGTGCCTGTATGCCGGTGGTTCTCAACCTGTGGGTTCCCAGATGCTTTGGCCTTCGACTCCCAGAAATCCTAACAGCTGGTAAACTAGCTGGGATTTCTTGGAGTTGTAGGCCAAAACACCTGGGAACCCACAGGTTCAGAACTACTGCTGTATACATTTATGCAGCATATATAATACTATGGGCCTTTCCAGACAGTCATATAATCCAGAGGATTGTAGCTGTTAATCAGGTTCATAGAAAGAGATGCGGTACTTCAAGTAACCTTGACCACTTCCTCAGCAAATATTGCTGCAGTTATATATGTTATAGTCTTAGCTTTTCCACAGTTAACAGCAATGTTCAAAATAAGTACTATTATGTAGTCTTGGGCAGTATGTTAAAACTTGGGGTGATAAGAAAAGTAGGTCCTTTTCAAACAGGCCCTATATCCCAGGATCGGATCCCAGGTTTTCTGTTTATCCCAAATTATCTGATACAGTGTTGACTCATATAATCCAGTTATAGCAGAAAACCTGGGATCAGATCCTGGGAAATAGGGCCTGTCTGGTAGAGCCTTTAGGGTGAGGGATACCGGAGGTGTGAACTCCTAAGGGAAGAACTGCCTTCTTTTGTACAGAATTAACCAATAGAGACAGTCAATGTATGACAGGGGTAAGAGCCTCTGGACTCTTTTCTTGATCATTGTTCTTTATATTAGTTTTTGTTGTATTTGTGTGTGCTTACTGTTTATCACCACTTTTAATAAAAGGTGGGGTTTCTGTGTTTTAAATAAAATACATTGGCTAATGCGTTTTTGAGTTTTGTGTGTGGTGATCCCTTTTTTTTTTTTTTTTTTTTGCTATTCCTACTTTGTCTAGGATCATTGAGCTTTGCCATCAGTTTCCTCATGGCATCACAGACCAGGTGATTCAGAATGATATGCCTCACATGGAAGCTCAGCAACGAGCCATGGCCATTAACAGACTGCTCTCTATGGTAAAAAGCTTATTAAGTTTGTCTTAGTGAAAGTATGTCTTCAAAAATGCTGGATAAAATATAGTAGTTCAGGAGCAATTGTTTATTATACTTCCTTTTAAAGTAGCAGTTCTTCTGGGTCTGCAAACTGATAGAACAGCTGTTGGTTCTATCTTCTGTCTCTTTATCTGTCTCTTTATCAAAAGGAGCATGCCACATTACCATTAATTCTAGCACACCTAAATCTTTGGTTTTTGTTTAGGATTGTTTTTATTTTATATTATATATTATACTTTCGGATCATCATTTTGAAGGAAAGATGGGATACTGACTTCTGAAAAATGTAGATCAGTCATGCATTTGAGTTTTGTGTATGATTGTTTATAGTGGGTCCTAGGGGTTTGATGCCAGTAGCCTCCTATGGACACTAAAATTAGTGGCAGCTCAAGTCCCATTATACACAATGACCTTCCTTATACTAAAAGAGGTACCTTACATTTGTGTAAAATGACAACTCAAGTATGTGAAGACAGCCTGAGAATCTGAAATGGCGGGAGGCTATAATAGGATTTAGATACAAGGCTATGATGTTTGACTTTAAAATGTCCATTAACCTTTCCTCAACCTCAGAGACACAATTTCCATTATCCCCAGTCTGCATGGCAGATAATAAAAAATGATGGGAGTTGTCATTCAGTATCATCTGGGGACCCAAACTGAGTAAAAACTAAAGAGCACTGGCCACTATGGAAAGTAATTTCTGTTACCCCTCTGTATCCACTGGGTTTAACAGCCCTTTGAAGGCAACCATAAGGCTGATTTGGCCATCCATGAAAAGAAGGTTGACATCCCTATATTACATTGTTGAAAGGATAACCTGTTCTATTTATTGACATTGACATATTAAAAATACTGTCAAAATGTTTCTCAAAATGCCCTTTAAAACCAACTTTCAAAAATAACTAAAAGGCATTGTTTTATCAATAGAATGACTACACTCTTATGTTTTGAAATGTCACATTCTTGTGACCATCCTCAGCCTTCCAGTATATTGTGTTACTTCCAAGCACTGAGCAAAAACAAATCAAATGTGCCTGTTTTCCACACTTGACTTCACACACTCACACATTACAGATTGTGCTGAGTGACTTTAAAAGTTAAGACTTGCAGTAACTTCAAATGAAGACTAATAGGCATAAATATTTAAGGAAAAATCCCTAGTTAGATCCTAGTTAAAATACAAAAAAATATTTTAGAGAAGTGGCCAATATTAAACAAATCTAATTTTTTATATAACTGTCTTTCTTATTGCTTTCTAATTATTAGAATATGCAAAACATTTAAATGATCTATTTTTTCCCCTTAGGGGCAGCTGGATCTACTCAGGAGCAGCAGTGGCCTCCTTTATAGAATTAAGGAATCGCAGAATGCTGGGTAATACTTTGTTGCTGAATTGAAACCTCTTCTGCCATAAATTGATAACTATTTTTTTTAGTAACAGCTGTGATGTTATACAGTTTGGGGAAACAACTTGAGAAGATATCTTAAACAAAAGGAATTACTGTTATCAAAGATCAGTGCTGTTCCATTATCCGGGCGAAGGCCACAAGGGGGCACTAGAGAGAGAAGGATGGTCCATCAGACACTTACATTGATGTGATCTGTTGTACTATGCTTTGAAAGTATTGTGTTTTAATCGAGTTGAGTTCTTGTACTTATTATTTTTATTTACTTTAACCCTTGGTTTTGGTTATTTATATGTTATATTGTATTTATTTTATTTGTTTTGCTGCAGTTGTTATTTGTTGGACATTGAATGTTTGCCATTTTGTTATTTTTGTAAATAGGCCTGAGTCCCTTCGGGGAGTGAGTGCGGGTTATAAATAAAGCTATTATTATTATTACTATTATTATTAATTTATGGGAGTGGATAGTGGGTTGAAGGAGTAAAACTATTTCCCTCTGTTTTCCTGTTATTCCCCCACCCATGTCTTTGCCATGGAAATAACCCTCGGTTATGATATGGGAAGGAGGGAGGGGGCATATCCTGCCAAAATGGGAGAAATGTTTTTACTCCTTCAGCTCCCCCTCCCCATGCACTATTTCTCTCCCTCTCTCTCTAGTGCTCCCTAGTGGCTTCTGCCTGGATTATGGAACACTACCCAAAGATCATATCTCTATACTATTTTTCCATTAGCACTTGTTTCTTTTTGACAGATAGTTTATAACTTATCCACAGAATATAATTTCTGGCATCTTGAATATTGATAAATTCACTTAGATCTTCAAAAATGTATTCACTTAGATCTAAATTCACTTAGATCTTCATCTCTTATTTTGTCCTCTTGCAGTAAAATGAAAGGATCTGACAATCAGGAGAAATTGGTGTATCAAATTATAGAAGATGCAGGAAACAAAGGTAAGAAACAGTGTTTCTTTAGGAGAATAGAAGAAATTACTGCAACTTTTCTGTCACTAAGGCCCCTTCCACACAGTTGAATAAAATCCCACATTTCTGCTTTGAACTGGAACATATGGTAGTGTGGACTCATATAACCCGGTTCAAAGCAGATATTGTGGGATTTTCTGCTTTGATATTCTGGGTTATATGACTGTGGGCCCTTCCACACAGCCCTATATCCCAGAATATCAAGGCAGAAAATCCCACAATATCTTCTTTGAACTGGGTTATATGAGTCCACACTCAGATAATTTGGGATTTTCCACCTTGATGTTATGGGATATAGGGCTGTGTGGAAGGGCCCTAAGACAGAAATATTTCATTGATCTTCCTCAAAGGAAGTTTAACCCCTATATGTATCTGTTTTAGAAACCTCTGTTTAGTTAGATCAGGGTGGGATTAATTTCTTTCTTTTTACTAGAGCAGTGATGATCTTCAGAGGTTTTTGACCTTTCATTCTTATCATCTTTAGACAATGTAGTCAATGTGGGATGTGATGTTAGAGGAAGAGAAAGCTGTTAGGCTGGGGTGGAGCATCGTAATCCAGATGTGACATGCATATAAGCATAGTGTACCAGCTATATTTATCTGAGTTAATTTTCCAATTATAACACACAGGTATTTGGACCAGGGATATTAGGTATAAAAGCAACCTTCCCTTAACTGAAATCAATAAGATCTTGAAGAACCTGGAAAGCAAAAAACTTATAAAAGCAGTGAAATCTGTTGCGGTGAGTAAGTGGAAATTTTGAATGCTATATTGGCTTGTTATAACGAATACTCCTTTATTCTTGATTGTTCATTAAGAATATTAGTTTTTGTAATAAGAACTTTGAAAAGTAGCTAAATGTCATCGATTTAGTGCTGTCTTCATTGACTTATATGTCAGAAGATAATCAAGGTCAGGGATACTCTGCTAAGGATGGTTTTGTACATACATTGTAGAAATTTGGGTGTGTTTTTGTATCTTTTGATAGGGAGCTGCACCGAATTCTGTCTTCTTTGGGAGTATTCCTACTGTCCGTATGTGTCTGTCTTTGTCCCTGGTTTCTTGAATGAACAATTGTTGTGATAGAATTTTTGGTAAAAAGAATAGCAACTTTCAGTCTTTACTGACCCAGCAATTGCTAGTACCTTAAAGGATGCTTGAATAATTCAAATCTGTCTTCCTGATCTCTGGCATAAGATCTAATAGGGGACAAGGATTCTGTTTGTGTTGCTACTTGTACATAAACTATGGTACTTGTAGTACAGATTTCTATTTATTAGAGGGGAAAGCTCTTTGTCAAAGTACCATTTTTGAAGGTGCAGAAAACTAACTTTCCTTGTAAACTAGTAATCCTCAATATTGGTCTTTCGTTCTCTAAACCAGTCCTCACCTCATTCTCAAAAGCTCAAAGTCTAAAACACTCAGAGCATGATCCAGTTGCAGAACATCGGTATGCTATCTTGTGACAATTTCAGTATTGGCATGTTTTGTGACACATATGGCCGGGGAAGTGCAAAATGAACTGCAAAACAGAATACTATCTGGTGACTTAGAAACTGGGCATGTATAATTAGGGACTAATCAATCTCAAATGCTCTAACTTAAGAATTTTTAGATCTCCTAACACTGTGGAAAGACATTTCTTGAAACCTGAAGATCTGTTCCCTGGATTTGGGTCCTCTAATGCCAAACTTACACAGATTTGATTGTGGAGGCAGAGTGTCCACAAAAACAAATAATTATCAATCAAGCTATGTCATACTTATTAGAGGTCATGGAATATTTCATCTGCCGAAATATTCAACAGTCTGTCTCCCAGAAGAAAGGGATTTGTGAACTTTAGATATGCACAACTTGTAAAGTGGAATAACTGGCTATTGCTTCTTGATGACAATGCAAATGTAACTCAGAGGCCTCCATTTGCCATTTATTAAAATGGGGTATATTTGGGTTGTTTGTTGTTTATTCATTCAGTTGCTTCTGATTCTTCGTGACTTCATGGACCAGCCCACGCCAGAGCTCTCTGTCGGCTGTCACCACCCCCAGCTCCTTTAGAGTCAAGCCAGTCACTTCAAGGATCCCATCCATCCATCTTGCCCTTGGTCGGCCCCTCTTCTTTTTTCCTTTCATTTTCCCCAGCATCATTGTGTTCTCTAAGCTTTCCTGTCTTCTCATGATGTGGCCAAAGTACTTCATCTTTGCCTCTAATATCCCTCCAATGAGCAGTCGGGCTTTTCATGCAAACTGGTAAAGCAGTCTTCTTGAAAGACACTCCCAGGTGTGCTGGATGAAGCACCCTTTATATTTGAAGGAAAATTGAGAGTTCCAATTGAGCAAACATGAACATCCATCTATATTATCTTGATTTAATATGCCAGAAGTCCCACCATATTAAGATGGATGATACCACAGCAAAAACTCATATTGCTGATCAAAAAAGAAACTGGTTGTTACTTATTTATAGCTCCTTTTACTGTATTTGTAGACAAAATGCAAGGTGGTTACCAAAATGAATTATGAAACAATAAAATATGGAGTACTGTGATTACATAAAATATTTGTTAGAATAGCAGCAGTAAGTCAAGATTTACAGAAAGTTATCAAATGAAAGTGAGTACTTTATAGAGACGACTACATTCCCGACATAGCTATCCATTTTAGCTTTTCATGTAAGACACCAAGGTTTACTGATGAATTGGTCCTTCAGAATATATACCATTCATTCAATAGGCTTCCAAGAAGAAAGTCTATATGCTATACAACCTCCAGCCTGATCGTTCTGTGACAGGAGGCGCTTGGTATAGTGACCAGGACTTTGAATCTGAATTTGTAGAGGTGCTCAACCAGCAGTGCTTTAAGTTTCTACAGTCCAAGGTAAGTAAGTACTTTCTGCTCTTGTTTTGTGTGTGGTTCTCTCTCTCTCTCTCTTTTTTTTTGGTAGACTTATACCATTTTCTTTCACAGTATTTATTGGCTGGCTAGGTTGCATGCACTGAGAAAGATCCAGGAACAGCTCCTGAGGGAAATTCTGTACGGATTGTTGTAGGTTTTTTCGGGCTATATGGTCATTTTCTAGAGGCATTCTCTCCTGATGTTTCACGTGCATCTATGGCAAGCATCCTCAGAGGTAGTGAGCTCTGTTGGAACTAGGAAAACGGGTTTATATATCTGTGGAATGACCAGGGTGGGATAAAGAACTCTTGTCTGCTGGAGCTAGGTGTGAATGTTTCAATTGACCACCTTGATTAGCATTGCCTGGGGCAATCTTTTGTTGAGAGGTGATTAGAAGTCCCTGATTGTTTTCCCTCTGTTGTTTTGCTGTTGTAATTTTAAAGTTTTTTAATACTGCTAGCCAGACTTTTGTACGGACTTTTAAAAGAAATAGAGAAAAGGCCAGCACTTGGTATCTAAGGGATACAAGGCCCTATCACTTGAGTCTACAATGTTAAGAAGGAGCTGTCTCAATGGTGTGACCAAGTGCTCTATTTTACTCTTTCCTATGTAAGCAGATGGAAGTCTTTCATTCCTCTGGGGAAATGTGAAATACCATGCTTATTGACACCTTTACAGTAGTGGTGAAATCTGCTTACCAACCTTGATGTGAGGATACCTCGGCTGTTGTAGGTTGTGCATATTAAGTATATATGTGAGACTTTATTTTCTATTTATTTATTTACTATATTTGTATACCGCTCTTCTCAACCCTCAGGGCGACTCAGAGCGGTTAACAAAGCAAATACAATACTTAAACATGTTAAAAACAGTTAAAACAAGTTAATAGAATAACATTATAACAATCAATAAACATCATAACATCTCATCTTGTCTCATAGTTAAAATCAAGATCCAGTCTCATCATCCAAATGTTCCATATTTCTATATTAGTTACATTGCCTATTCAAATGCCTGCTCAAACAACCAGGTCTTCACTTTCCTCTGAAATGTGAACAGGGAGGGGGTCGATCTAATTTCTGTGGGAAGGGCGTTCCACAGCCGAGGGGCCACCACTGAGAAGGCCCTGTCTCTCTTTCTATCTTCCAGTGCTTGTGTAATCAATGTTATCTTGCAGTGATGAAACTGTTAGACTGGAATTTAAAAGATTCACATTCAAGTATTAATTTAGCCATGAAATTTATTGTGTGGATGGATTACAACTCCCATCAACCTGGACCAGCCTCTCTCCTGCTCAGTCCACGAGTATTTTAACTTGGTCATGATGGGTATGTGTGCCAAGTTTGCTCCAGATCCATCATTAATGGGAATCAAATGGCTCTCCAGATGTGGGAGCCATCCTGGAAAACAGATACAAGGATACATACACAAGTACATATTCCCATTTATTGTATAGAAGGAGATCTTAGGCTGGGTCTTGTTTCTCAATTTCACCAGTCCTGCAGAGTTGTGAGGTAGAGAACCATGTGCATTATCTTTAAGGTGGAGGAACACTGGGCTATTAAAAGTCATAACTAAATAGAAATAAATTCTAATGATAACTCTGAATAATGAATAAAATTGAGGTTTTTTAATGTTGGCTACAAAGAGGGAATAATTTGTTGAATTTGAACTGACATCATGGAATCTGGAATGTCATTGCACTTATATAATTGTTACTCAGAAACTGTGCTGAATTCCATAAATCATATTCTCTCAGGTTCATATATGTGTAGGATTGAGGTGTTCTGTGGTTTCTGGGCTGCATGGCCTTGCTTTTGGCAGCATTTTATTTATTTACATTATTTATATCCCGCCCATATCAGCCCGCAGGCGACTCAGGGCGGTCATTTTCTCCTGACTTCTGCCTGCATCGGTAGTTGGCATCTTCAGAGGAACCTTTGAAGATGTCAGCCATAGATGCAGGTGAAAGCCTTCGACAATACATGTGTAGGATTGAAGCCTTAGTTCACTTGGTGGTGTGGAACCTTTGTTTAAACCTGTGGTTCACAAGCTGTGGCCCTCCAGGTGTTTGGGGCTCCCAGAAGCCCTAGCCAGGAATTCTGGGAGCTGAAGTCCAAAACACCTGGAGTGTCACAGGTTGCGCACCACTGGTTTAAAACATTCTGGATAACACTTTCACAGATTACCATCAACTGGGAATATCCTTTTTTAAAACACAAAATTCAGGCTCCTTGTTTTGTTATATCTTTTCACTTATAGGCTGAAGCTGCTCGAGATAGCAAACAGAACCCTATGATACAGAGAAACAGTTCATTTGCATCTTCTCATGAAGTGTGGAAATATATCAGTGAGTTGGGTGTCAGTAAGGTGAGGCTTTTTAAAAAATGTTTTGCTGTGGAGAGTATTGTATGATTTGCAGAATAATGGCTTGATTACATTCCAGACTGTAGATAATTGGATTTTCAGGGTTCACCGAATACTGCATTTTTCACCATCATGCATCTGCTTGGAAACCTGTTTCTGTAAAACGAGTTTCGTGACCTCTTCTCCTTCCATGCCTCTATCCACTTATTGAAACAAAAATGCTTCAGGCACTGATGTTAAACTAATGAGGCATGTATAATGTTTAACAAAGATAGCTTCAAACATGTTTTTGAAATGTCAATTTGTACAGAGTGTAGAAGCTAGTATGTTTCGGGCAGGTTTACCTATTCTGTAATAGCTACATTATCAGTTACTGTAACAGTTACATTGGCTACTTATTTGTCTCTGGACATAATGTGAGGTGTAGGATATTTAAAGTCCCAGCTCGTTTTGGTCCAGGTTATCAGAATGGATTTTACACATTTTGCTGGAGCTAGTACCCAATCGTTGTATTTTTTACTAGCTAGCTATAACATTTTCTTGTACTTCAGAAGATGTGACCTTGGAAACAAGGCCTTAGCAGTGGCATCCAAGTTATGGAATTCACTTTGTGGGGAAATGTAGCTCATTTCTAGACAGCAGCTGAGAATGGTGAATATATTCTGCTTTCAAAGTGCATCCACAATGTGCATCCTTTCCTTTGTTAGAAAAATGCCAAATTCTGTTTGTTTGCTCAACTTCTTCAGGTGGAATTATCGATGGAGGACATTGAAACCATTCTAAATACATTAATATATGATGGGAAAGTGGAGATGACCATCATTGCTGCTAAAGAAGCCACAGCTGGCAGTGTGGATGGGCGTATGAAACTGTACAGAGCTGTCAATCCAATCATACAACCCACTGGCTTAATTCGGGTGCCTTGTGGGCTCTGTCCGGTAAGTTTCTCAGAAATAATATCATGAAGCCAAATCTTTAATTAATATTATTTGTCACAGGCTTAGTAGTCAAATGAGAATAAAAAAGTAACTAGATTGTGTAGTAAATTATGTAGGATGGCAAAACTTTCCTGCAGGAATTGAACATAGATGTACTTAATTAGCCCTATTATGGTATTGTGAGTCAGATTGGCTTCATTAACGCGTTGCCCTATATTAGTTAATGCTAAACAGATTTTTATGGTGTGGATGAATTTAATAATCATGCCACTGTTCTATTAAAATAAAAAAAAATATTAGAAAAAGGAGGTGCATTTCCACAACAGGCCGCATGATTCCCTTGCTATGTTTAGATATGTGGCAGCAGAGTTATATGTACATATTTGTAGTTGTGTAAGGAACTATGTGCTACGCGTGTGTTTGAGGCAATCAAGTTGAAATTAAATCCAGACAAGACAGGGGTACTCCTGGTCAGTTGGAAGGCAGAACAGGGTATAGGCTTACAGCCTGTGTTGGATAGAGTTGCACTCCCCCTCAAGACGCAGGTGATCCTGGACTCGCTGCTGACCCTGGAACCCCAAGTATTGGCAGCACCCAGGAGCGCCTTCACAGTTAAAACTTTCTGCGCCTGTACCCACTGCGCTCATACCTTGAGATGCCAGATCTGACCATGGTAGTCCATGCTGTAGGTACATCCCTCCTGGACTACCGCAACACTTGCTACATGGGGCTGCCTTTGAAGATACTTTGGAAGCTTCAAATAGTCCAAAGATCATTAGCCAGGTTGCTAACTGGAGCGCCATATAGGGAGCGGACAACTTCTATGTTACGGCAGCTCCACTGGCTGCTGAGCTGCTTCCGGGCTAAAGACAAAGTGCTTGTTGTTACCTATAAAGCCCTAAATGGTTTGGTTCAGGCTACGTAACTAACCACATCTCCACATATAAACTTGCATGGACACTGCAGTCATCGGAGGGGACTTTGCTCTCGGTCCCTCCCCCGTCTCAAGCGCGGTTGGTGGGAACGAGATAGGAAGCCTTCTTGGTGACTGCCCTCTCTCTGGAACTCCCTCTCTCCAGAAGTAAGAACAGCTTCCTCACTGTTCTCCTTCAAGAAGCAATTAAAACATACACCTCTGTACCCTGGTTTTAGGAGAGGATGATGATTAACTTCTTATTTTTCTATTCTGCCTGATGAGGCTGACTGAGAACATATTGCCCTAATTCACTGCACAGCCACATATTTATTGTTCACTTTTCGTGTTGGTTTTATTAATTCACTATATTATTTATGAAACCTATTATTTCTTTTAATGATTACTGTGTTATTTGTGATATTTAATAGCTTGTTTTAATTGTTCTTCCATTGCTATTTATTTCTAGTTTCTTTTTGTCTTTGTAAGCTGCCCTGAGTCCCTTCAGGGTGAGAGGACTGGTTATAATAATAATAATAATAATAATAATAATAATAATAATAATTATTATTATTATTATTTGAAACACAACAAGATTAGTACACAGCAAACAAGATCACTATGCTGGCTGTTGTATTGGATCACAGATTGGACACTTCCCAAGCGTCTAGGACTGTGTGATGGATCGGCGAGTAATGTGAGCAGGTTGGAGTAGGGTAGCCTTTTGCAGCTGACAGATGGTAATGTTGTCAGCTCCAATTGTGTTTAAGTGCAGGCTAAGGTCTTTAGGCACTGCACCTAGTGTGCCGATTACCACTGGGACCACCTTTACTGGCTTGTGCTAGAGTAAAATTAATAATATTTATTAATGATGACGATGATGATAATTTACACTGACTAAAAGGACCCAGGTCAGAAGCAGAATTGTGTGCATTTAATAGCAGTCAGATTGGTTCTTTCATCTGCAGACAGTATGAGAAGATATTTTAGCCATCTGACCACTCTCTTTTGCACAGCAAATAGTAAACTAGTATGGGTTCTGGCATGTTCAGGAATGTAGCAAATAGAATCAACTAACTGTACTTTAACCATAATCTCTTCTCAGGTTTTTGATGACTGCCATGAAGGTGGAGAGATATCGCCATCGAACTGTATCTATATGACGGAATGGCTACAATTCTAGCAGTCAGCGGTTGTGCGAGTTTTTTTTATAACCAAAGTTGATGAACCTGTTTACTATTTAATTTTGGACTCTTTTTTATTGGAGACTTGTGGCCTGGCATATTTTTGAAAATTCTCAATTACTTTTGGAGGAATACTGTTTTGACACATGCTAAGGCAGGAATGCACAGACCGTGTGCTCCAGGTATTTGAGGCCACCGTGGCCCAGTAAGGAATGGTGTAATTTGAAGCCCCAAAGCATTTGGAGGGGAAAGATTCCTCACTCTGCAAAAGGAAGCTCTGAAATGTTCCTTGTGTTAAGCCTCAATAGGGATAATTAAATATGGTTATATATAGAAAGACATGGAAAGACAAATTCTGCTTTGAGGGGATTAGTCTGAGCTTTGTTAAAATAAAGGTATTTGTTGTAGTTGAGTCACAGAGTTACCTTTATGATCATAATGTTAAAAAGAGCAGTGATTTAAAAAAAGATAGCCCAGCTTAGGGGCTGAAAATCATTGCTGCCAAATCACTCAGATGTTAGGAGCCCCCATTGGCGAAGCGGGTTAAACCCCTGTGCCGGCAGGACTGAAGACGGACAGGTCGCAGGTTCGAATCCAGGGAGAGCATGGATGAGCTCCCTCTATCAGCTCCATCTTCTCATGTGGGGACATGAGAGAAGCCTCCCACAAGGATGGTAAAAACATCAAAAGATCTGGGCGTCCCCTGGGCAACATCCTTGCAGATGGCCAATTCTCTCACACCAGAAGTGACTTGCAGTTTCTCAAGTTGCTCCTGACACGACAAAAAAACAAACAAAACAAAAACAAAACAAAACCAAAAACCTCAGATGTTCCCCTGTGCTAGCCTCATTAATGGTATTGTTAGACTTGGGACATAGATTTTATTATGATGCATGCAAAAATATTACTGCATTCTATAGGTGGGAGCAAAATTTGATGTCTCTCGGTCAGTAGAAAGTTGAATGTAATAAAAGGCAGAAGGTTCAGCCAGGTGGCTCTTGAGGTCCCTTCTCAGTCCCCATCTACACTGCCATATAAAATCGATGGTAGACTCATAATCCAGTTCAAAGAAGATAATGTGGATTATCTGATTTGATAATCTGGATTATATGGTAGTGTAAAACCTTGTGAAATGTCCGTAATCCCAATTTTAAATTCTGCTGAAAAAAACTCTCTTGAAGTTGTTTCTTTTAATATGAAGAAGCCAACTTGATGCACGTTTGACATTTCCCAACAGAGAGATCTTTAATGAAAGATTAGAGAAATCATGAAAGATACTATATGCAAGATCAAAGGTATGATTCCTCTGGATATCAGTCATTGGCGCGAACAAGAGGAGAGAGTAGTTGCAGCCATGTCTCTCAACTTTTTTAGTATGCAGCGGACTTGCTCTGTCAGTTCTGTTCCCTCCTCTGCATTCAAAGCATGTGCTACAATACAATGTGTAATAAGAAATTGATTTATTAAAAATGTGCATTTTCAAGATAAAGATGCCTGAACTTCTCCACACCAGCAACAGAACCAGTAAGAAACTATTTGAGACCATAACATCCATCGACTTCTCTCTGATCCTGGCTGACAGTGTATATTCGAAGCAAAACAAAATAGTCAAAAGGGCACAGTGACTGCAGCAGTTGATCCTCTGAGTCTGGGGAGTGAGTACAAGAACCAAAGGTGGAATCCACAAAAGCAGTACGCATGGCAAGTTTGTCACAATCTGGAAAGGAACAGAAATGGAAATTACTTGATAGGCAGGGACATTGGTATGAAGAGTTACTCAAATGATGGATTTCTTTGAGTTGCAACTGCTGGGGACTATTCTACACTATCAGCTGGATGAGAGAAGTCAGATGTAATACAAGTGTAATGTAATGAAGTACATATTATATAATATGTAGCATTATTCATTCATTAAAAGTAACATGGGCATATTTTTGGAGTAGTTTACTTGTGTATTCCTGGAGGGGATGGGGGTTGGAGTAAATGGTACTTTTTGCCCCTAACAACGCTTAAGATTGTACCAGTTGGTACCATCTTGTACCAATTTTCCTTTAGGGATATGCATCAGTGTATTTAACCTTTGTTGTTGTTCATTCATTCAGTTGCTTCCGACTCTTCGTGACCTCATGGACCAGCCCACGCCAGAGCTCCCTGTCAGCCGTCCCCACCCCCAGCTCCTTCAAGGTCAATCCAGTCACTTTGAGGATGCCATCCATCCATCTTACCCCTTGGTCAGCCCCTCTTCCTTTTTCCTTCCATTTTCCCCAGCATGATTGTCTTCTCTAAGCTTTCCTTTCTTCTCCTGATGTGGCCAAAGTACTTCATCATTGCCTCTACTATCTTTCGCTCCAATGAGCAGTCAGGCTTTATTTCCTGAGTATTTAACCTTATAGTTCTAAATTTTCTCCCATTCTTCTAATTGTATTGAGCGCCCCATATTGGCCACCCATTTAACCATACATTCTTAAATTTGTTCTGTTTCTGTGGCCCAATCTAATATTGTTTTTTGTAAATTTTGGTGATCACTTTCTTTTCCATTGTCATTATTTTGTCCCAAAAGGAATCTTTTTCTGCAAATCCTACCTTTTTATCTTTATTAAAATATTCTTTCATCTATCTGTAGTGGAACCAGGAGATGCTTTTAAATTTTTGGCTAATTTCTTCTTGTTGCCTTAATTTGCATTCTCCTTTTTCTTTTGTAAGTATGTAAAATGCTAGACATAAAAATTAAAATGGAACCAAAATGCTGGAATGCTGGACACAGAAAATAAAATAAATAAATAAATAGATACTGCTTAACTATTTGGTAACAGCTGAAATTGAAGGACTAAAGAAACACTCTTGACAGATCAATGGTTCATCAAAATAAAGGACATTATGAATATGGATAGACTTACGCATTTGATATCAACCCATCAAAGAAAACCAAAAATTCAAATGGATTGGCAACCAAGCAAAGGCTATTTGAAATGTGAAAAAATGAAAATAATAATATAAACTAAAAAGAAGTTATAAGAAAGTAGTTGTTTCACAAGCAGTTACAGAGAGAAAGGAGATGTAAAGAAGAGAAAGGATTTAATTTTTGTGAACTTTGAAAAGGACTACAACACCTCGAAGTAGATAGAAGGCAACATACCCCCATCTTCCCCCTCCCCTTTTTTCTTTTCTTTCCTTTCCTTCTATATATGTTTTTTATCATATTGTAAATATTCTTTGTGTGTTATCAATAAAAATATTTTTAAAATATTATATTTTAAAAAATAAAATAATTAGTTGGAAAATATTTCTTACCTGGTAGTTGATAACAGCAAGTAAATCTGTAATTGTATTATTTTATTATAATCTAGTTGCCTCCTTGCAGCTGAATAAATTAGGCATTCACACAAATCCGCTATCAGTTGTGAAGATTTCCATTTTTTAATTGGTCAACAAACTGCAGCTGAGTGAACTTAGTAGTCAACTGCTATTTCCTCTATCCATAGTGCTACTCTACTTTCAACAGTAAAATAAGATAATAACCTGACAGTTTCAGCACTATTTTTTAAATGTTAATGGGTTGGATCTCCAATAAAGTGATATTTTAAAAATATCCTTAGATATAATTCATCTAGCTCTGGAGATTTCATTTTGATTATAAGAGAAAATAAAACAGTTGTACCCAGTATCACAAGTTAAAATAAATCTCAGCAATTGAACCTTCTTAGTCATTTTAGGGTCTTTCAAATAATCTATGAGATTCAAGGGTCTAAGGCCTATTCTAAAATTAACTCCAGTCCCTAGGAAAGCGGCTCCCAAGTTTGGATTAAGCTCCGGAGTGGGTTCACCACCCCCTTGATGTGGGGATCCCCTGGAAAAAGAAGTCCCAGTTGCATTGGGAGGTCAGCTAGGGCACCGCAGGGACTTGAACCCTGTCCTGGAAGCCAGGAGCCCCAACAACCAGTGCCTTTTGCTTTTTTTTGTGGCAATGCAACAAGGGTAAAAGCAAAACCCAAGAGAATACACATGTTTTCTCTCAGGAAAAAGAAAACCTGTCAGAGTTAGGATTTCATCATGTTTGGGAGAGGTACAGTGTTTCCTGGCCTATTATTATTATTATTATTATTATTATTATTATTATTATTATTACCACAACCAGTCCATAGCAGACAAGATCACTCTGCTGGCTGTTGTATTAGATCACATGTTGGACACTTCCCAAATGACTAGGACTGTGTGATATATCAGTGAATAATGCGTGCAGATCCCAGTGATGGTGGCCCTTTGCAGCTGTCAGATGGTAGTTTGTCAGCGCTGATTATGTTTAAGTGCAGGCCAAGGTCTTTAGGCACTGCACCCAGTGTGCCGATCACCACTGGGACCACCTTTACTGGCTTCTAGCAGAATCTTTCCAGTTCAGTCTTTAAATCCTCATATTGTGTCAGGTTTCCAGTTGTTTCTCTTCAATCCTGATGTCACCTGGGATTGCAACATCAACGATCCATATTATTATTATTATTATTATTTGAAACACAACAAGATGAGTACATAGCAGACACTCTGCTGGCTGTTGTATTGGATCGCACATCAGACACTTTCCAAGTGTCTAGGACTGGATGATGTATCGGCAAATAATGCGTGCAGATCCCAGTAAGGTGGCTTTTTGAAGCTGGCAGATGGTAATCTTGTCAGCACCGATTTGTTTAAGTGCAGGCCAAGGTCTTTAGGCACTGCACCCAGTGTGCCGATACCACTGGGACCACCTTTACTGGTTTGTGCCAGAGACTTTGCAGTTCGATCTTTAAATCCTCATATTGTGTCAGCTTTTCCAGTTGTCTATCTTCAATCGTGCTGCCACCTGGGATTGCAACATCAACAATCCATACTTGGTTTTTTAACACGATTGTGAAGTCAGGAGTATTGTGCTGCAAAACACTGTCTGAATCCAGAAGTCCCAGAGTAGCTTGATGTGTTCATTTTCTGTAACTTTTTCCGGCTTGTGATCCCACCAGTTCTTTGTCGCAGGCAGATGGTATTTGTGGCACAAGTTCCAATGAATCATCTGAGCAATGGTGTTATGCCTCTGCTTGTAGTCTGTCTGCGCGATATTCTTGCAGCAGCTGAGGATATGATCTATTGTTTCATCTGCTTCCTTGCAGAGTCTACACTTGGGATCTGTTGTCGACTTTTCAATTCTGGCTTTGATGGCATTGGTTCTAATGGCTTGTTCTTGGGCTGCCAGAATCAGGCCCTCCGTCTCCTTTTTCAAAGTCCCATTTGTGAGCCACAGCCATGTTGATTCTTTGTCAATTTGACTCTCAATTTTTTCCAGGAACTGTCCATGGAGAGCCTTCTTTTGCCAGTTTTCTCTTCTGCTCTGGATTGTGTTTTTATGGTATTCCCTTTTTGTCTTTCGCACTTTAAGCAGTTTACTACTATTGACTTCTGGGGATGTTATGCTCCACCAAAAACTAATACAAAGGTAAGTATCTACACTATTGGGAAAATTTATGAACAGGAGGAACTAAAGCAGAGGAGAGGAAAAGGCAGAGCCAAAACGTCACATTTCCTGCTCAAATTTGAACCAAATTTGCTCAGACTTTACTAAACTTATGTAAATAAGTTTCTAAACTTTGAATAAAAGTATCATCTGTTAGGGGTCTTTGGTAGACGCCAGTCTTTCCTCCAATGACAGTTTGAAGTTTGAAGGTGGCTTTGTGAATGATTCTGGCAATGGCTCTTCACAGGGACAACCATTTAGAAAAGCATTCAAACTTTAAAGCATCCACGTAGGACTCACTAGCTTTGGGATCAAGTGTCACTTCAACTTTGCAACTGTTCTGGCAAAGTTTCAGGTAGTTCTGAAACATCAAATATGTTTTGTCTTTGGGAAATTCTGGGTCTAAGAGGCGCTTGGGACCTGACAGCCAGCTGCTATGTAGCAACTTCTGGGCAGATACGCATCTGGAAACAGTATCTGCAAGATTCTCTTCTGTGGCAATGTGGGTCCACTGATATGGCTGGGTACAAGTCAGGATCTTGTTATTCTATTTGCTACATATATTTTGAATCTTTTGGTAGAGTTTTTGAGATAGCCTAAGACTATCATGTTGTCTGTGTATAGACACACTCTTTGAAAGGCAAGCACAGTCTCTTTGCAAATGATTTGCAGCAGTTGTGTATCTAGTAGGGCTGCACACAACTCCAGTCCAGGTATGTTTTGCTCTGGGGCCACTTTAGATTTGGCCATCATAAAACCTACACACTCTTCTTGTTAATATCTGACTCTGAGGTAAGCTATGGCTGCTATAGCTGTTTTGGATGCATCACAAAATATATGAAGCTCGTAGATGGCTCTGGGTGTGAACTCTGCAGGAACATATTGCTTGGATAATTTGCTTGTGACATCCAAGCTTTCCAAGCAGCCTCTAAAGGTGGGGTAGCTCTAGATCCCAACCTTTTACTTGGAATGTTATCTTTCTGAAGATGTCTTTAGCCACAATGAGCACCAGAGCTGCAATGCCCAAGGGGTCATATACGCTGTTTATTGAAGACAAAAACTTTTAGAGTTTTGTGTATCAAATTTAGAAGCTCTCAAGGAAAGTTGTCAGTTTTGACATTCCAGAGAATTCCCAAGCTGCTTTGGGTTTGCAAATCTTTAAACAGTAGCTTTAAGTCCATTTCTAACTAGTCTTCTGCAGGAAATGCACTTAAGATTTCTATGCTGTTGGACATAACTTTGTGCAACTTTATGTTGGCAAGCTTTAACATATCCTGCATGTTTTTAACAGTTTGAATGGCTTCTTGAATGATATTAAAAGAAATTAAAAGATCATCAATGTAAAAATTTGAATGTCTGAACCTTTCTGCAGTTCTCTTTAAGCAGTATTGCTGGTGAAGGAGTGTTGCCAAATACATGCACTTTCATGCAAAACCCAGTCACTAGGTTTAGCGA